CGGACAGAGCTGAAATGGAAAACAAACAGAAAAGCCAACACACCACAAGCATACCCACAGCACAATCTCACACATCAATGACGACCTGCGCGTCCAGACAGAGACCTCCTCTTGACATCTTGCAACACAATCGCCACTTGCTAGAATGACTCTTGCAGAATGCAAAGTGACCATGGCAGCACCTCACGATACTCTACGCACATCCTCTTAATTACTCACTACCAATTACCACTGAAATCGCTTGTCACTCATTCTGCCTCAGTTCTAGTAGCGGTGACGCATGCGAGCCTCAGTCGTTTACACTCTTTCTCCCCGGCGTGTCGGACCGCAGCTAACAATTATCTCCGTGTGCATTTCATTCTCAGCAATAGCCTAGCCTCCCCGGCGTATACGACCCATCTGCTGTCTCTAACATCAATCAATTCATTCATGGATGTAGAAGACTGGAAAAAACTTCAGAAATAATCACGACGAAAATTTTAACAAAATTACGCAATAACAACAAGACACGAAAACAACAAGTAAACACAATGAATCCAAAATACACCAATTGATATGACACACCACACGTATATACAAATAGTACAAACAACCTCGCCGATCATGTCTTGGTGGAATTCCTTTGAAGAATTGCAGGACTTACACCAGTACGCCTACAACCCTTCTCAGGTTGACGATTGTAAGTTGTGGAATGTAAGGACACAAACAAGATTAACCAACAATTACATCAATTGGAACTCACACAACTATTTAACACAAACATATGTACAATCAACACATCAAATGTTGTGGATTCTGGCACGACAAACTACCCTTGAAGAACTGTAGGACTTACAGCAGTACGCCTACATTCCTTCTCAGGTTGATGATCCAAGTGGAAGTCGTCCGGACACAAACAGAATTACCAACAGCTAGATGACAGATGATATCAATTCAGTATATACAATATGAACATATGTACAAAATCACACACCAAGCACATTGGACTGCTCATTGATGCGCTACCCTTTGAAGAATTGTAGGACTTACAGCAGTACGCCTACAACCCTTCTCAGGTTGACGCCCTAGGTTGGAAAATCGTCGCAGAGTTCATTTGCTGACTTCCTTCTATCAGCTATATCCTCAAATCTGAACGGCAACACGCCCATGTCATTGTATCGTAGAATATAGATGACCAACAAACACACGACATATCTCATCAACCAAGTGTAGAAACAGAGTAATTTACACCAAAGATAATAACATTCAAATAGTAACTTGAAACTAGAAATGCCTTTATTCATGCAAGTCAATTTAACAATTACTCTCTCGTTTACACTTGGCTTATTCTCACTAAACTGAGAAATATCTTTCGTCTTTTCAAACGCACCAATACTATCATAGTCATTGCACAAGATACTTGAGTTGATGGGCATCTGTTTCATTGTGGATGAAAACACCAACGATGACTGAGTGACACAAGGTGATGAACTTAGCGGTGGATCAGAAGCTGTTCTTTTTCGGCTTTCAGATAGTTGTCCAACTGCAAGATTACCACCACTGCTGTCTTTCACTACTAGTTCGGGTTTAGCACTATCATCTGATGATAGGTGGGCTACACGCTGATCAATTACACTGACTGTCTCACAAGTATGCACACCTTCTGGAACTGCATCTGCGTTCAATTCTACTTCACGTTGTAGTTGTACAGAACCTTTATTTAACTTAGCAGTAGTAGGCATATCCCTCATCTCATAATGATCAACCAAAGACAAATCTGCACTATCATGATCATTACCACAAATATTCAATTTACCGTCAAGTTCATCATTTTCAAACTCTTTAATAACAGAAGTAGACAATTTTGGTTCCTCCTCGCAAATCATTAAAGGTTTTATATCTTCACTCTGACTAGTTATACTTTGTAAACTTGTGGAGTCAGAACTCCACTCTGAAGCAGTAACTCTATTCTGTGACACTCTATTCAACAACGGCTTACCAGTTGCAACTACAGACTTCTTCACAACAACGTTATCGTCACACAATTCGGAGTCAGGCCTGGAGTTTACATTTAGCTTATCACTGAACTTGCTCACTGGTTCACAGTTCACTTCTGTATGCACCTCTTGCACACGTGTAAAACACAACCGTGTTTGTCTTGCATCTTGTAACTTATCTGTTGAGGATGTACTACGAAACCTGTTACACTCACTAGGTCTATATGCATTACTAGACATCATGGAGTCTTCTCGATATCCACCTCTCTGAGGCTTATTCGTCATCAATGAGTGCGTTTTACCCTCAGACTGCTCTATTCTAGGGGTGAGATCTAACAGACTGGAAAACTTGCTCATAGATTGATTGACACTAGTATTTACCAGTTTCAGGATATCATCAAACTTTGGCTCGATACCCTCATCCTCCATACGGGAGCTTATCTTCACCCACTTCCTTTGCAGTCGAGTAGGTAGACGTCTTGCTATTACTTCTAGTATAAAACTCGAGTTGAGGTCACTCATTCGATTCATCGAAATCATTCCATTCTTGTAAATTAGCAAATTATCTAAAAACTCAGTGAGTGCCTGGGAGTCATCCTGTAATTGACCACCATTACCCTCAACAGCCTCGAATAATTTCCCTGCAATCATCGAGGGTCTTCCAAACCTTTGACGTAATATGCTCATAGCCTCATCGTAGCCCTCCTTTGGCTTCATAAACTTACAGCACTGTATAGCTCTTGCAGCATCTCCAGTGCAATATCTCATCAAATACATTAACTTCAATTCATCATTTAATAGAAAACCACTCAACATGATCTCAAACTCCTTTACAAATTGTAAATAATCAGCCGGGTTTCCATCAAAACACCGTGGTTCAAATTTAGGGAGTTTGATGTTCCTATTATCCCTGAACGGCGAAACAGTAACATCAACCATGTCATGCTTAACATCAGACACATCGTTACAATTAACAGACAAGTCACCATGACTTACTTTCCTGTTTGCATCCAAGACACTCTGTCCCTTCTTTGACCCAGGCATTGTTGAACTTGACCCAATTCCAAAAAGTTCCAGATATTGCTTGTTCAAAGAGGACTTGACCGGCACCAGGAAAATGAACGGCGACTATCCAAACTTTCACCAACTGTTTGAATCCGCCAGATCTGTTTCTATCGTCAGAAACTGTCAGCCAAGTCTCATAAACCGTTAATGCCCAGCTCTCGCTACGCTCGGGCCCACGCTGTTCTTAGAAGATTTCTCAGAAACGCTTAGTTATAACGGACGCAAAAACCAAAACACCGATCTGCCGTTTGATATTTCTGTATTGTTACACCAACATATAAAAGGAATAAGCGAACTAAGCAAACTAAGGTCTGAAAACAAATATTACAATAATAAATCATTGTTACTTCTGACGATATTTTACTCTTCTTTCTGAACAGCGACCGATGAGACGATGACTGTCGTATTGATGCCTCCGCGAAAATCGGGGAAGTTGATTTTGAGCAAACAACCAAGAATTGATCGTTCAATCTTCAACTCCATTGACAATATTAGACCTGGAGAATTTAGGACCTAAGTTGAAGTTGAAAAAGCTTTGGCGCTTTTCGTAAAGGTGGATATGACATAAATGTGCCTAGTGTCAGATTAAAAACACCTAATATGTTGGGATAGCACTCAAATTAAATGAGGATGAACCAAATTCAACTTAAAAATGTGTCATGGTTAGATGTATTTTCGGGGACGAAAATTAACTTCAAAGCAATTCGAAGCTTCGAAAGGGTTAGTATTATGTGTTAGTTAGTGCCAAGTGTACCAAATCCAAATGATAGAATTAGAATTGGCTGCGGTATAGCCAATGTTGACGATCATCTGCGGAGTATACGAATCCCCTAACAGAAGGTAAGACTTCAACTAGCAAGAATAACTAATCAGATTGTGGTTTACAGTCGATGGTTTTTTCAAGCTCACAACAAGTTGAGAAGACGACTGTTATTCCTGATGAAAACATTTGCTAAATACAAATTGCTAGTTTCAGTTTAAATAATCAAATTCTTATTTTTCGGATATTTTCAGTTTTTCAGTGGTGATAATTACAGAATGTGGATGATTTTTAACCTAGTCGGGGTGTCTCCCACTGCTCGCCTCCCCTTATTAGAACTTTGGGTTGTTTATCCAGCATGTACCAATAGGACAGTTCAAAACATCGCGGTTACGGCTTTTAGGACATGAAAGGATCCTGACATTTACGCATAGGATGATGTATACATCTCCTGGGATCGCACACGAGGGAGCGAACGTAAAACTACGGCATGCCAAATGAAACAAACACTTGGCCGCGAGTCGATTTAAACAGTGAAGTTAAGAATTCAGTAGTGAGCGAGGAATGCTGTAGGCTATCAATTCTGGGAAATCATTTACCACAACAGGTTTTGCAAGAATCCTGATTAATTCGCCGTTTATTTTATCATGAACCATGAAGGAGTCCTGGAATTGGCGATACTTATATACTGATGGCACATCTGTTTTCGGCATCTAACCGACATTCTATTTTTTCTCATTTTTTACCTCAGATTCGCAGACAGTCAGATAGGATTTTCAGTATGAATTCACTAACAAGTGCTCTTCAGCAGTGAGAATTAGGTTCGTTATCACAGTTAGTCAGAAAATTATAAGGTTGTGGAAATGTATTACATATGAGGCGACTTTGAAGTCTTAATATCTGCTGATTAGCACACTGTTGACAGAGAGAAGATATAATCATGAATTTAAAAAATCTGAATAACTATGGAACTGATCTGTCCCTACTTCTCCATCATACAAGAAGAGGAAACCTCAAAGGAAACAGCAGGAGAGTTCAAAAGCTAAGAAAAAACCATATCGTTGTGCACTAGTGGTTCTTACAAGATTAAAAGTGGAGTCACTACCCCCAAACAACTTGTTCAAGAAACTATCACGAAAACAGACACTTATTAGAAAGGAATAAACAGACATAAAGTCCTCTAATTTAGACAAAATAATCTGGAATCTTAAAAATGGACAAGCACTTAGATTCAACTTCTACGTCACATTTGAAGGTCAGTGTGGTGGTTGATCCATTTTTCCCTGCCTGATTATACAGTATGTCCACATAAGTTCCATTTCTTTTGCTAGTTTAAACTTCTTCGTTGGTTTTTGTTGATTGAAGAGTTTTGAGATAAGTGTAGATTTTTCATACGCAGACTGGATAATTCACCAACGTCCGGACGTTGGTTCACGGTCGTGAATTATATTTATTCTAGGCAGAATGGAACAAATATTGCAATGCTCCTCTTAGAAATTGAAGTAGACGGAAAATTCAGATTAACTTGCTAATTCACACGAAATAGTTAGGAAAAGCTGGGTAGACCTTATGAGTGATATCGGAATTCTCCCTGAAATGCCAAGTGATTTTTGTCCCTTTGAGGAGATAAGTGGTAGAGTGCACTATCATCTTTTCAATGTGATGGCTCTATACGCATATCGTGTTTTCGATCTAATTTTGTATCCTTTGCAAGTAGGGAGATTTCCAAAAACCCGTAGACTTTAACTTGGGTTGTGGAATAGTTATCTGAAAGCGGCTTGTGAACCAATAAATGAGGCAGTCACATGTTTCCCCACTAAGTATTGTTGTTTGTTTTAAGCCTGCAATATCAGATGTCAGTTTTGCAACTGGTCATAACGAAAATGGTTATGATTGGTACCATATGGATGGACAGTTTAATAACCGACGTATAATATACGTAAATATCGCTGCACCTAAAATAACTGACGGACACTTCCTAACTAACAGAATATCATAAAGAAGCAAATGTATTCAAGAATTTCACACTCTGGACTACACGCATCCAGTTTTTGTTGGTGTTGTTCGAAGGCTCATTTGTGGTTGGATACATCTAGTTTCGGACAGTTACACTCGAACATTGGGTTCATGGGTTAAATTAACACAGAATTGTCAGACACTGCAAGTTGCTTTCAAAAAACATCAGGGGAAATAAGGTACTTCGAAATCACCCCATATTCGGACGGTTAGTGAATGCTGTTTCGCTGTGCTTAAGGCTGACATTCCTTCTGTATTGCTGACAGACAGCTTATTCTGAGAGGCAGTAAATAGTAGGTAAGGTATTTGTTTCAACTTAACATGTGTGTCTTTCTTGACGCACTAAACGCTCCATTGGACGAGTAACTGTTTCTAATCCGACTGAAATTTCCTTTAAGCTGGTCCATTTTAGAAACGAATTTTTAACTATTTACAGATTTAATGAAAATCAACATTTTGCCATTTGCAAGTCTCTATAAATCCACCGAAGTCAGGGATACACTACCAGTCTATCCAATTTTACTTCATATTTCACACTTCATGAAGAAGCGGTTATCCCGCTTTTCCCGGGTTTCCCGATGTCATGCATAAAGTCTGCTCACCTTTTCTCATATATTCTGTGTACTTCAACGGATCAGTCTTTTCGTGTACCCTGTCTTCTGAAAGGAATATCCTACTGTTTGTCCCATTTTCCCGCGTTAAGGAAGTATTCGGCAACTGAGTACATCCAAAAACATCGAAATTCAAGCCTTGTCTTTACTGGTATTAGTCTATCTATACACTTTAGAAATTTAGCGCAATTTTTTCCTAAGCCCCATATATTGAGGAGTTAAAAAGTAGGCAGTCTTTCACATCATAGTAGGCATTTGACTTCAAAAGATAAGAATGAAAAGTTACTGCACTACTATAATAATTAACTTAAGCCTTTTGAAAATCTAGAAAAACAAAAAATTGAGCAAAGAATATACTCTCCGATAATTTCCTCTCCTAGCTCTACAATTTTTATATATATGTTTATGTAAACTAATACCCTTATTGTGCCTTCGGGAGTAAAAGATGACCTGCCTAATTTCGCCTCATTTATGTGTATTTACAAATTTTACTACTTCTGTGGAGCCAGTTACATACGCCGCACAATTAGGCGTGTTCATCGTCGGATTTCCGAACATCACCCTGCGTGGTTAAATACGGGACAAACAAAATCTATTCATAGTTCTATTCTATCTCATCTTGTGGATACAGAACACAAGATTAATGTTAACGAGACTTTCAAAGTCATCTACTGCATACCAACTAATCATAGCTTTACCTTAAGAGTTCGTCTACTACATATTGCTGAGACTGACTGTTGGAATCCACATTAAGACTAAATTATGTATCCAAAAGTAGTTGGTTCAGACACTATCCTTACCTTGGCCTTGAAGGCTTTAATGGTCCTCAATTTACTTAATTTTATTTGATATTCTAGTTGATATTACATTTTTATGCTTATTACAACTTATGCATCTTTCGTGAACTGTAATTCCATTGATCTTACTTAACCAATCGATAGTGTTTAAAAGCACCGATATTGTTAATGACGATTATTCTTGAATATTTTATGTATATAAGCATATATATATATATATAATTGTAGAGCCAGAAGAGGCAAATATCGAAAGGGATATTCTTTGCTCAATTTTCTGTTTTTTTCTAAATGAATGAATATTTTTGCTATATTGAAGTTTTTTGAAAATTGCTATGATGTCACCTAGAATTCGAAATTCTGCATTATCTATGCTGTAGGATATTGCAAATCTAGGGGCGACAGGAGGAACTTATGCTCTTCTTCTGAAGTAGCCATCTTGCCTTCTGATGGAATTGGTAATACCTGTGTTCATGAATGATGATCAGGTAAAACTTAGCCTGCTTGATCGTCATTGTCAGTCAGTTAATCGTGGTCCACAAGTCAAAAGACTCTTGCTTCCGCACGTTGGAAAAATGCTGCTCAGCGAAGAAAACTTCATTTAGATCTTGCAATATCTGTCGCGTTTTCTGAATCTGCAAAGTAACTAGTAATGAATACATTTTCCTCTGTAAATCCGGGAGAGGATTTTTATATGTAGTGAAGTCTGTTACATACGTAGATCATATGGAACCTACCGAGCGGTGTGATAATATAATACAAAAATAGTTCAACTAGACTGTGATTCATTTCCAATTGCATAAGTTTTTGCTTATTACTTAAATCGGTGCGCTGTTATCAAAATGTCATTCAGAAAGTTGGTCAAGCTTCACTTAATCAAACCTATCTTTTAAGTGTTCCTGCTGTATACCTGCGAAACATTTATTTATTAAACGTAGTGGACTTACATGAACACCAAATATTTGATCATGTTTGTGTTGCATAATATTGTCTGCAACTGATGAAGAAGCACGACGACAGCAGTAATAAGACCACAATACCTAATTCCTACGCTTACAGCAGGAGTAGTATTAGGATGAACAAAATTTGCCGGATCCAGATATGACACCTATTTAGGACTTATAGTTTAGTCTATATTAAGCACCTATAAACCTATTTTTTTAAGCGTCTAGATGATACACTTTAGAACCCACCGCAGTGGCGCAGATTCATTCTTGGTTGATTCATCTTGTTTCTCTGTTGGTTCAATTTTTTCAACATATAGCTCCGTGGTTATGTTGTTCCTGTACAGTTATTCCTGTTTTTTTGTTACATTATATTCAATATACCGATATGAGATGTTACATTTTGAGCTACATAGTTTATTATTGTTCATCAACCTGTATTGTTTAAGTTCGATGCGTTACCTGGTACATTTCACGGAAGATCGAATAATGTCTGTCTGTTTTCGACATAGAACTTTCCACTAATGTGCAGTAGTTCAAGTCACCACACTCCATGTAGCACACAAAGCAAGAAAAAAAGGTAGAAGAAATGCATATTAGAGACAGTAAACAGCGGTGTGAGACAAAGGAATAGTAGTAACCAAGAACGATATAGTTTCATTGGAAATCATAAGTCACAAGGAGTAGATGCATCTGCGCCAGCCATTGAGAACGACTTTGAGCCATATCACCAATTGTTTCCAACCACTGGTTTTACCATCCAGAGGACCCCAAACAGGAAGCCAGTCTATACCTTCCTACGTGGCTTAGACTAACTGTTGTAGATTTCATTGACTGGTGCCATGTTTTGGTTTGACCACCGCTAGCTCCTTTCCAGCCTGACCCTATGTCAGCTAAGATTGCCCATTGTAGAGGAAGGCTATGACTAGGCATACGTAACACATATCCTATCCATCTCAATCGGTGTAACTTCACAGCCTCGTCGATTGATTTCCCCTGCTTACCTAGAACTCGACTAAAGCCTAACCACAATATTGTTCACTTTATTATACCACTTCACACGAGAGATAGAACTCAGGCACCTATGATCAAAGACAGCTAGCCAGCCTTTTCATGTCTTCAACTCTCAATGGCCATGTCTCGTTCACAGCCATGGAGGAGGACGGAGCGGACTGATGAGCAGTACACACGTCCTTTGGTCGATGGTCAGCCGGATATCACGTCAATGCCAGAGACGGCGTAAACTGGCATATGCGAAACCAGCCCTCTGTATCCGTACTCAGCTGAGATTTCGTCAGAGATCAACCCGTTGGCACTGGGTTTTGGTACTTCCCAAATAAGTGAAGCGGTCAACGTGCTCTACCACTTCACTTCCTATTTCTAATCTAGGAGTCGGTGTGGTCCAGTCCTGTAACATCATCCTGCATTTGGTGGGAGCGAATCGCATGCCAAACATTCGTAGATTGCAGCTCAAGGTGTTCAGAAGACTACTTCATTTTGTCAGTGTTCTCGCCTAAAAGGACTATATCATCTGCATATTCTAAGTCAACGAGATTATTCTCTGACGGTAACAAGTTAATCCCCGAGTCTCTGAAGTGAGTTAAGGTTAAATCAAGAGCCTTTGGGAAATCTCTACCTAGAATTAACTTCATTATTAGATCGAATGAAGTTAACGAAGTTAATTTTAGGTGGAGATTTCCAAAAGTCTCTTGGCTGAATTTAGTTATCCTTCTCCTGATACGGTTAACGAATTAGCGTTGGCTATCAGTTTGTTAGTCACTAATCTTATTTTTATTTATTTTATTTCTTTACATTCCCGGTAGAACAAAGGGCTTCAAGCTAGAGCTTTGAAGTTTCTGCAGCAGTGGTATTTATTTTTACGGGATGTGGTTGCTAGCCACCTTATGCGCAACCTTCCCTCTTTGCCAGTGCTCTTACTGGCGTAGCGAGGTAAACGAGTGCGTCGGTGGCCAGAGATCGAACCCCGAACCACATAAGGCGTGGTTGGCAAGCGTCCTGCCGCTGTGCCACCGATGCCCCGGTCACTAATCTTGTTACTAGATTATTTTTTCCTAACTGTTATGGTGATTTTAATTCAGCTGTTTAACTCCTCTGTATGTTTCAATATTCAGATATTGTAAAATGAAAAAATTTCCCTTTTAGTATGAATTGTTGAATTCCCTCGATGGCATTTTAAGAATGTCGTGTGACCTTTGTCTCATAGAATTTACAGCATTGAAAAGAAAAGTAAGCTGAAAATTATTTAAAAAAAAATAAAAAAAAACTTAAGAAAACATGTAAAATTTGTGGCTCAATACAATGCTCAAGTTGTTTACGATACAAAACAAAGTCACACAAACCAATATGCATCGACTGTTACTACGATAGTATAAAGTAGATTTTTGAATTTCTGTATAACTGTATCATATTTGTTCAGTGGGAATAATCCTAATGGGAAAACTGATAAACTTGCCTCCCCAAGGTATTTTTTCTCTCGTATTAATATTTTAACCACAGGTGTAAAACAGAAGATAAAAATTGCAGTGAGAATTGTAAAGTCCCATCAAATCGTGGTATGAAATCGCTTCGAAGATAATTTGGCTGTGTATTTTTAGGTGTAAAGACGGATGATATCATAAAAAGGCTAGAAGCACTCAAGGTGCCTAGAACTGAAGGTAACGCCTAAATCTTCTAATATATATATATATATATATATATAATATATATATATATATATATATATATATATATATATATATATATATATATATATATATATATATATATATATATATATATATATATATTCTCTGTAGTAAAAGAAAACGTCGCTAACTTGGAGTCGCGTTTACAACAACTCAAAGGATTGACAAATAAGAAGCCTTCCTGTTCGATAAATACCTCAAGGAAAGAGGAAGATGAAGTTACTAGGATTATAAAGCAGGTTAGTAAGTCTTATAGTGATTGCTTTTTTCAATTATTGGTTTGTAGGGATTTGGTTGATTGGTTACAGGATTTCATCATGAGCTGACATTGGTTAGAGAACCATTGGAAAACCTGGGAGTACTGGACAGCTGTTTCGTCCTAGTTTGGGACTCTTCAGCAGTACGCACCCAGCGGGGTTCCAAACCAGGACCTTCTGGTTCCATTTTTTGTTTTTGATTGCATACTATTCCTCTTCATTACTTTTCTCCTTTTTAAGTTTTTTTTCAAAGCCTACTTACTACTATCGATGTAATCCAGTCTGTTGAATGTACATTGCGTAATATCGGTGGTGACCCTCAACTACTGTTTAGGTCTGCTATTATTGAATTTCTTTTCAGTTCAAACTTCAACAAGAGGTGGGGGGGGTTGTGTACACCGTTATCCATTTGCAATTAATAGTGTTCTCTGAGCTGGTTGGTTTAGTTGCGGAGATTTCGTCGTCCTTCTGGACAACATCCCCATTTAGCGCAATATTTAGCATAAAGTGAAATGATTTAAATTTCATGAGTGATAGAATTGTGTCTCCCGGTAACCACCTTTATATATGTATTGACCATTTTCTATTGACTTGGATTTTAAACTTTCTGATCACATGATTTACTTTTTATTAGTTGGTATATTTGGTCTATATTAACGTGTTTGTTAATCGCATACTCGTTTGAGTACCAGGTTTCTAGGAATTCCCTGGCACTTTTGGTGTCTCCTCTGTCTAAGATTTCGACATTATCCCAATCAAACTGGTTTCCATAATTGTCTATATGCATTGATACTAAAGAATATATATATCGTGTCTTTTCACGGCTGATTTGTGTTCCTGGATTCTGATTCAAAGGAGGCGCCCACTTTGACCGATGTAATGTCTGTTACAGCTCATACAATTTATTATGTAAATGGTATTAATTTTATCTCTTTTTTCTGTTGGATCTTTTGGTTTGCATAATATCGAATTAAGTGATTGTTCTGGCTGGCTTATGTGCAATATCTATTTCAAACGGTTTCAGTATTCTAGCTGTTATTTCAGAGATATTTTTCATGTATGGTGGGATGAATTTTCTTCTGGTCTTTGATGGTGTTTTGATTCGACTTTAAACACTTTTTGATGAAATTTTGTGGATAACCATTCTTTTTGAAGACGGTTAGTAGGTATTTTTCTTCCATTCTTTCAACTCTGGAGTGCTACAGTGTGTTTGAACTCTTTTAAACAATGTCTGCATACAGTTTCGTTTGTGAGCAATTGGATTATTGCTAGTATAGTTGAGTATTTGATCTGTGTGTTGGCGTTGATTTTCTATATACTTGTGTTTCTAAATCTCCTGTGTTAGATATCCTGATTAAGACCGTTATCGATTGTTGGGAAATTTGTTGTTTAAATTAGTTTGTAAGGGAAGTAAATGAAATGCGTTTTTAATGAACATGTGATAAGATTCAGGAATGATAAGAGAGGGGTTGAAAATATAAGTAAGGGGTGGTGTGGAAGTCATTAGTTGGCTATATCTTAGTAGGCCAAGGGAGGGATATTGGTTGTACGAACTTTTTTTTGAATGCATAGTTTAGGTTTAATAGTTCGAATGCCTATCGCCTCAGCTGTGTGCAGTAGACGAATACGAAGTCTACGCTGGAGTCCCAAACTAGGACGAAACAGCTGTCCAGTACTCCCAGGTTTTCCAATGGTTCTCTAACTAATGTCAGCTCATGATGAAACCCGGAATACGAAGTCTGTTGGAGAGATTCGGTGGGGGTGCGATGAACTACCTTGAGAGCTGTCGTTTTCTTCACTACATGGCCACTGTCAACTAAACTAGTCACTGAAATTTTCTTGTGTAGATTAGATGTAAGTGAATTGTCAATAATAATTTCTTCAGAATGCTGTGTAGTTGTAAAACTTTGTTGTTCTATGCGGTGTGTCTACTACTGACTGAATACTCTTCACACAACCGATGAGTGCTTTGTTATTTTATTTGAACTAACTACGTTATACTTTTCATCATTGTTTTAGATTTAAAACCATATAAGTAGTAGTAGTAGTCGTATTTCGAGTAAAATTAAAAGGAATGAAGATTCTTATCAACACTGTAAGTTATAATTATTCAGAAGACCATACAACATTAAGCAGAGTATTCGTTTCGATAGTTTCGTCATCTAGTTTTTATTTCATTCCTTCACGTTCCCAGTGGAACATAGGGCTTCAAGCTAGAGGCTTGAAGTTCCGTAGCAGTGTTTATTTTTACTGGATGGGGTTGCTAGCCTCATGCCCAACCTTCCCTCTTTACCAGTCCTATTACTGGCTTAGCGAGGTAAAGGAGTGCGCTCTACAGCTCTACATTGCGTAATTTGTTTCTGTGCCTCTTGTAATTTACATTCAGACACTAAAACTTTCAGATCGAATTGGAATTTATTATCTCTTCTAATCTCCATTAGTATGTGGAATAAATCATAATTGTATCCATTATGTACATTTATGTGTATATATATAAGTGCGATTGTACAGCTGCTTTTGAGAATGAAATCGCTGAATAGATATCTGTCTGCAGAGCTTCTGCTTTTCTCCTTAATGTTCTAGTGGATATTTTCCCTCAATGAGTGAACTAGAATAACAGAATTTTGTGCTGAAGCGAAGAGAGGTAAGACAGGAGTTTATTGGTATAAACCTCTCTATTTCTGTCTATTCTTAAAATAACTATATTTTGTAGTTACGAGCTAAAACTGCCTAATATAAAAATTGAAAATTTAAGCTGGTAGGGCAAACTAGATGTTGCTATAATTTGATTCCACAACCTTATACAACCAATCAAATTAGTTTATTCTAATTTGACACTACTTAGTAACTAGTGTAATGTGTCTAGTCCTTTGTTTTCTGAAGACTGAATTCTATCAGTCAAGTTTACAATGTAGTCAGCATGCTATGTGACTCACCATCACGGTGCACTGGGAATTGATTTGTTGGCATTAGATGGTTAGAGGCAATCGGCAGGAAGCTCAATCTGACCTAGGTTTCGTGATAGCTGTCACTCACCAGTCAGCAAGGCGTATCCGCAACCTTGAAGGAACTCATGTCCCTTCTGAGATTCAAACCCGCGTCATCCATTTCTTCATTCAAAGAACTAGACACGCTACACTATTTACTAACTGGTTTCCAATCAAAAGTATCCAATACAGTCTTACAGGAGGTTAGTCGCGAGTCTGAACAGTCGCTCAGTGGTAACGTGTCTGACTGCAGTACTCACTGGATGACGCGGGTCTGAATCTTAGAAAGGACATGAGTCCTCTCAAGATGCAGATGCACCTTGATGACTGGTGAGTGCCAACTAGCACGAAACCTGCCGGTTGTCTCCAACTATCTAATATCATTATATATATATATATATATATATACTGCAATCACAGACGTTACCACTGAGCTTTTCGGGATCGTGATTAACCTCCTGTAGGAATGTGGTGGGCACTTTGATTGGACATTAGTGACTAGTGTGATGTGTCTAAAGAATAATCGTTATTGAGAACACCGGTGTTTTCCAAATAATACCGAGTTGTTAAGATCAATACATTACAGCTCAATTGCATTTGTAAGTGATATAATATTGCATAAAAAGGTATGCAATAATTAAAAATAGTTAAAACAATAATAGTTCGTAAAAGGCCTAGTGGGAAGGGAAAATTGTTGGCTTATTACAATCAAGTATTGATGGCCACGGTAAGGAAAGCATATGCATCAACTTCTTAACACATAGACTTGACTTCTTCTTGAGATGGATTTCAATTGCTTCAGTTATATGTAGGAGGTGAATTAAGATCAATTGGAATACGGTAGATAACTTTAAATGCCTTGTTAACATCGACTTTAGATTAATTATTCACAAGGTGAACTAAAGCACAACTATAAATAGACCTTGTTTATCCTTTGCTTAACGACGAAGGATGGTGTTTTAGAAATCCGATAGTGATCATGCTTGGTTGTACGCCCGATGTAACTGCCTCCACAGAAGTAGTCACACCGGTAAATACACGTAGGAAGGGTGAAATTAGGTGGTTTATCCTTTATTCTCGAACGTAGAATTGGGGTGGTTGTGAAGAGATAGTGTGCCTCTGCCTCACTGAATGCTACTCTAAACTTCTGAATGAAAATTTTGGTTGCGATTATTTGTGAAATTCGGCTTAATTGTATTTTACACATCAGTTTAATCATTTCTATCAATAAAGTTGTTGGTAAGCAGATAATACTATATAAGTTGTCCAAGGTTGGTAATAAAACGGTGCATAAAGCTATTCATGGCCGCTAATTTTCATCATTTCCTGTGTCCTTGTTAATACATTTCAAATTTCTAGACAACACGGCTCTCGTATATCTTTAGCAATATGATGAAAATGATAAAGGGGACTTAGAATAGACCGAATGTAAAAACCTACGAATATCAAGTTGAAAGTCATAACATACCTAAAAAATATGAAATACTTAGCTTGTTTAGTTCGCACAGAATAATGCAGATAATAAACGTTTGTGCTTTAGGATTATTTGTCCTTCACCTCTCTGTTCTTAATGAGTTAATGTAAAATTTTGGCTGGACAAGATTTTGATGACAATTTTCAAAAACATTGAAGAACTTCTAATGAACGAGTGGATTCTATATATCTTGAATATTTTATTTTTATTATTCCTTTTGGGTCCCGAGTGGAACATACAGCTTCAACAACACATCTCCACTTTATTCTATTTTCTGCTGTCCTCTTCGCCTGGGTCCATGATTCCCCATAATCTCTCATGTCTTCCTCCTTGCCACACGATCTCCTCCATGTCACTCTCACACCGACGATCCACTCGTCGCTTCCCACTGGGATTCCACTCGAGCAATAGCCTGCATTACACCTGATATCATTCGACGACCTCCTCAACGTATGCCCGAACAATCCATCTCCATTTTCTACATATTTGTTGAACGATCGGCTCTTGGTTGGTTTGTTCGTCGCCAGAGTTTCTTGTTACTTCTTTCTGGTCATTTGATTTTCAGTATGAACCCAAAGAAGGCGACGTTGATAAAGTCTTCAGTGGCCTGTTGGAAATCCTTTTCATGACGAGCAGTGCAAGTTTTTGACCCGTATAAAAGGACCGACTTGACATTTGTATTGAAAATCTGAATCTTGTTCATTATGCCACGGAGTGCAGAAGATTTCCAAACTGGTTTCAGGTTAATAAGGGGGTATCTTGCCTTTCCGAATTTTGGCTGGATGGCTTTGACATCTTCATCCGTTCCGAGTATTTGTAGTTGAAACAGTGCTTCCTAGATAAGTGAAGCCAGGGAGTAACCACTGTCAAATCTCTCCTGTTGATGGTGACGGGTGCTGGTTTTTGTTGTTGTTGGTTGGTTGGTTGTCTTCATCACCTCCATCTTCTCTTCTCTGTCTTCGCTGCCTGCCTCTTCAGACAGTTTGTTGGTTTTTGCCTGTAAGTGTTCGAGTTTGTGTGGCATTAGACATAAGTCATCTGCGAAATCCAGATCTTCTGGAGTCTTCTTATCTGTGGTCCATCGTATTCCTGTCTCCTCGCTCCTCAAACTCTGACGCATAATCCAGTCCACCACAATTAAGAATATCATCATCGGTGATAATAGACAGTCTTGTCTTACTCCCGAGTTTCCCGTTGTGGATCATCTGACACGTGGCGTTGTCATATAGCCAACCAGCTGTTGAATGAGGTTGATAAAGACTTGGAAACTGCATGTCGTAGTATTGAAGTAGTTTCCAAATCACTTCTAGGTCAACACTATCTGTTGAAGGCCTTTTCGAAGTCGATGAAGTTGTTGAGATAGAGAGAGGCTTGATATCTTGAACGATTAGTGAAAAAATTAGGCAGCGTAAAGTTTAAAATTATTTTTATTTAAGGAAACTTATTATATGTAATAAGAAATGCATCACATAAAATTTCTGTAAAAGTCGTATTAAGAAATGGAAAATAAAATAGAGGTTTGAAGGAAACAACAATTGTCTGGAAAGCATTCTAACTTAAATAAGCTCAAAGAAGTCATATCTCGTTGGTCTAAGCACTCAACTTTCAGTCAGTAGGCTATATTTCGCTTCTCAAGGCGTTTACACAGCTAACTGGCACCACTTCTCACTAACCAATACAATGGATGTACAGAGAAGTGTTGTGCACAAATTCATACGTGGTTAATAATAAACTCTGAGTAATTTGGAAGTGTTTGTTATGATTCTTATAAGATATTTCGTAGCCATCAAACTCTACCCGTCAGATGATGATATTTATCATTTTTAAATATGTGCCATTAGGTCTCAAAACTAATTACACTGTTCCCACTGGGTTTGAGAAATTTGATCGACACTGGCACCCGTTGGGTCTGTCTGTCTCTGTCTAGATTCAACATAGAACTTGGCACCGAAGTGCACTAGCTCGAGTTGCCACGTTCCAAATAGCACACAAAGGTAGACAAGAAGATGAGTGAAGAGAATCAATACAGTCTGACAAGTATAAGAGTGAAACAGAATGGGTAATGGTAGAAAGAAATATGAAAGATTACAGAGACTGAATACATCTGCGCCATTGACAACGATTTTGAGCCATGTCACCTATTGTCTCCAGCCATTGATTCCTAGAGTCCCGAGGCCCCCAACCCGGAGTCTGCATCTCCCTACCTGACTCAGTTTAACTGTCAAGGATTTCATGGATTGATGCCATGTTTTTGTTTGGCCACCACTGGCTCTTTTCCAACCTGAACCTATATCAGCTAACAATGCCCGTCGGGGGAGGCGGTGGTTAGGCATGCGCACCACGTGACCTAGCCATCTTAGTCTATGTAACTTTATAACCTCGTCGATTGATTTTCCCTCTTTGCCCAACACTCTACGCCTAACGTCAACATTACTTACCTTATTAAACCACCTAACGTGAGAAAGAGATCGCAGACATCTATGATCGAAAGCAGTCAACCTTTTCATGTCTTCAACGCGTATTGGCCATGTTTCAGAGCCATAGAGAAGGACGGAGCGAACTGATGAGCAGTACACACGTCCCTTGGTTGATAGCCGAATGTCACGCCTACGCCAGAGATGGTGTAAGTCAGCAAAAGCAGCTCGAGCTTTTCGGATCCGTGCTGAGATTTCATCGCCAATCAGTCCGTTGGTGCTAATACAACTTCCCAAATAGGTGAAGTGGTCAACATGTTCTATCACTTCACTCCCTATCACTAAGCCAGGAGTTGACGTGGTCCAGTCCTGTAGCAGCATGTTACATTTTGCAGGGGCGAATCGCATGCCAAACATACGAAGATTGCTGCTCAAGGTGTTCAGAAGACTCTGCATTTTGTCAGGATCCTCCCCTAACAGGACTATGTCATCTGCATATTCTAAGTCCATAAGACTATCCCTGGTAACAAGTCTATTCCTAAGTCATTACGTTCAGTTAAGGATACTTCCATCAGCATATATATGATGAAGTTAAACAGGAATGGGGAAAGTGGACATCCCTGTCGGACACCACTGGTTGTTATCAATTCAGATCACCCATTGAGTATACAAAGTAGGCAAATATCGTTGACTCAAACCGGCCGTGTATCAAAAATCTTATCCATACGTTGCGAATCTGAGCTTTTTCATCGAGACGGATCTCGTGATGGCTCTGAAGCTGATGGAGACCGATGTATGAGACTCACATTTTGGAATATGCGACTGATTGTCTTGTTCATCACACCTTTCTACATGTACGAACACGTTGAATACTGCCGATGATCTATCTCAAAAGTTGAGTCGCTTGATAATTTTGCGAAGTACTCTGTATTTCAATAGTGCAAAGTACATGTTTTACTTTTATATGTATAAAATAGAATTCGACAGTCTTTCATATTATTGTACAATATATACCATATCATTCAGTGGCTTCAGGCATGTTCATCCTCTGATAACATTGTTTATGAATAGCTAATTTTATGTTTCTTTAGAATTTAATTCAGATCCGAATTTCACAACGCGAAAGAGACCAGAGAAATGAAGGTTGTGCTATACATATCTAGGTTAAGGCATAAGCAGTTCACGAGTGGGTAAACAAATTGAGATCACTTTGATTTGGCTACGGGGTGGTAACTAAGGTCATGCGTCTAGTCCTTTGTGTGGTAGTGGCTGCAATATAGCCACCATGATAGAGGTGGCTTGCCATCACGATCAACTGTGAATTACTGTCTGGTGGTTGAAGTCGATTGGCGGCAAGCGAGTCATCTAGCATGTTGGCCGCGCTGCAAATTTGATTGATAGAATTCAGGCTGCATCAAAAGAAGGACTAGACGCATGACATTAGGTACTACTTAGTGCCCAATCAAAGTATCCATTGCAGTCTCAGGGAGGTCAGTAGCGAGTCCGGGCAGTTCAATGTTCACGTCTCTGACTGCAGCACCGGGCGATTGGGGTTCGAATCTCAAAAGGGACTTGATTCCGCCCAAGATTGTAGGTACGTGATGTTGACAACAAGCTTGAAACCTTTGTCCACAGCTTCCGGTTGGTCAAATCTTGATCAGAGTTTATATAAACTAATTTGTTTATGTTAGATAGTTGGAGGCAGTCGTCAGGAGGCTTGGACCTAGGTTTCGTGCTTGTTGCTAACAACACGTACCTGCAATCTTGAACAGACTCAAGTCCCTTCTGAGATTCGAACCCATGTCACCAGTGCTGCAGCTAGAGACGTTATCACTGAGCTATTCAGCCTTTCGATTAACCTCCTGTAGGACCGTATCAAATATTTTGATTGGACACCAGTGAATAACTAGTGTAATGCGTCTAATCCACCAAAGACAGGAATAAACACATTACACTAGTTACTGACTAGTGTCGAACCAAAATAAAAATAATTTGATTGTCTGTATAAGGTTGTGCAATCAAATTTATAACAACTTCTAGTTTGCCCCATTAGCTTAAATTTTCAATTCTGGTATAAGGCGGTTTCAACGCATTACTACAGAATATGGTTATTTGAAGAATAGACAGAAATAGGGAGGCTTATACGGATAAACTCCTGCCTTACCTCTCTTCATTTTGACACAAAATTCTGTCATTCTAGTTAACTTTGCAGAAGCTCTGCAGACAGATATCTGTTCAGCGATTTCTTCCTCGAAAGCAGCTGTAAAATCGCATTTATACATACATAGACGTACATAGATACAATTATAATTTATTCCACATACTAATGGAGATTAGAAGACATACTAATTTCCAACTTTATCGGAAAGTTTTAAGGTTTGAATGTGAATTACAAGAGACACAGAAGCAAAATTATGCAAGGTTAAAAAGGGTTGCGTAATGTGTAAAGTGGTTTCAATCGAAGACAGTTGAAAATGGGATTTTCATAGACACAAATTGAAATAATACTCTTATAACTAAAAATGAAAAATATGAAGGGAATAAAAAAAACAACAAAAACTAAGGAGCTAAACAGAACTAGATCCCAGGTAAATGTGGAAGTTGGTCTAGTGTCATTTGAACATATTCCTCCGGCTTCTCGTGGCATATGTTGTGTGTTTCTGCAGTACAAATAATTCGGGAACACACTGCCTTTGGTCAATTTTTGTTCACTGTATAAATGACTTTGAATGATAAGTTAGTTGAGGTGGTGTGGCAGGTACTGACTAGGTTTCCAATCATAGCGCTACCGGTTGGACCATTGTCTCCTCTTTGCAGGTCGTGCTTGGTGGTGTTCTCTAACGTTTTTTGAAAGGATGCTCATAGAACAATCTATTTACTTAGCTTCATAGGAGCAGGTGAATTGATACATACGCTTTAGAATGGCCAGATGCAGAAGTTTGTCCTTTGAATTGCTCAGAAGCATTTGACGACTGGAGAATGCCACTCTTAGGGAGAAGGTTTTATTTAGGGAACTAGTGATTCTATTCTGTAGGATATCTGTCAATAAGTCTCCCCTGAAGTCCCCGTTCATGCGTAGTATAGTATAGTAATTATTCACCATAGACTTGAAAATTTCTAATAGGATTCATGTATAATCTTTTGTTATAATAATCAACTTATACAACAACTTCTTGTTTTTATATTTTCAGTACACAGAGGAAGCATTGCTGGATAAAAAGTGTGGAATTACTTTGCCTGAAGAAGAACAGATAAGTGATATACCCACAAACGATTATGATCCTTGGTGTTGTATGTGTGATGAAGACGCTAACATGATGTGCCAAGAATGCGATGACTACTTCTGCAAACGATGTTTTAAGTATGTCTTTCCTCATTTTTCATGAAAATATGAGTCTATATATGTGCTTTCTCAAAACAGCATTCCACTTAATATATATATATATATATATATATATATATATATATATATATATATATATATATAGAATATGCCTTGCCGCTTAGTGGAAACACCTACATATGTTTCTTTTGCGTTGTATGAAATAGATGGAGGGAATTTTTGAGATGCTGTATTCTACTGTCTAGCTGTGGATAGTATGTAGGTGCTATGGAAATCAGCCCTTGTTTTCCACTCACTTAACATTTTCAATACTCATATACTATTCAGCCACTGGGACTTGACTCAATGGCCAGCCCATGAATTCTAACTTCTACCAATTCGTGATCTGTTTTAGCGCGACCACCAACCAATATCATCGGTGGGAAATCCATCCTTACACTTAACTGGATGGACCTCACTGGTCAAGACTTCTCACTAGAATTTCAGGAAACTCGTTCTGTAGCAAGTCACTAGTGAGGAACAGGTCAATTTTCAAGAGTTGGTTTGTAAGGATTAAATTTGTTTTTACGAGTTTGACCACGGATTGATATCAGTCAGTTAGAGAACCACTGAAAACCAGCCACAGAGAATACTGGACAGCTGTTTCATCCTAGCTTGGGAATCATCAGCAGTACGCACCCACCAGCAGGGTTCGAACCCAGGACCTTCCGGTTACAAGGTAAGCTCGTATACCATTCAGCCACTGTGATCCGATTCAATAGCCCATGAATTTTGACACCTGTTGGCTGCTTACTGCCGATGATTCCCATAAAACTAGAATGAAATAGCTGTCCAGTACTCTTTGTAGCTGGTTGTCAATGATTCTCTAAGTGATATCAATCCGTGGTGAAACTCGAAATACATACCTAATCCTTACAAATCAACTCCTGAATATTTTTTTAATACTGTTAAGGTTTACTGAAATTACTGATAAGGAGGAGCACTCACATTTCTCTCTGTGATGATAATTTGTTTAGTTAATGTAGAAATAATTGGCTATTTTTATTTATTTATTCAAACCGAAACTTGTCATGTAATGGGTACTGAGAGGTGGTGTGCCGAAGCGAAGAATTCGTTGACGATGTTCATTATGTTAAGTGCTAATTAATCACTTCTTTTTTTGTAGAAATATTCGTCATTAGAGTTTAGTATTACCCAAGGAAATGCGGTTTTTCCTAATTCTTCCTGGTGTTGTTTCGAATGGAACATAGGGCTTCAAGCTTTCAGACTTCAGTGTTTTCATGAGTTAGTTAATAGGGATTTGGTTTGTTTCGAGTTTGATCACGAGGTGATATAAGTTAGAGGACTATTGAAAGCCAGGGAGTACTTGATAGATGTTTTGTTCTGGCCTGGGACTCTTCGTCAGTACGCACCCAGTGGGTGTCAAAATTCATAGGTCATTGGATTAGATCCCGGTGTCTGAAACGGTCCCTTAGCTTGCCCTGTAATTGGAAGGTCCTGATTTCGAACTCTGGTGGGGGTGTGTGGCAAAACTAGGACGAAACAATTCTCCAATACTCTGTTTTTTTAATCATTCTCTGGTAAATATATTGCTGTGGAAAGATACTGAATGTAGTTGAAACTCAGCAAGATATTGTCAGGATTCAAATTAATCACTTTTAATCGAGCCTTTATGTTAATTTGCTGATCAAATTCCTCCCAACATTTAGGTCAGTCTGTCTGCTAGATGGTTGAATCGGTTAGGCAGTATCCAGTTGTATGTATTAGTTAGAAGTAAGGTGTTATAATTAAAACCAGTGAAATATTATTGTCTGTGGACTTGAATAATTTTCATTCAGACATCTATAAAACACAAAATAATTGAGCAAAGAATATCCTTTTCGATAAATTCCTCTTCTGGCTCTACAATTATATATATAGAAGTTAGAATTCATGGGCCATTGGATCGGGTCCCAGTGGCTGAACTAACTTCTTTTGGATGCATAAATTAGGCTTGTTATTATGGATCCCCACAGCCTCAGCAATATTTAGTGGTCAAACTCTCAAGGCAAAATTGAGATTCGTTGGTATACGGTAAATGACCCTGAAAGCATGGTTAACGTCAGTCTTGTGTTGTGTCTCCACAAGATGAGATGGAATAGCGCTACGAATAGATTTTGTTTGTCCTTTGCTTAACCACGCAGGATGTTCGGAAATTCGACGAGAAAGATGCCTAGTTGTACGGCCTATGAACTAACTGGCTCCACAGGAGCAGTTGATCTTACTTTACAAATCGATATTGTTTAAAAAACACTAATATTGTTATTGACTACTAATCTAGAATATTCTGTGTATATGAACATATATATATAATTGTAGAGCCAGAAGAAGAATTTATCGAAAGGGATATTCTTTGCTTAATTATTCTGTGTTTTCATAGATGTTTGAATAATTTTACCATTTTATAATTTTCTTACGAGCAAACCAATTGGTTAGGAGTACTACAGTTCGCCTAACTTGAGTATTGTCGCTACTGCTGATAATAATATCATTATTAGGATTGTTTTTAGGACTGATGGAAAAACATTGAATCCAGTTTTAAGCACAAAGCAATCAGCTTTAATTATATCTATCAACTGGCTTTGCATACTTTATTAGTTGTATAGATCGAACACCTGTGTTGTGTGAATAAATAGCTTTACGAGTGTATTATTACTGTTATCACATTGGGTTCCAAGTAAAACATAGGGCTTCAACACCACGTCTCTATTTCATTCTGTCCTCTGCAGTCCTCCTTAGCTGACTCGATGATTGCCTTTACGCTCTCATCTCCTCTTCATATGATTGATCTCCACGTCACCCTCGGTTGTCCAACTCGCCACTTCCCATTCGGGTTTCACCAGAGGACCTGAGGCGTGATGTCACTCAGTGGTTTCCCCAGTGTGTTTGTGTGTCCCCGATGCATCTCATTTTCCTTCTTCATATTTTTTAGGGTGGCGAGTGGTTGGTTAGTTCATTATCAGAGTTTCTTGTCGGTAATTTGATTAGATTTTAATTTTCCCGTCGATTGATTGCATCTAATTGCTTGGTCTCAGGTTGACATGTCGGCTTCTTGTGCAGATACTTCAACGATGTCTGAGCAGGTAATTAGAATTTAATTGGTGAGTGGTGACTAGCAGTGGAATCCAGGATGCTTATTTTGTTCTATTTGGGACTCGTCATCATCATCACTCACTGGGGAATGCAAGTACATCCAGATGATGAGTCCCAAATAGGACGAAATGCGCTTTATCCTGGATTCCACTGCTAGTCACCACTCACCAATTGTATTTCTTGTCGGTAGTCGTTTCTAGCACACCATCTGATCTTCAGTATAAAGCAAAGGTAGCTGTTGATGAAAGTTTTCAGTAGACTGTTAGAGATGCTTTTCGTAACACACCATATAGAAGTAGGCGTTGAAACTGCCATTAGTATTAAAAATTCAAATCTTATTTCTTATACTGAGTTCATTCAGCAGATTTACGCTAACTAGTGTACGATTATACGGATTTTTTTGTAAATAAAAAGGTTGTAATTTTGATCTTTTGTTTACTTTTATTTCAGTAAAACGCATAATAAACGAGAAAGAGCTGAACATCGAACAGAAGTTTGTAAATCAACTCGTTAAAGAAAAAGTAGCTTTGTCAATCACAGCACCAAAATCACACCCCTTATAATTCAATCAAAACTAAGCGTTTTTCATTTGAAAATCAGCAGAAAAGAAGATCATTCACCAAATCACATTTATAAAACAATCTCTATTTATGTAAATACTTTACTTATTTACTTTTCTTCTCAACAGAACTCTTGTTTGAATTTATTTAATTTCCTATCGGCGCTTGATTTGATTTCACAGTATTTCCCTGTTTAGTTTCTATAAAATTAACTTTTAATTAGTCGTAATGATGTTAATAAGATTTCTGTTGATTGAAAATTTAAGCTTTTTTGTTATTGTTACATTGTCTGTGTGTGTGTGTGTATATATATGTGAGGCGAACTGATACCCTTAATTCGTGAATATGTTCATTTGTCTTATTCATATGATAGTATCCTAGCTTGTTTATTGCTTATCATAGATTTATTTGGACAATATCTTTATTTAAGTTCATGTATGAATACGGAAGGATGCATGGAAAAGAGGGGGAGAGAGAGAAACTGATGAATCAACTGAGAAGCTTACACAGACGTGTGCTGCAGGAATTCATAGGATGCCAATTTCATTTTTGTTTACAAGATGGTGGTCTCGGCAAGGCTTCTAGTGCGCGTCGGTGGCACAGTGGTTAGGACGCTCGCCAATCATGCACATGGTCTGGGGTTCGATCCCAGGCCACTGACGCACTCCCTTACCTCACTAAGCCAGTAATAAAAAAAAGGCTGGCAAAGAGGGAAGGTTAGGCATGAAGCTAGCAACGCCATCCTGTAAAAATAAACACCACTGCTACAGAAACTCCAAGCCTCTAGCTTGAGGCCCTATGCTCCACTGGGCAACGTGAAGGAAATAAAAAAAATTACAAGAGTTACCAAGTTGTATTTTTAGCGTAATTTCTTCACTTCAGATGCTCAAATTTAGACTTGTAAGGCTAAAGTGAAACAAAAAAAATTCGATTTTTGACACTAGTGTATGAGAGTGAAGACATGGTTTATCATCTTGAGCACTTAACTTTCAACCTGTGTGGTGGACGTTGAGCTCCATTCTCTCCCCGTCTACTTCAGCCTGGGAAACTGAACGGTATCATCAGCCTCCACATACCAAAATCAAATCTACACAGTTCGAGGAGGGAAATCCCACCCATTCATCTAACTGGTTGGTGTGAGTGGTATACAACTACTAATTTGAATCAGTTAGTCAGTAGTATATAGTATCATGTATTTATGCTTGTTTTCGTGTGATTACCCTTTATGCTGTGAAGCGTATCTTACTTACTTTTTACTTTACTTCGGCTATCTCCTACGGGAGGATGAGCCGGCTTCATGAACGTCTCGAATCATCGCTGCCCAGGCGCGGCAATTTGTAAGAGAGTTCATGAAGTTTCATGGGAATTTGGTACGAGTGATGTCCCCAGCATCGTTCGGCCTTTTGTTTGAGAGTGCAGCTCTAGCCTTTACATAGCCAAGTGTGACCTACAAGGCAGTAGGAGTGGAGTAAGGAGTCCACTATCCATTGGCAGCCGGTGACCGGAGTTCGGTTCATACGCCTTTTTGAATGGGGCCAGACATCCAGGACATCCAACAAGCCCTTTGTCCATACGTCTGCCGGTGAGCTCCAGTGAGCTTCATACGCCAGTCGTTGGAGGTTTGGAATCAGGGTTTAGCCATCTCCCCTAGACCGTCATCCAATGGACAGTCAACCCGGTGGAGAGCGCCGGGCATCCGCGTGAAGCGTATCATGTAAACATATTATTGTGATCTGAATAATTTCGGTTTGCAAAGGAAACCGTGGTAAAATTTCACCTCCTCAAATGGTGTGTAAATTGCAAATTGAGAATTCGATTTATAATGGTAACACTAGTGTTCACCCAAGTAACTAGCCAACCAGAAATCGGGTGATTTGAACTGATTCGGTTCTCTGACCTAGGATAAACGGGTGCACCACTGATAAGCTCTGTTCAAAACGAGCGAAACAGCCTTTCGGTGTTTATCTCCATTATGGATAAGGTTTTATTTTGATAAATCACACAGTTGTGTTATACAGTAATATTTACTGATGACCACGTTTCGAGAACAAATTATTGCTGCTCATAATCGGTGAAGTTAAACTTTCGACACCATTAACTACCAATCAGTGAATTATCCAATGAGATTCACGAGGCATGTCGAATTATCCAATGAGGTTCACGAACGCTGTTCAATGTTGTATAGCGCTTGATTCATTTCTAATGCGTGACCTTACAAGGCTATTGTTGCAATTCGAGGAGGTTAGTGTTTTCCAGTATTTCCTGGATTTGAGTTGCTCCGGAAAGAGCGAATTTGTCTGTGTGGTGGTATCATGACTTTAAAAAGCTATACCAAATCAACTGATGGAGTTGTTCATCGTTGTGCTATATGTTTGAAGCCTACTAACACTAGAGAAGGTAAGCTGATAATTTTAATATTTCGTAGGAACTTTTTTCGCTAGGTCGCTTCTCTCCCTAACCCAGATTTTGTATATCTGCATCTAATGGGTGTTGAAACAGGGTGTGAGAGCAGCAGGGTAATAGGTTTGTATGACACCTCCCTCCGAAAGGGATTCGTCGAAAGGATAGCAGATAGAAAAGCAACTACTCTTATACCTATTATTACCAGACTTGTTAAGCGGGGGTCATTTATACACACGGACAAGTGGAAAGGCTACAATTCGCTGTCATCTCTGGGATATATTCATCATAGAGTCAACCATTCAAGTGATTTTGTGGATCCCATTACGAGGACACATACAAATTCTATTGAAGGATTTTGGGGCAGGTTGAAAAATAGGATAAGGGCTATAAATGGATCTCATTTATAGTCATTTGGATGAATATATGTACGGGATATGGTGTAACTTCTCCATTGACAGTCCCATGCTAAACTGGGAGATGTTTCTCTCACATGTTCGAGAAAGATATCCCATGTAACTTTTTTATTCTCTATTTTATGCTTTTTTTCTATGAATATACATTTCCATTCATCATATATGCCTCTTTAATGTGATTGGTCCGTTAAAGGTCGTTTGCTGATTGGTTGTTAGTGGTGTCTAAAGTTTAACTTTGCCTCATAATCATTATATCAAGGCACTACTCACACAACTTTCCTGCTTCATTTATATACATGAGTAAAAATTGATGATCATTTGTTATTATTATTGTTCCCTTGGGTTCCTAGTGGAAAATAGGGTTTCAACTGCACGTCTCCACTTGATTCTGTCTTCTGCTGTACTTATCACCTGCATCCATGTTAGTCCATGCCGGTTCAACTCCTCTTCACACGATGTCCTCCATGTCACCCTTGCACTGACATCCCCTTGTCGCCGCTTCCCTTTCGGCCTGGTTCCACTCGAGCGATGGCCTGACGCTAGCGCGATATCACCCAGCGGCGGCCTCCTCAGGGAGTGTCCAATCCATCTCCACTTTCTCCTGCATATTTGTTGGTTGGCGATTGGTTCTTATTTTGTTTGTTCCCATAGTTTCTTGTTGGTGGTGATTCTTTCCGGCCTGGCCATCTGATTGATCTTCAGTATAGAGCCAGCGAAGACAATTAGTTGTTGATAAAGGTCTGCAACCTTTTGGAAATATTCTTTGTGACCCGCCCACCAAGTTTCTGATCCGTATAGAAGAGCTGACTGACTTGACGTTTTTATTGAGAATCCGACAGAATTTTGATGCTGAGTGATGAAGATTTTATGTCTAATGTCAAATGTCTATTCAAATGTCTAATCATCAAAAATTGATGATTAGACATTTGAAGAAAATGAGTAGACTACAACAAGATAGGAACTAAGATGTTTTTTATAGTAAAAATAAGCAGCTTGTTAGAATGTCATAATGTGAATTGAAACACATTTTAACATTATTTACTATCCTCATCTGATTTGACTGGCGGTAATAATGTCTTCCATATTTCTGGTATTTGCATTGAGTCATTTCTGTTGCATGTGTTGTGTTAGGTGTAGTCGATTCGATGAACAAAGATTCAGTAATCAGCCTCTCTCAACCTACAGTTTTACCACATAAGGAGGGGACATCTGAGATCCAACATAGGATTCTCGATAAAGCATGAATTAGAGTGTCATTCAAACCTACAAACTCAGGCAGGGACAATCTCTGTATACTAAATGACCCTGCAGGTTGACCCAATTAGACAAAATAATATAATTTACAAAATACCTTGCAATGAATGTGAGTTAAGTCAACAACATAGGTCAAACTAGTATGTTGAGGGTAGTCAGATTGCCGGAAAATAAGAAACTTGCTAAGGTTAGAATGATTGATCCCACGATGATAAGTAATGTAGAAAACGACCCAGCAATTGCACTGCATGCATTAACACACAACCACACAATAGGGTGGCTGGGACAGAGTCAAAATTCTAAAAAGTAATGCAGGTAGGTGGAGATGGAGAGAGATTGATTACTGAATCCTGTCTGGTTCATCGAGTCCACACCCAACACGTGCAATAGAAGTGACTCAATGCAAATACCAGAGATATGGAAGGTATTATTACCACCAGTCAGTTAAATCAGAGGAGGATAATAAATAATGTTAAAATGTATTTCAATTCACATTATGACATTCTAACAAGCTGCTTATTTTTACTATAAAAAACATCTTATTTCACATCTTATTTACTATCCAATATCTTATTTACCATCCAATATCTAGTCCATTCCACACATGTATATAAATGAAGGAAAAAGTTGTGTGAGTAGCTTGATGTGATTATGAGCAATAATTTGTGCTGTAAACGTCATCAGCTAGTATTACTGTGAAACACTGTGTGATTTATCAAAATAAAATCCTATTCATAATAAAGTTATACTCTACCACAGTGTCCAAGTTTTATACTTTCGTTGTTTGCATTATTTCAATCTGGCTGGTAGGCACTACTGCTTGTTGTGAGTGGCATATAGCTATTCACCTCAGTCAATGAATGTTACATCATTTTATAACCTTAGCACGATGCATGAAACACCTTCTTCTGCAGGTAACTGACTTCAGAGAATAGGAGTTGTATGATAACACCTTGAGTTGATTTGTCTAAACATTCCATTTTCAAAGCATGTGCAACTGTCTGAATTTCATTATAGAACTTTGAACAGAGATGGAGCAGTTGAAGTTGCCACATTCTATGTAGCACACAAGAGTAGATAAAAAGAGATTTCGAACCATACCATCAATAGTCTCAAGTCATTGATTCTTAGAATCCCAAGGATCCCATCCAGTCAGGAAGTTTACACCTCCTTACTTGACTCAGACTAACCTTTAAAGATTTCATGAACTGACTGAAAGTTTTAGTTTGACCATCCCTAACTCTTCTCCAATCTGATCCATCCTATGTCAGCTAAAATTGCTCGCTGAAGAATGACGTGGTTTTGGCATATGCAATACATGTCCTACCTATCTCAATCGATATAGCTTCACAATCATATCGATTGATTTTCCCTCCTTACATAAGACTCTACACCTAACTGTGATATTACTCACCATATTATCCCACTTAACACGGGTAATAGAACACAAATACCAGTGGTCAGAGACAACTAGCCTTTTAATATCTTCCTTTTTCGATAGACATGTCTCATAGCCATAAAGGAGGACAGAGTGAACCGCTGCGCAAGTACACACCAGGTTTGATTGATAACCGGATATCACATCTTCGTCAAAGATGATGATATTGGCTAGCGGTCGCGCAATGTCGTGAACCGGCAGAAGTTAGAATTCATGCGCTGGTCATTGGATCGGGTCCCAGCGGCTTAATGGTCTACGAGCTAGCTCGCCTTGTGACCAGAAGGTCGTTGGTTCGACCCTTGGCGGTGGATGCGTACTGATGAAGGGTCCCAAACTAGAACGAAACAGCTTTCCAGTACTCTAACCAATGTCAGCTCATGATGAAATCCTGTAACCAATCAGTCGAATCCCTACAAACCAATACTTGAATATGATGACGTAAGTTGGTGATTGCCACACTAGCCTTTTGTATCTGTGCAACTAGTTATAATTTACGGAATCCTTCGGGTAGAATACCGTATCACTGATCTCTACACGTACTTGCACTCACTTGATGATTAGTGTATACATCTTAAAAGTAATGAATGGAACAATTTGCTTTCCAACCTACAAAGTTGATATACCTAGTGTGTAAATGTAAATATCCAAGACGAAGAAAAAAGGCCACTGATTTTTTTTTTAAATATTGATTTTCGAGATGCACTGTGAAACATTCTCATTTTCTTTCTAGAATGTAAGTGCTTAATAGATTTTGTTTTTTTACATTTGTGCACTAACTACTCCTACTGATATAATGATTAGTTATTTTCATCATTTGTGCACACTTCACAGGTGGTGGTGGTGGTCAATTCACTGTTACTCTTCATTGCTGTACCTAGAGTTTTAATAGAGTATAGTAAAACAAAACGAAAGAAGAAGAAGAAGGTTAATCATCACATGTTTTGAAAATATTTTCATCTTTTGGATAAGTAGGCATAAATTTTACCAATATCCTTATACAATTATAGGAAACTTACTAAGATTGTGGTTCTGAATCCGCATGATTACTGTTATTTGTTCTCCCACAAAGCTTTCATTTCCTCTTTGCGGGATCTCTTCTATGTTACGCTCGGAGATCCAACTCGTTACTTTCCACTAGGGTTCCATTCGAGTGTTGTATCACTTAAACGCCTCTTCAGCGTATGTTCTATCCATCTTCATTTCCCTCCTTTCTTAAATGATTCGCTGCACTGCCAAAGTTCTTTGTTGACTATCTTCTTTGACTGGCCATCTAAACTTCAGGATTCAGTCAGCAAAAGGGGCGGGTATTGATGGAAGGGTGCAGTTTTGTTGGTAGTGATTTTTGTGATGCAGTGAGACTCTCAACCATATATAGGAGCACTGACTTGTTATTAGTGTTTTTGATCCAGATATTGTTCGTTGTTCTGAGTGCTCCACAGGGATTTCAGAGTAGTCTTTTCCTGATCTTGGCTTTTACATCTCCATCTATGCCTCCTGCTTGCGGTTGAAAAGATGCTGCTTAGGCAAATGAAAGTGGTGACTTCCGTTAGATATTTCCCATTGATGGTGATTGGTGGTTAGTTGTGTCTTTATAACCTATTTCCTCTCTGTGTACATCTGAATTCCTATCTTCGTTGCTTCTTATGCCTACCTGTAAATCTTCGAGTTTGTGGAACACAGGACGCAAATCATCCACGAAGCCCAAGTCTTCTAGTTTTGGTGTGTACGTACGTCTATTTTCTCACCCTTTACGACCTGTCACATAATTCAGTCCACCACTGTTGGGAAGATCCTAGATGGCGATTGACAGCCTTGCCTTACTCCTGTTTAAACATAAGACTGAAGTTAATTGGAGGATGATAACTAGCAGTGGAATCCAGGATGCTCATTTCGTCGTATTTGAGAGTCGTCATCAGCTAGATGTACCTGAGTCCAGCAGTGAGTAATGGTGTCCCCACAGAGGCTCGAACTCAGTGCCAATAGTTTCAAACGCCAAAGCGTTATTCACTGGACCATTTAGGCCACGAGAGTCACTTCTAGTGCAACGGGGCATATTAATTATTTAATTGAACTTTAGATTTTCTAGTCGGCTGAATTAAATAATTAATATTCCCCGTTGCACAAGGGTGACTCTCGTGGCCTAAATGGTCCAGTGAATAACGCTTTGGCGTTTGAAACTATTGGCACTGAGTTCGAGCCTCTGTGGGGACACCATTACTCACTGCTGGACTCAGGTACATCTAGCTGATGACGACTCTCAAATACGACGAAATGAGCATCCTGGATTCCACTGCTAGTCATCATCCTCCAGCTAACTTCTAGTTACATGACCAGTTATCGTCAAAGCATCTGCACAAGGAGGTGCCGACATGTCAACCTGAGACCGATCACTTCGGTTCAATCAATCGACAGGAAAATCTAAAATTGAATTAAATAAAACCAAAGGTTGGTAGGAAATTGAAAATCCCCAAAAATCATTTCTTGTATTAATGTGAATAATTTACAGATACATTTGAGCGGAATCCTTCTGTCTGGTTCAAAACCAAGTTGACTGTAATAGCGTGCACTCTTCCAGCAATACATTAATTCTACACTGTTCCCAATTAACTAGTCAACAAGACTTCTAAGCTATTATATTTGTGTATACATTGAATGGTGACGATGATGTAGCCAATGTCATTCATCTGTCTAGTCCTGGTACTAGTACAGACTGAATTCTTTTGTCACAGTCAAGTTTACTATGTGATCAGCCAATCATGGTATCTCGTCAATGTAATGCCCATTGAACTGATCTTAGATGGTTGAAGGCAAGTGACAAAAAGCCTTCGTCAGTAAGATGTCTCTGCGGTCGAAAATTCGAACTCATGGACATAGTATCGGTAATATTTGAATGTATGCAAGAAAACGCACTATAAATGCTTTTACAATAATATATTTAGTCAATAACAATATGCAATTTGACTAGTTACATAATTCTCTATGAGATACTTGAAAATTGAAGTATATATATATACATATATTTCATTGCGTGTCGAATATCATGAGGATATTCGACGTTGTGCACATTTTTGATGTTTAGACTAGTTCTCCAGTATATTTACAATTGTACCATACAATTTGGTAGTTAGTGTTGCCTTTCTGTATTGTTCTCACAGGGTTTAAGAGTAGTCGAATGCGTGTGTACTAGGCCTTCGGATAAATTGCATTCCATTCATACACAATCCTCTTCTGTAATAATTATTATTTGTCACATGAGAAAATAAACGGCAAGGAAAAAAATTACAGTCAACTTACCAGTGGCTAAATTAACACTGATATCATTTAGTGCAATATTCATTCGTAGTGTTGGTTTACACCTTAGACGGATAATTGGTTGAATCAATCGAATCTGTGCACCTATATTATTATTATTACCGTTATTATTTAACTCTGAGTCCAATTTATACAAATATAGCATAGCGGCATCATTTTCATATTTTCGTGTAAAATCTGGTGCTGAAAATATCGTCAATAGACGTGGATTAACAAAAAATTCATAACCCTTCAACATTAATTCACTTGAACGGACAATTTGTTTTACACCTATACGCTTACAAAATTCACTCACTGCATTCGATCCATACAGATAACCTTGACCACAAGGGTTTTGATCCCATCCATTAGTTTCATCATCAGGATCAGACCATATAAAATGCATTAATAAACGATTACTTTCAATATCTGCGGGTAGAATAATATTTTGTTCAATAAAGGCAATAAATTGTGTTTGTGATTTAATATCGAATTGTTCAATCATCGGTGAGATACCACTGTGTACACAGAAGATTTCATTTTCTATAATTGCCATAATTGGCATATACTGAAATATTTCCATTAGAATATGCCAAAAATTTAAACTGAATCGTTTACCGCATTCTTTATAAAAACCATGTGCTTTTGTCAACCGTACACATTCATGTTTACCTCTTAACAGGTATATTGACTTTGGATAGCATACTTTATAGATAATTAAAAGTAGGATAGTCTCCATACTCTGTGGTCCATGATTAATATAATTCCCAAGGAATAAATATTTTTTCTCTGGTGGATGACCATAATAATTTAATATTCTTAATAAATGTCCATATTGACCGTATATATCACCGATAATTGTGATAGGTTCAGTCAAGTCTAACTGGAGACAAACAGGTTCAGTCATTAAGATGTCTGGTAGAAATAAGGCAATATCCAACACTTCTTTTTCGCTGATTTCAGCATTTATTCCCTTCAATATTTGCTTATCAGTTAAACGTGGTATCAAATTCATTGCTTTATTAATAACTAGACGTTTAAATTTATTGGATGATATCACTTGACTAGACATTTTTCCCTTTTTTTAAATAATAATATTATTATTAATTAAATTAATATCTTGACAAGAGAGGTAATATTATATCCAGGATTAATACCTAGCATATTTGCTGTGTGTGTGTGACCTTGAAGCGTTGGTTAAGAAAATCGATAGTATTCAATGTTTCAATATTTATGTGAATTAATCATGTGTTGTTATCATTATTCACATTGTGAATATAAGCTTGAATGAAATGCCTGGATATAAGTTGTTTTCTTGACACAAGAAGATTACTATTTTTATCAGAAGAGATATTGGTATCTTATTCACAAGAAAAAAAACTATTTTGAAATCGAGGTGGTGACTGATAAATTCACATGAAACCTTGAACAGAAATAGATTGGTTCAAGTTAGCGTGATTCACGCGGAAGAAATAAAGTGGTATTAAAATAAATAAAAATGTCATATGAGAAAAAATAAATTTGAATAGGAAAATCACACTTAACTGGTCAAATATTTAACATTAAATTAAATGAATTAATCAGGCTGAAATAAAATGTCAGTATTTCTTTGTAAATTTATTTGATGGTGACTTCACTGTGAAAATTAATCAGTACTCAGGAAGGAGGCTGTTTTATCCGCATATTACTAATATGTATGATCCAGAGCAAATAATAATAACACAGAATGACTTTGGATTCAGTTGGAGAGAGTTAAAGGTGGCAATATTGAACCATGGTACCAACCGATAAAGATATTGACGACTGGTATGAGTTAAGCAGAGAGCGAAAGAGAGATCAAGTTTGTCAACCAGAGATCTTCTGAATGCTGAGAGACAGCGTTTGTATACTCCTCGTGATATGGCTGGATACTATTCACAATGTAGCAGATGTATTCTTTCTACTTTATTGAAATTCTCACCATCTTTACTGATCTCCAGGAGATACTACTACTACTAATAATTTTTCCTTTATTCCAAAAACTGTACTAATGATACAACAAGGAATTTTCAGCATTCAGTACAATATTGCATCTAATTAACTCAAAACGACAAAAAAAAATAAACATTACACAATAAAAGTAATAACAAAACGTTGTTATAGCAGCTATGTAGCAAATTACAGTATGAAATAAGGAGAAAAGTAGTAGTAAAACCTAAAATAAAACAGCTAAGTTATAATTAAACGATAGAAAGGATGACACCATAAAATTACAGAAGGATGGACGACGAAAGGGTCGATTCACTTTGCTAATTACATAGTAACTTATATGTTTCACGTCTAACAGTATCTCCATCACATAAAATACGGGCTAAATTGGGTATTGTAGAATTTTTGTGTTCTTAGTGGTTCGAGCATATAACTGCCTATATTGACTTCTCGTCCTACCTGATGAGATGCAAGGGGATAGTTATGAATAAAAGAGGTGCAGGGGTCTGACAGTGAGGCCTTTGCACATTTTGTACAGGAATTTATGTGTCTCTCGACTATAGTATTGGCGAGCTCACGTAATGACATACCACAAGCCCTACTCACAGCATTTAATACCCTTCGTAACATGATATAGTCTTTTTGAGAATCCTAGGAATATTAATGGAGAGCAATAGAGTACACATAGGTATAATACGAGAGTTTACAAACTGCATAAGTAAAGATTGGTTGATACCTGATTGTCTTGACATTTTAATGTAGAAGGTAAGACGAAACATTATCTTAGAGATTGATGTGGGATGTGGAATGACCATGAAAGGTGGTCAGAGGAAAGAACTAACTAATCCAAGGTATTTAATGCTTGACTTGGTTTTCGTTTCAGTGGGATCTATGCTACAGGCATCATGGAAACTAACTAGATCATGTATGTCACGTCGATACTTGAAAGTGAAGTTAACTGCCTGACATTTGGAAGGATTTAACATAAGACCATTTGACTTAGACCACTTCCTGATGTCCAACAGAAAGCTATTAAATTAGTACAATATGGCACCAAAAAAGATGCACCACACAATAATAATAAAACAACATACATTAAAAGTAAAATATATAGGTGGAGAACGCATAAAGAACTTCGTCTAGAAGGAAAACAGTCATACTTAGCATGTTCAAACAGTATTTGTCAACTATCATTGGAAAGGGAGGAAAAAAGGAAATTGCAGCATGTTCGCCATTGACGATAGCGATTCTTGGCCATATCCGATAAAGTTTCGAGCTATCTCTCGGACTCCAATCAGGGAGTCGTGACGCACCAACGGATGCTTACCTGGCACCAATATCCTACATCCTCGACGCCACGTCATGGGCTGACCGCCTATCCGCTTTCTCCATCCCGTCCCAGGGCTAGCAAATGCAGACCTGTACGGAGTCTCTGGGATGACATTCACAACACATGTCTAAGTCCCTGGACCCGGTGTTTCCAGATGACGACACTCAACGAGTGGTGATCTCCGCTATGTTCAAATACACGCGGCCGATCCTCAGAAATACTCACGCGATGATGCCATGGAAAGCAAGAAATTCTGTGGAGACAGCGATGATTGAATACTCAGAGCTACTGCGCATCCTCACCTCGGAGAGGCCAGGTTTCACAGGCGTAGAGCAATACAGTCCGCATCGAAGCATTGTTTACCCGACCTTTGACAGCCAGGCTAATATCGCGACGGCGCCAGAGATAGCTCAGTTTGGTGTATACCACCCTAGCCTTCAAGAGATGGTTGGAAATCTCATCCGTCACCCTTCCGCCAGTATTCACACAACTACCGAGATAAACAAACTTATCAACAACTTCAAGCTGTTCACCCACAACAGTGAGTGCAGTTACAGGCTCCTACCAATCTTGTAACAGTACTTTGCACGCAGACGGCGCAAAGCACATACCATATTTACAGACATTGAACACCAACTGATTAATTGCGATTTAGGCAGCCTGCATGCTATCGCACAGTAAGACGATATCGTCTGCATACTTGAGGTCGAAAAGTCTATCTCCAGGTAGCAGATCTTCACCACCTTCACTCACATCCTTCAGAGCTGACTCCAGAATGTCATCGATGGCAAAGTTAAGAGAAATGGAGAGATTGGGCAACCCTGTCTAACCCAACTGTTGGTTGGTAACAGTGATGATAGTTGGTTGTATGCCCTCACTCCACCTGAGGTGTTTCTGTATAGAGCTTTCAGGATGTTCACAAAGTTCTCAGGTATACCCCTCTCTAACAGACAGCTGCAGGACAGTTCTATTCAACGAATCGAAGGCAGCCCAATATCAAGAAATACAACGATTGTTGGCCTGCGATACGTTGGCGGTGCTCCAACAACTAGTTGACAGGAAGTAGGTATTCATGTAGCTAACCTTTAAAGAAGATGACGCATCATACTGTGAAAAAAGAGACTAAGAGTTGTTCTTGCTACAACCTATCTGGCAGCACTAGTCATGCACTTTATCAATCGAAAGTGGACAGATTCGCAATCTGAAATCATCTCCAAATATGTTTACAACTTCACGTATATGTAAGAGTGATTACATAGGAAGGGCAAGAAGGTAGACATTCGTTCGCTTTTCCCAACGTATTCCAAAAAGCCTGAGATTCAAAGATACCTCAGTCCCTTACTGTCTCCATTAGCCGAAATCTAATCGAATTGGGATACAAGATGGATATTCGGACTGCATTAACCCTTATCAAGAAACAAATAAATCCAACTTTACTTCGATTTATTGAATTCATCACCATAAAGTGGCTCAAAACAAATTTATTCATACAGAAAGAAACAGTGGTTCATCTTAGTTTATCTGTTAACTTGTCTTTTCACTTGTTATATAATTAAGTATTCTTCCTTTTGATTTTTCACCATTTCATTGCTTTTGTTACTATGGCTTTTTCTGATCCGCTGGTATGAACTCATACGATTGGTTTCCAATCACCTCGAAGTGATTACATTGTCCTTTTCCCTGTATACTGCTGGTGTGTTAGTGCCTTTTGTTGTTAAGTGAACTAACAAAACCTGTCGAATATTCTTCCAATATTGTAATAGAAAACTACCTTCTTTTCGCGTTGCTTGTAACTGATTATACCATCACAATGGATCTGTTATTGATTTCTTAAACTGCTTTCTTCATGCCGAACTTTTGCTGCATAAAATTTAAAGAAAATGTATGTTATTATTTTGTTTATACTAATTATATTTCGGACTGTCTGTAGTTTAGGGAACAGAAACTTCGAAATACAATGTGCACACTTTATATTGCGAATTCTATCCTTCTTTCCTTGTTGAAAATGGTAAAGAGTACACGAGGTATGCAAAGTTGAACGTTTGACTAAATAGATGATAAATCAAGCATTGAAACCAAACAGTCATAAACGCCTGCAATTGTTTCGTTTAGTTTTAAAAGGGTAAAATAAAAGTAGTCGGAATTCATGGGCCACTGAATTAGGTATCAATAGCTGAATCGTCTACCAGATTTCCTTGGTACTAACTAGTGACTGGTTACAGGAAAAAGTTGAATAGACTTCTAGTAACAAGTCGTGAACAATGGAGCTCATTAGTTTGAGCGTGAAGACGAGTCCTCGTTGATGAAATTGACTTGTGATCGCCCTAAAATTGCGAATTAGCAGAAGTTACAAAATTCATTGGTTGTTGGATTGGGTGCCATCGGCTAAAGGATGTGTTTCTGGGTTCGAACCCTGGCGGTGTGTGCGTACTGCCGGTGATTCGCAAAACTAGGATGAAACAGTTGTCCTGTACTCCCTGTCGCTGGTTTTCAATGCTTCTCTAACTTGTATCAATCCGTGGTCAAACTCGAATCGACTCTTAAGAATTAATCTGATGCTTACTAGTGACTAGATATAGGACTGAGTTTCCTGAGTTCTAGTGAGAAGTTGTGACAGTGACCAGTCAACTTTGAGGATGGATTTCCCTCCAATGATATTAGTTGATAATCACGCTAAAAAAATCACGAATTGGTAAAAGTTAGGATTCATGGGCTGTTCACTGAATTGGGTCTCAGTGGCTGAATGGTATACGAGCTAGCATTCCTTGTAACAGGAAGGTCCTGGGTTTGAACCCTGTTGTTGGGTGCGTACTTATGATGATTCCCATAAAACTAGGATGAAAAAGCTGTCTAGTACTACAGTGCTAGTTTTCCAATGGCTCTCTAACTGACATCAATTCATGATCGAACTTGGAATCAATCAAATCCATAGAAGTTAACCATTAAAAACCACTCACAATAAGCAGTCGAATATTATTGTGACTTAATTCTGTATATTATTTGATGATTTCATTTCACCTAAAGTTACGTCCGTAGTACTATCCGTATCAGTAAAAAAACCAAATCTTTTCCAACATCAGTTAGGGATGGCTACTCGGCACTAACTGGGGACTCTTCAGCTCCGTCTCGTAACCTGAAGGTCGTAGATCCGATCCTTGGAAGACTCACGGATGAGCACTGATGAAGAATCAAAAAAAACGGGGCGAAGCAGCTGTTCACTGCTCCCTGGTCGGTTTCAGTGGTCTATCTAACTGTTGGTGTTGGTTCGTGACGAAAATTCAACGATTGAAATTAATTCGAATTGCACACAAGTCCCAGAATCTGAAAGCCAAGTCTTAACTGAATTATTATTCTACCTATAGCAAGTTACAGGCAGATAAGTCATTTGATTTTTGTATGAATCATTACTGAAAAAGTCTACTTGACTTGACAATTTAACTTTTGTAGGTGAAAATTAAAATTTTGATTGAACACTAGTAATTAGTGCGACGTGTTCAGTCCTTTCCTTGATGCAGACTGATTTGTATCAGTCAGGTTTGCAAAGTGGCCACCATTCTAGGTAGCTTGCCATCATAATGCACCTTTATTTGATGATGTTAGATAGTTGGAGGCAGTCGGCCACAGGAAGCCTTGGACCTAGGTTTCGTGCTAGTTGGCACTCACCAGTCAGCAAGGTGTATCTGCAACCCTGAAGGAACTCATGTCCCTTGTGAGATTCGGACCAGCGTCACCCCGTGAGTACTGCAGTCAGAGACGTTATCACTGAGCTATTCGGGATCGCGATTGACCTCCTGCAGGACTGTATTGGATATTTTTGATTGAACACTAGTAACTAGTGTGACGTGCCTAGTTCTTTCTTTGGTGCAGACTGAATTCTATTTATGTAATTCTATCTATCTATCTGTCTCATTCTATCTAATCTATTCTATATTATTTGGGATATTTATAAATTTGAGAATGTATTGATTAATCTGTGCATTGTAGAATTCTAACATGAAAGTTGATTGACAGGCAAAAATATTTTTAAAATGACAAGTTGCGTTTCACACACACACAAAAAGAAATCTTTGAGAAATATAGAAAAAGTTAAATCTAAGCATAACTCTGGATTATAATTTTGTTCATTTAATGTAACCCACGTTCACTGTTATTTTTTAATGTGAATGCGTTGTCAATATTTATGAGCAATGAATTCTTCAGTAAATGTTGCCGACAAAGAAAAAGAATCCAATACCAATATCGAATGGAATAGTCTAGTAAAGAATTTTTGAGTAAATACTTACCTTTCTGTTGATTTGGTGGAGTCAATGATAAACTCACTCACTCACTCACTCACTCACTCACACATCTATCTATCCATCCATTCATCTCTCGATCTATCTAGTCCATTATTGAATGGAAGGTGTGGGAAAAGCAGTCTACATCGTAAGTACTGCGTCGATGGTTTAGTGGTAGAATACTCACCAACTGCAACACACGTGGTTCGGAGTTCAATACCAGACTAACATACTCTTAAACCTCGCTCAACTGATAGTGAACCCAGTAAAGGAGGATTGTTAGGTGTAAAGATAACACTCCATAAAAAGACAACACCGTGGCTACTAAAACTTGAAGCCTGAAGCCCTATGTTCCATTCAGAACCCAGAGAAATTTAAAAAAACAAACATTATTAGTAGCCTTCTTTAAGCGTTATTTAAATTCACCTATTTGTAACCTGTTGTTAAAGTTTGTCAGTTTCAAATATAGTTTTTCTAGACGATCACAGTGATTTTCTATTTGTATTATCGTATGCATGTAATTGGAAGGGATAGAAGTCGGAAATTTGTATTTGGCGGAATTATTTCAACTGTGAATTTACAATAAATAAAAACAAATAACAATGAATATTTGCATGTTATAGCAATAGAAATAATCAATCACAACAGGTAGGCTTGATACAAATGTAAGAAGTTGAATTTATCCACCTTCAGGGCAGTGCTTTTGATTACAATATTAAACCTATTTTATCCATCCTTACAGAGATTATTATATCAGTTTTCTTATAAAACAATCAATTCTACCAATGTTTAGTGTCTAAGATATTGATGGCATATGTTTAAAGGGCTAAAGTTGAAGTGTAGTTGGCAGTAGAAGCATCAAAGATAGGACTTCAGGTGAACATAGAGAAGACAGAGGTGATGAAGATTCCTGGCCAACACCAACAGCAACAACCACAACAGAAAACAATCAGCCAACATAAATGGGAGGAACCTGAAAGAAACAACCTCCTTTACCTACCTGAGAAGCATCGTTTCAACCACAGGCGGACGGAACTGACGAGGATATCAAGGCAGCAAGGATCGGAAAAGCAAGACAAACTTTCATTACTCTCAAGTCTGTGTGGAGGTGAACAGCATTCAGCATGAAAAATAAGATCCGGATTTTCAACTCAAATGTGAAGTCAGTGCTACTATACGGATTAGAGACTTGGCAAGTGCGTCATAAAGGGCATCTCAAACAAACTTCAGACCTTCATTAACAGTTGTCTTCGCTCACTACTAATCAAAATGAGATGGCCAGAAAATATCAGCAATAGGGATCTCTGGTAATGAGCGAACCAACCCAGCAGGAACCAATTGGGAAGCAAATAGACAGGAAGAAATGGAGCTGGATTGGTGGCCATACTCTGAGAAAACCATCAAGTGACATCACTAGACAAGCCGTCGAGTGGATCCCGAATGGGAAGCGGCGAGTTGGTCGTCGGTGCAAGGGTGAAATGGAGGTGGTCATGTGAAGAGGAGATGAAAGCATGTGAGCAGACTTGGAGCCAGGTGAAAATTTTAGCAGAGAACCGAACGCAGTTGGGACGTGCAGCTGAAGCCCTATATTCCTGTAGGAATTAAAGCAAATAATAATAATAATCGAAGTGTAGAATATTGTCTGTGAGATAGGCTTCCATGGCCATTTAGTTTGAGATCAAACATCTAAAAGAAGGAGGTATGCCGTCGAAGCTTGAGGCGATGACTCACAATTACGTTGATGAATAAATGATTATTTATCATTATTATTATTGTTGTTGTTATTCCCTTCACTCTTGCCAGTCAGCTTTCATCTTCTTATTGTACGATCTTCTCCATCTTACCCTCAGATCTTTGCCCATTTCGTCGTTTGGCACTGGAGTCCCACCGAAGGGACGGCCTGGTGAGTGATATCATTCAACAATCTCCTGAATGTTGGCTCAATATGTCTTCATTTTCTCCTGCATATGTTCTTAGTTGGTTAGTTTCTTGAGTCTCTTGTTGCCAGTTATCTCTGATCTGATCTGATCTGATCTTGAGTACCAAGAGAAAGTAGATGTTAATGAGGGTCTTCATCAGGCTGTTGGAGATACTTTTAGTAACGCGCCAAGTTTGTGAACCAAGTAGAAGAAGTTACTTAATGTTGGTGTTCGAAATCTAAATCTTGTTGTTTATGCTGAATGAAGCAGAATTGCACATTAGTTTCGAAGAGATGAAGGTTTATTTTGCCTTTCCAATCCTGCTTCAGACATCCTTATCAGTTAAGACGATACTACCTGTATAAGTGAATGAAGTAACTTCGTCCAGATTTTTCCATTGATAGTGACTCATATTTGTTATTGTCGGTTAGATATTTTCATCACCTCTGGCTTCTCTATGTTCATTCATTGATTACTTTCTGTTAAATAATCTAAACTGAGGAATTCTCATTTCCCAAGTTGATTTCACATAATCTCTGCATCTCTTTTACTTTCCATAATCCATCATCTCAATGACTGCAGATATCAGTAGGTAAAGTTCATTGAAATCACCATTTTCCTACCTAAAGTTTCTATACTTTCAGACTGTCTGGGAGAGAAAATATCATTCATAGTTTCTAGGCACAAACAACTGATTCTGATGTGATCAATGTATTTACATGTATGGTTATAATAAGCAACGAGATTGGTTTACTGTATAAAATCACTATTGTAATGGTTGAAGCAATAAAGGGCAAACAAAACCCACCCATAGCTCTTTTCTATCTCATCTGAAGGATACAGAATACAAGATTGATGTTAACAAGACTTTCAAAGTCATCTGCTGCATACCAACTAATCTTAACTTTACCTTAAGAATTCGTCTACTTCATATTTGTGAGGCTGGCTGTTGGAATCCACATTAAGAAGACTAAATTATGTATACAAAAGAAGCTGTTTCAGACACTGTCCTTACCTTGAACACTAAGGATTTAAGGATCCTCAATTTATTGTGGAAATTTTGCTTAATTTTATTTGATATTCTGTTTGCTATTACATTTGTGTGCTTATTATAATTTCATTAGTCTAACTTAAAAAATCGATTGTATTCAAAAACACCATTATTGTTTTTATTTCCTTTATGTTCCCAGTGGAACATAGAGCTTCAAGCTAGTGGCATGAAGTTTCGGTAGCAGTCTGATTGCTGACGTAGTGAGGTAATGGAGTGCGTCGGCCAAGGATTGAACTTCGAACCACAGGAGCGCGTGGTTGGCGAGCATTCTATGCCGGTGTGCTACAGAAGCACAAATATATATATATATACATATTGTAGAGCAGAAAGAGGAAATTATCAAAAAGGATATTCTTTGCTGAAATTTTTCCTAAATATTGAGAGTGTAATAAACGACAGCCTCCAAAGTAATTCATCGTATCCCACCGAATCTTTTCAACAGACTTCGTATTCGTCTACTGCACACAGCTGAGGCGATAGGCATTCGAACTATTAAACCTAAACTATGCATTCAAAAAAGTTCGTACAACCATTATCCCTCCCTTGGCCTACTAAGATATAACCAACTAATGACTTCCACACCACCCCTTACTTATATTTTCAATCCCTTTCTTATCATCCCTTAATCTTAGCACATCTTCATTATAAACGTGTCTCATTTACTTCCCTTACAATCAGTCTAGCATTACTTAATCGGTTCATTTGTTTTTACTAGCCTTTATCGACTACTTCCACCTGAACAATTTGTTTGTTTAATCATACTGTTTTTCATTATTCGTGTTATCACAGATTGCAAACTGAAGAAGTCACTTCATCCGAAACCGCTGAATGAAATTTTCCCAGTGGATATATCACAGATGCCTCACTTTTTCATCCTTATTATTGATAAACCATTATTATTATTACTATTATTATTTTATATCATCACTACTATTATGACTAATTGCACAGTTTATATTCACCATCTTATTATCCTATAGACAAAACACCATGATTGGTTTATATTCGAATTTTTATTTGTAAAGTTATATATATCAAGTTAAGCCTGATGAGATCTAATTGAAAACAATATTGTTCGCTTAAATGTGTCGTTCTAAATAATTGAGTTGTTAAGATCAACAGAATTAAGGTTCAGAGCGTGTGTTAATGATAATATACATAAAAATATAATTATAAATTGATTATTAGATCAAAATTGTATTTTTATTCCTTTACTTTCCAGTGGTGGGACATAGGGCTTCAAGTTACAGGCTTGAAGTTTCGATAGCAATGTTGCTTATTTTTACGGCATGAAGTTGCCAACCCCATGACCAACCTTCCCTCTTTACCAGTCTTATTACTTACTGGCTTAACGAGGGAAAGGAGTGCGTTGGTAGTCGGGGATCAAACCTCGAGCCTCGTTCTATGGTTGGAGAGTATTCTACCACTGTGCCACCAATGCAAAGAAAATTTATGCGACAATTAAAAATAATTAAGCCAAGAGTAGCTTGTCAATTGATTGGAGGGAAGAAGAAATTGATGCGCTTCATAATTAGCTAATGATGACCAAGGTTGGGAAAGCGTGTGATCGAATTTCTTATGATCACATCACAAGTTAAGCTTCAGCTGTACGTGAAGGACGAGCTCATAAGGTGAAATTTAAATTATACACCCAATTATATAACAGGCTGCATAAGAGCGTACAATGAAGACATGTTCATCGTCGAATTTATGAACATTATCTCGAGTGATTATGCAGGGCACAAACAAGGTCTGTTCGTAGTCTTATTTTAGCTCACCTTGTAGACAATGAATATAAAGTCTATTAAACAAGGCATTTGAAATTATCTACTGTATTTTGACTAATTTTAGTTTTTGCCCCACGAGTTTCTCTATTAGATTATAACTAAGGAGTGTTGGAATCCACCTAAAGAAGACGAAGAAGCCAAACCTAAGTCATCAGAAGTTCGTTCGGATGCTTCTCACACCTTAGCCATCATTACTTGATTGTAATAATCTGATAACTTCCTACTACCTCTAAGCTATTTAGAATTTGCGCTTATTTTAACTATCTTCAATTATTGCATTAAAGTTTTCTTCTTTATTTTGTCTGATACCTAAGTTGGAATTATATTTTTATATTTTATATCAATTTTTAAATTGATGGAAAAATTACTTTTACTTCGTCTTGAACCTTCATTGAAACCTTTTAGTGATCCTAAACAATTTGCATACAAACATGGTAGAAGTACCTTGGATGCTGCGCTTGTCTTATATCATAATGTTGGTTCTTATTTAGACAAAGGTGCCAAATATGTTTGTGGTGCTTTCCTAGACTACACATCTGCTTTTGACTGTTTACCTAGAAACCTTTTATTAAATAAGCTTTCGTTGACGCAAGCAGGTTCCTGGGCTAAGAGTTGGTTGCATTCTTATTTTTCTGATTGAATGCAGTATACTGTATATAATGGCAAATCTTCTTCTGCCTCGCTTACAAAAGCTGGTGTTCCTCAAGATGCTGTCTTCTCTCCTTTTCTTTTTTCTTTCTTTCTACACGACCTGCCTCATTTAAACGAAACTAACATTGTCAAATATGAGGATGATCTGACTGCATCATTGCCAATCACATCCGAGTCTGACTGCTTCAAACATGAAAGCTTATGTTGGACATCAACAAGAGGTCTAAGTCAAATGGTCTTATGTTAAATCCTTCCAAATGTCAGGCAGTTAACTTCACTTTCAAGTATCGACGTGACATACATGGTCTAGTTAGTTTCCATGATGTCTGTAGCATAGATCCCACTGAAACGAAAACCAAGTCAAGCATTAAATACCTTGGATTAGTTAGTTCTTTCCTCTGACCACCTTTCATGGTCATTCCACATCCCACATCAATCTCTAAGAAAATGTTTCGTCTTACCTTCTACATTAAAAAGTTAAGACAATCAGGTATCAACCAATCTTTACTTCTGCAGTTTGTAAACTCTCGTATTATACCTATGTGTACTCTATTGCTCTCCATTAATATCTCCTGGATTCTCAAAAAAGACTATATCATGTTACGAAGGGTATTAAATGCTGTGAGTAGGGCTTGTGGTATGTCATTACGTGAGCTCGCCAATACTATAGTCGAGAGACACATAAATTCCTGTACAAAATGTGCAAAGGCCTCACTGTCAGACCCCTGCACCTCTTTATTCATAACTATCCCCTTGCATCTCATCAGGTAGGACGAGAAGTCAATATAGGCAGTTATATGCTCGAACCACTAAGAACACAAAAATTCTACAATACCCAATTTAGCCCGTATTTTATGTGATGGAGACACTGTTAGACGTGAAACATATAAGTTACTATGTAATTAGCAAAGTGAATCGACCCTTTCATCGTCCATCCTTCTGTAATTTTATGGTGTCACCCTTTCTATCGTTTAATTATAACTTAGCTGTTTTATTTTAGGTTTTACTACTTTTATTACTACAATTTTATACTTTATGCATGTTTTTCTTCGTATTCCATATTGTAATCTCCTAAATAGCTGTCATTATTATTATGCAATGTTTATTTTTTTATCGTTTTGAGTTAATTAGATGCGATATTGTACTGAATGCTGAAAATTCCTTGTTGTATCATTAGTACTGTTTTTGGAATAGAGCAAAAATTTTTATTATTAAATAGCGATAATTCATAAAAACCAGAGTGTAGGATGATTTAGAAATACGAGTGAAAATGAAGTTGGTACAATTTTGAAGCACCGTAGAAATAATGCTGTTTGTAGGTGTTGAACCCACTAGCGAGCTAGTGTCTGTCAGCGACATTTAACAATTATTTACTTGATAAATAATAACAAGAATCTCCTTCAAGTTTGATCACGGATTGATATCAATCAGACAGCCATTGAAATCAGGGAGTATTCGACATCTGTTTTCACCTAGTTTCGGGCTCTTCCGCAGCATTAAGCCTGGACTATTCAGCCAGTAGTACCGGACCCACTGGCCCATGAATTCCAGCTCATACTCATTCGTGATTTTAGTGGAAACACCAGCCAGTATCATCATCATGTACTTTTCCTTACACCCAACTGGTGGAACGCACTGGTCACGACTTCTTACTACAACTTCAGGCTACTTCAACATGTCGTAAGGCATTAGTGAGCATTAGACTAATCTTTCGGAGTTAGTTTGTAGGGACTTCATTTGTTGGAAGTCTGATCACGGATTGATATCAATTGGAATTCATGGGTCACTGAATCGAACCAGGTGAATGAATAGTCTACGAGCACGCCTTGTAATCACACGGTATTGGGTTAAAAGTCCTAACCCGAATAGTCTTGGGCCAGGATGAAAGAGCTAGCTGTCCGGTACTCCTTGGTTTTCAATGGTTCTCTAACTGATATTAATCTGTGATCAAACTTCAGACAAATAAAATCCTTACACGGTATGGGGCAAGGAAAATCTTCATACTGGTTTAGTGCACTAGCGGCTCAGCTATAAGACTCATGGAGTGGAGAAGTAATTAAGAGACTGCTTTTTCAAACCCTGCGGTAAAGTTGGCAGTCTGCTTGAATCACTGGACTACCTGGGTTGATGTTCAACCTTAATTATCCTATTTTCTCCAACTCTTATTGCTGTTAGAATTCTGTACATTTCGTAGGCATTTTCTTCAGAATCAGGCAATGATTATTATTAATTACTACTGAAGACTCCCAAACTAGGACGAAACAGATGTCCAGTACTCCAGTGCTGATTTTCAATGGTTCTTTAACTGATGTCAGCTCATGATGAAATCCTCCATGCAATCAAACAAAAATCCCTACATAACCAATGCCTGAAGATTATTATGAATCAATCACATCGCCAATAGTTAGCCAATTGAGTTCTACCTCAGATCACATAGATCATAGATCAAAGAAAGCCTTTTTGTTTACTTATCCTCCCTTTTTAGAATTCGCATATTGAAACCATTGAACGTATTACGTATTTCTAACTCATTTTGAATAAATATCTCTATCATTCTGTCTAACTTTATTATTATTATTATATAAAGATTAGAAATATCAAGTTAGTTAATTTGAGCAAAGGTTGATCCGTATAACTTTGTTTAATGATCGCGGATTGAACAAAATCATCTACAACAACAATAACAATATTCAGTTCTGAATTCTGCTATTTGGCGGTTCAGACGGCTCAAAATATTTTTTTTATAGTAAGTTTATAAGTATATAAACTTTGATAACATATTCCATTCACAAACAGGTAGAATGCGTGCTACATGGATTATACTATGTAAGACTATTTTTGTAAATTCAGCATCTTTTTCTAAACAATCTTCTGTATTTCAACGCACAGGTGCAGTTATGGTGGATGCGACAGTACAGGTTTGTCTTTTATATATATGTATATTTTCACAATAAATTGCCCCATAAATTTGACTTTTCAACGGATCAACGGACTGCGTTATGTTCCACTGACTGAGATTTGATTACAATTAAATTGTTCTATTAAGCTTTACAAACTGTCTCTTAACTGTATCACTTTGAAAATCAAGTAGTTTTTACTTACTGATGATGTTTTGAGCACAATTTATTGCTGATGATCATTTCAAGTTATGATATGATATGATAATGAGCAGTTGTCATTTGTGCTCGTAACGTGTTTATCAGTGAATATTACTGCATAACACCACTGTGTGATTTTATCAGAATAAAATTTTATCTATAATGCAGTTATGCTCTACTACAGTGTCTAAGTTTCACCCGTATATCAAGTAGTTTGATAATGTGAAACTTCAAAAAGGGTGTGCAATTATAGGATTAGTAGACAAATCGAATAAAAAAAAACGTTACGTAATATTGTGTAAAATTTAATAGTAGAGAATTTGTCGTTGTAAAAAAGAATTGATTTAGAATGACAAGTGGAACCGGGGACAGTTCAAAGTGAAAGTAGTAATAGTAAAAATCACGTAATAAGGAAGAGTATACAAATTGAATAGACAAAATGAAAAAAATGAAAAATTGGTAGAGCTAAAATATGATTGGGGATTACAATAATTTAGCATAGAGGGATTAAGACCATGGAGTTAGAGGGATTGAACAAACTTTTTCTGTACACAGAGATCTGCTTTTCTGTTTCGATAGCCAAAGCTTCAGCAATACAGATGAGTTGGGTACGTAGGAATTTGGGTAAATTACTCTTTGAATTGTAGATGACTTTAAAGGCAGAGACTATAGAGATAGGGTGATCATTATCGACCAGACGTTCAATGATCGCGCTTCTTATTGCTCCACTTCCACCTTTTCGTAACCACGAATTATTCTATATATGACATTAATTTGCTTTGCCACTTGACATTTAACTATGAATGTGAAACTTATCTACTGATCGACCTCACTGACAGATCACTCATCATGACTAAAATCTGTTCAACTGAAGAAGGGACGGTAAATTATTCAAACACTGTACTATGACAAATGTGCGTCGGTGGCATAGTGGTTAGGACGCTAGCCGACCATGCACATGGTCAGGGGTTCGATACCCGGCCACAGATGCACTACTTTACCTCGCTAAGCCAGAAATAATGCTGGTAAAGAGGAAAGTTTAGGCATGAGGCTAGAACCCCATCCTAAAAAATAAACACTGCTATAGAAACTTCAAGCCACTAGCTTGGAGCCCAATGTTCCACTGTGGAACGTGAAGGAAAAAATAAATTATGACAAATAGGAACGATAAAATTTATAACCTACTACTACCTGCAGACATAAATTGTTCTAAGAATATTTTTGCAACACATCAAAATCAGCGTTAGAAAACTTATCAAAAATCTCACTATAGTGAGACTCAGCTATCATCATATGAAGCATAGACAGAGCTCGCGATTATCGCTACTCATGCGAATCACTTTACTATACGGTTATTAATTCGTAATTGGCGTGTTTTTCAACTTTTTCTATTCAAACAAGCAGAATAAATCATCGCACTTTTAAAAATATTGGTTGTCATGATAGTTTTGAATAATTTTCTCAATTTAACAGAGTTAAATGAATACCAGTTTTTTAAAATTATATGGGATCATTTCACTTATTGACTAATAGAGATTTCAATATACCAAGAATATTCATTCAGTCATCTATAAAAGACAAAATAATTGAGCAAAGAATCTCCTTTTCGATAAATTCCTCTTCTGATAACTTGGGCTGCATTGATTTTAGATTCATATTCTTATCAATAAACTTTTCAGGATAACCATTCTCACTTAGCAACCGTTTAATATTATTAAATTCCTCATCAAGACATTCATCCGAGCAAATTGCTCTTTCTCTGTGAACCAAGCACTTTATCAGATTGTGTTTGTATTTCAAGGGCACGAAGCTGAGTAAATGAGTATACTGATCCGTTGATGTTGGTTTTCTATTATATACATTTCTTCTTATTGTGCCATCCTCTTTTCTGGTCATAAAGACGTCTAAAAATGGAATACTAGAGTCCTTTTCTTTCTCAATAGTAAAATTTATTGCAGGATGAACCTCGTTAAATTTATCCAGGGTGTTCTTTGCTTCCTTCTCATTTTTCATAATCAAAAATGTATCATCCGTGTACCAACAATAGAATTCGAGTTCATTAATAACATCCTTCAGAGGCCCATTTTGTAGTTTCTGAAGGAAAATGCCGGCTAGAATGGGTCCTAGTGGTGACCCCATTGCCACACCATCGATTTGTCTATATAGTTCCTTATTAAATAAAAAGTGGACATTAATTGTGCTTTTCAAGAGAAGCTCTTTCATAAAAGAAATAAGAATACCAACATCGATGTTTCATCGTATTAGTTCTTCGCATATAAAGTCCACTGCTTTCATAAGTGGTACATTGGTGAATAAGGAAGATTTTTCAAATGATATCATGAGTTTATTGTCAACATTTAAATCTTTTATCCTTTCAACAAATCCAAAAGTATCCTTTACACTGTGTTCCACCAACTCGGTATGAAGAGGCTGTAAGAGTTCGACTAACCATTTGGCTACGGGATGGTATGGTGAATTTAACATATCTAACACTGGTCGAAGTGGTAAACCATTTTTGTACACTTTAGACGAGTCATGTAGTCTTGGTGTGAACGTTCTAGTGGGTTTAAGTGATGTACGCTGACTCTGTGAGATGAAGACTTGTTGTTTCAGTCTTTTCAATGTTTCCGCTAACTGTTTCTCTATCTTTCCAATCAAATCCAGAGAAGAGGAGATTTTTTGGAATTTTAGATTATCATTAAGAATGGTATTCATCTTCTCAAAGTAATCTGCTTCGATCATGATAACCACTCCTGAGCCCTTATCCGGTCTTGTTATTATTATGTTATCATTTTTACGGAGAACATCCAGAGCTTCTCTATGTTTTTTGGTTAAAATACTCTCCGAACTGCGTTTACTATTCATATAATAATAGCAACAATCGACCTCTTTTGCATTCAGGAGTAAAAGACAAACTGCCTAATTTTGCCTCTTTTATGTGTATCTACCAATTTAACTTCTCCTGTGGAGTCAGTTACATAGGCCGCGCAATGAGGCGTGTTCCTCGTCGAGTTTCCGAACATCACCCTGCGTGGCTAAGCAAGGGACAAACAAAATCTATTCATAGCTCTATTCTATCTCATCTTGTGGATATAGAACACAAGATTGATGTTAACGAGACTTTCAAAGTCATCTACTGCATACCAACTAATCTTAGCTTCACCTTAAGAGTTCGTCTACTACATATTGCTGAGACTGACTGTTGGGATCCACATTAAGAAGCCTGATTTGTGCTTCAAAAGAAGTTAGTTCAGACATTGTCCTTACCTTGGCCATCTAGGTTTGAATGATCCTGAATTTTTGTCGAATTTTCCTAATTTTAGTTGATATTCTATTTGCTGCTATATCTTTATTATTATCATTATTATTATAATTTAAGCATCTTTGATGATCCGAAATTCCATTCATCTTACTTTACAAATTGATATTATTTAAAAGAAACACTAATATTGCCATCGACGACTGATCTATAATTTTCTATGTATATGACCATATAAATAATTGTAGAGCCAGAAGAGGAATTTATCGAAAAGAATATTCTTCGCTCACTTATTTTGTGTTTAATAGAGATTTGTAGCTTAGATGGATGATTTTGGTTTGGTTGTCTTCTGTGAGCTGGTTGACTTAATTATGAAGTCTCCATTGTCCACCTAGACAACATCACTTCTGCACAAGTTTTAATATAAAGTGAACTTGTTTTAATTCTCCATGAATGATATCAACGTATCTCTTGGCAACCATTATCGTGATTGGTTGTTAATTTACATCTTTACTGGTCCATTTGTGTTGACTTGTAATTGGAATTTCTTGTCATGCGATTTATTTTTTGTTAGTTGATAAATTTGATCCATAGTAAGATGTTAGTTGATCTTTAAAGATGCAGACTTTCTGGTTGGGGTCCTCGGGACGGTAAACACCAATGTCTGAAGACAGTTAGTGATATGGCTCAAAATCGTTCTCATTGGCTGGCGCAGATGCATCCACTCTTCTAACAAAACTATATTGTTCTTCGATATTCTTTTAGCCGCATATCTCTGTTTACTGTCTCTATTTTGCATTTCTTTTTACTTTCTCTTTTTTGTGTGCTAATTGAAGTTTGGCGACTCAAAGTTCTATGTTGAAAACAGTTAGTTAGTCAGTCAGTGATCACTGATTCCTTTGAGTACCAGGCTTCTAGAAATTCTCTGGCATTTGTTTTTGTTTCCTTTGTTTAAATTTCTACATTTTCTGAATCAAAATGATGTCCATAATTGTCTGTATGCCTTTACATGAAAGGATGTACATCGCGTCTTTTCACAGCTGATTTATGTTCTTGGCTTCTCAGTCGAAGAGGCCAACCAATTTGACCAATTGAAGTGTTTATCATAGTTTATTTTGTAAATGGCATTAATCTTATGTTCTGTTGGATCCTTTTGTCTTCACACTATTGAATGAAGTGATTGTATTGGCTTGTGTGCCATGTCCTCTTCAAATAGTCTTTTAATGTTTAGGCCGGTATTTCAGGGATATTCTGTATATATATGGTAGAATGAGTTTTTTTTGTGGTGTTTTGAAGATGGTTTCTTGTTGGTATGTCGATTGTAGTTTAGACCTTTTTTTGATGAAATTGTATGGGTATTCATTCTTCTTGAAGTCAGTTAGTAGATATTTCTCTTCTACTGTCTTCAGGACTGGAGTGCATTAGAGTGTATTTCAACTCTTTTAAACAATGTTTGCATACAGTTTCTTCTGTGAGTCATTGGATTATTGCTGTTATATTTGATTATTTGATCTGTGTATGTGTCTGTTGATTTTCTGTATACTTGTGTTTCCAAATTTCTGTTGTTTTTTCGTATTGATTAAGAAATCTTAGAATGGAATTTTGCTGTCTGATTCTTCTTTTTCTTCTCCTCCTCTTGTGATTTGAATGTCTTCAAATATCTTGCTGACCAATTTGTGGGTGTATTCCAAGTTATTCCTTTTAGTTATAACGAGTGTATCACCAACACAATGTACCAAGATGCTTAGTTTGATTATTGGCAGGGCTATTAATCCTAATCTTTGCATAACGATTTCAGCTGTTAGTGCTGATCTAGGCGATCCCATCGGTGTTCCTTGTATCTATTCGTATATTTGATTATTGAATTGGAAATATGTTGTAAGCCATAATTCTATGAATAGATATGAAATTAATAAATAGGTTATAGGTGAGAAAATAGACTTAGGTCAAGTTAAATTTATTACTTCTACGTACTAACAATGTAAGGTTTACATTTGAAGGCGAATGTTTCCGCCAAGTTGATAGTGTTGTTATGGGCAGTCCGTTAGGGCCTCTTTTAGCAGATATTTATATGTCGTACATTGAGAATTTATCGGAGGATTTAATCGAAAATGCGTCGCTTTATAAAAGGTATGTTTTAATGTCATTGTAATCATCAGTGATAAGTCTTGTTCTGCCACCTAAATTCTAAATCGAATGAATGAATTTCAGAATAGAGTATCATTTACATCTGTAGAAGAGGAAGATAATTGTTTATCTTTCCTAGATATATTGCTTAGTCGATGGCTTGATGGATCAATAAAAAGATCTATTTATAAAAAACCTACTTGGACAGTAAAGTATCTTAATTTCCACAGTTTCTGCCCTGTTCAGTACAAAAGAGCCTTAGTAAGGTGCCTTTTCAGTATAATCCAAAGAATATGCACTGACGACACACTTGATGAAGAAGAAAGAAAGTTGACACAAACTCTGGTTGATAACGATTATCCAGACAAGTTCATCAGGAGATATAAAGTAGTCAGAACACTAAGACCCACGCTCCAACTCTCCCCTAAGAAAGACGTGTACATCAAGCTACCCTCTATGGGGCATCAAAGCAGCTTGATAACTAGACAGAGACTAAACGCTGCTGTTAAAAAGACTTTTTATGCAGCTAATATCATAATAATAGAGAATGTAAAGCCGATATATCTATCTAAGCCCTTCGAACATGCGAAAAATAACGTCACATCCCACTGTACTTTCCAATTTGCATGTAGGTGTGGACACATATACATAGGGAGGACTCATCGATCACTGCAACTAAGGGCTTCAGATCATATTCCTAAATGGCTCCAGAAACAAATGGAATCTTCAGAACCTATTAACGGTGAGAATAGGAGACCTAGCTCTTCTACTGCGAAACATATTATAGAAACAGGACATAAAATTGACGTTGATACATCTTTTAAACCTATCTATAAAACGTGCTTGGGGCGTATCCTAAAGTTTGTGGAAGCCCTAGCTGGCAATTAGAAAGTTTAAACCACTTTTATGCATTCAAAGCAACAATTCGTCATCACATTAAACCTGCTTTGGTAAACTTTGTTTCGATACCAGCGAGGGTAGATGTACTATTATCTCCCTTCCTTGATTTAGTAATCTTGATTGTTATTTTGAATTTCAACATGTCCTATTAACTTTACCTAAGTCTATTTTCTCACCTCGTACCTCTTTATTAATTTCGTATATATTCCTATGACAAGTCCGTGTGTGATCAGGTTGTTCGAAATGTGTTGCGCAAATAAATTGCACGATTCAGACGAATTACGTCTTCTTATTGCTTTATCTAAATTCATAAAGCGAACTAATTGTTTTAAATAATTCTATGAGTTCCATTCAAGTTGAACATTGCGTTTTTATGTGTTCATCCTGTTCATACTGTAGTTATTGAATAGTTTCTTTTACTGCGTTTCCCTAAATGATGATACAATTCACAGTTTAGCATTTGATGCTACTCAGATAAATATATGCTATTTTCTTTACTTCGAACTGGTAATATTTAAAATCTGAAATCTAACACCATCAGACAATCAACGGATTAAGTGGTTCTATTAAATGTCCAGATTTCTAAACAATCATTAGTTATTTTGCTGGACTGTGTAGTTCAAGAAGTGATTTTAGATATTAAATTATAGGTGTCAAAGACTTCGACAATGCAGCATATCAGTATCTAAAAAGACTACACTTAAAGTGTGGTATCTTTTTATGCATTTGTCCCTCCCTTGCAGAGCAGAACATTTAGTTTCAAGCTTTGAGTTTTGAAGTTCCGGTTTGGTCGGTTTCATGCCCAGGCTTCCCTCTTACCATCTATTGATATGGCGAGAGTTAAAAGTGCATAGGTGGTAAACTGAATCTGAACCACTTACGTGATTGGTCAGAATTCTATCAGCCAACTATCAATGCTATAGATGCTGACGCAACAGATTAATTTATTTTCAAGCATTGGGTTTGTAGGAATCGGGTCCCAGTGGCTTAATGGTCTACAAGCTAACCTGCCTTGTAACTAGAAGGTCCTGGGTTCGAACCCTTGTGGTGAGTGCATACTGATGAAGAGTCCCAAACTAGGCTGACAAAACAGCTGTACAGTACTTCCAGGTGGTTTTGCCAGTGGTTCTCTAACTGATGTCGACTCATGATGAAATCCTCCATGCAATCAGAATAATTAATTGCTAACATAGAATCGATATTATAAGTCCCTTTTTTCTTTTTCCGTTATGATTCCAGCGGATCATAGGGCTTCAAGCTAGATCTTTGGAGTTTCAGTAGCAGTGGTATTTATTTTGACGGAGTGAGTCTGCTAGCCGTCTCATGCCCATTCTTCCCTGTTTACCGGTCGTGTTACCGACTTGGTGAGGTAGAAGAGTGCGTTGGCTAGGGATAGAACCCATGACCAGTACCACTAAGTTCGCGACACATTTCATTAGTCCGTAATGCTCATTTACATCTTAGTGTGTAGGAGGAATGTAGGTGTATGTTTACGAGTTGATAACTGTATATCTGAACTGATGAAGAGGGATTAAAAATTTCAGCCTAACTGATCATTGTAAAACAGGTTCCTAGTAAATGCTTAGCCATCACCACCCTTATATGTTTACACTGGAATCAATAGTCTCGTCGTCAGCAAAGCATTTTTCAACTTATAAAACACTAAGATAATCATCCTGAGGTGTCATTACTCTCCAAATGCTTGGAACTTCATATTTTCATTATAAATCGGTTCAGTAATGCAATACTGACGAATGAAAAAAACGAAACATTGTTTTTCAGACTTTTAATATAAAATGACTCGGCTTTAGTTCACAGTTCCCCTGGTCTATCAGGAAATTACTGAGAGAATAGTACAGTTTTAATAATTCGGTGGATTCAATGCGTATTTGTTCTTGTAGCATCAAACTTGTCATATTCAACCATTTTAGACAAATGTTCGATAATCACTTTATGCATTAATTATATAATGACTATGTATGAAATGATCTTTTACCATAATATTCTACTTAATTTTTTAGCTGGGTCTTAACAGAAAGAAACTGGGTGAGTATCGTTCATTTGAGACTTTTAATTTGTTTTTACGGGTTTGACCACGATTTCATATCAGTTAGAGAACTATTGAAAACCAGCACTGGACTACTAGACAGCTGCTTCATCCTAGTTTTATGGGAATCATTGGCAGTGCTCAACCAATTCCAGGATTGGAACCCAGGACCTTCCGGTTACAAGGAAAGCTAGCTCGTATACCATTCAGCCACAGGACTCGATTCAATGGTCAACCCATGAATTCTACCTTCTACCAGTTCGTGACTTAGCGAGACCACCAACCAATGTCATCAGTGGGAAATTCATCCTCACACTTGACTGGTTGGATCTCACTGGTCACGACTTCTCACTAGAACTCCAGGAAACTCTGTCCTGTTTCAACTCACTAGTGAGCATCAGATCGATTTTCAAGACTGTTTTGATTGATGATGAGACTATTTGGGACAGCTTTGTTTGTCCGACTCCGAGTGATGTCATGAGTGATGACCGAGGGTAGAGTGAAAATCTAGTTGGCCACAGTATTCGATTCTACCCATCGACCTCCAAATAACTAGCTCAGTGTTACACCAGCTAGGACACGCCAGAGATGTTTACACATAAATTGAGGAATGTGGTCATGGTAACGATGAGAAATGATATTATTACTTGGCCTTGATCTAAATGCACTCAAGAAATGACTTTTAACTAAGTTTTCGCCCTGCTTTTCAGTTATCATTCTTATAATTTTTAATCATCGCACTAATTCTAATAGATGACTTGTCTACCAAGGTAGATCAGGAGTAAATTCGAAAAATCCAAAACAATTTTTGTACACATCTTTTAAATTTATCATCACATGAATAACTCGTGGTTTAGTTATCACGAGGTTTATTCTATATTATCACTAAAAATAACTAATTACTTCTATCTTCTAAATAATCTGTTGATATTTCTACCTCAGATGATTTAATAGGAGCATATTAGCGAATAATTCACTTCAAAATTTTGGCTCATTATGCTGCTGTGGTTGAAATAACTAGATAGTATAAGCTGCTTCCAAACAAGAACAGCGCAATTCATACCGTTATTAATGAGTCAGTAAATTGGGATATAGAGTGCTTTAGAAGTGCACCTTCATTCCATTCAGCTATCTGCTATCACTTTCAGCTGGTTGAACGACTACTGCCATGTTTTCGTTTCCTCTACAGATGATCTTCTCCATTATCCCTTCTGGCTACCAGTTTGATCTTTAGTATCGATGAAAATCTCCAGCAGGTTGTTGGAAATGACTTTCTTGGTGCGCGAGTTAAGTCTGTAATGCATATAGAAGCACTGATATGGCATTTATTTCGAGATGCATTGGACATACACTTAGAATACCGTTGAGCAACATCGTGTCCTAGGCATACAGTAGAATGGAACCAGAATGGGGAACGAAAAATTCGGCATCTGAGGATGACATGCAGGGGATTGTGTGATGAGGAAACGAGAGCTTATGGGCAATCTTGAAGCCATCTAAAGAAGACTTCAGGCAGTAGGATGAAATGAGGATGTATTGCTGAAGCACTGTGTTCTACTCGGAACCTAAAAGATACTCAAAATTAACATTCCTTTCTTTGGCTTTATTTTTTACGTTTCTGATTTACTATGACCAAACTGATTTAGGATAGACTTTCGACTTGTAACTGAAATACAAACTCCTCTTCTTCATTCTTTGTGTTCCTAATGAAGCGTAGAGGTTCAATATTTGAGCTTTGAAGTCTCAGCAGGCAGGTGCTGTTGTTGTTATGGGATGGGAGTTAACCTCACATCTAATCCTAGCTCTTTAAGTACAGATTACCCTGACAGTCGGTAATTAGGAGGTACTGACCTTTGAAAACGACGATCGACTGGCGTCAGTGACCTTGTCTTTGTAATTTGTCATTCCTATTGGATCATAGTGTGCTAATCAATAAAAATTGTGTCAAGTGTTGGTTTGTAGGGATTTGATTGGTTTCAGGATTTCATCATGAGCTGACATTAGTTAGAGAACCATTGGAAAACCTGGGAGTACTGGAGAGTTGTTTCGTCCTAGTTCGGGACTCTTCAACAGTACTCACCCACCGGGATTCGAACCCATGACCTTATGGTTGCAAGGCGAGGTCGTAGACCATTAAGCCACTGGGACCCGATCCAATGGCCAGCCCATGAATTATAAATTCTGCCAATTCACGATATAGCGCAACCGCTAGCCAATGTCTTCGGCGAGTATTTATCCTCATACCTGACTGCTGTACCCTACTGGTCCCGACTTCTCACTAGAGCCCCAGGTAACTACCTACCCGAATAGGCCAAGTCGCTAGCGAGTATCTCATCGATATTCAATCGTTGGTTTGTAGGAATTTGATTGGTTGGTTACAGAATTTCTAAGACTTACGTATTTTTCTGTTTTTAAAAGAGTTAGTTGACTATTGGAGGTTTGATCTAAACGTGAGCATTTTCTTTGATTGAGATAGTGGGACTATTAATAGCACCAGGGGAAGAAAATAAATATGACAATATGAGACTATTCCGTAGCACACCTTTACCGCCTCTCGAACCCATGATATCCCAGTCACAAGGCGAGCTCATAAACCATTCAGCCACGCTGGATCCGATTCAATGGTCTATGAATTATAACTTCTGCTAGCTCACGATAAATATAGTACAACCACCACACAATGCTAGAAGGGAGAAAGTATTTTATTATTTCAACTGGTGGACCCCACTGGCCAACGGCTTCTCACTAGAACTCCAGGTGTTTCCCTTTATGGAACCAGTTGCTAGTGAGCGTCAGATATTTTACCAAGTGTTAGTTATATCTAAGTGGATGTTAAATCTTAATACCTGTTTGATTTCTATTAATTACTACCTTATTCAGATTTCCAGTTTTGTAGGAATTTTGATTAGCTGAAGTGTAGATTTCTTCAGTGCTGTTCAGTTGTAAATTCTTCTCTAACTGATATAGGTTTGAGACAACTTCTACATGAATATTAGTAACCCATTTTTATTTTATTTTACAGATTTTGAGAATCATGGAGAATTACTTAGGGAAAAAAAGCTGATTGACGAGATGAATAAAGTATTTCAAAAGAGAAATACGTACAACTTCCTTCAAAACCTGCTGTAAATAAGGTAAGTCTCGTTTCGTTTTCAGCTTTTTTGGGATAAAATTCTAAGGATTTTCTAGTTTTTGTCACACTGTGCACCTCGTGTATAATACTGATCGCTGAAAATGATTGGAGGCTACTGACATCACTTAGTAGTGGTTCATAGTCATATTGAAGTGAAGCAGCCTCTGAGCATACACAATGCCGTTGACTGTATCTCTCTCTCTTCAGGAGGTATCAGAAATACTGTCACAGCTCTTGCAACATTTCAAGAGTCACTAAGTTTTTTAAATCATGTTGTCTTAGTACTGAAAATTCCTCACTGCAATCTCTATCTGCCTAGTCAGTTGGTGTTAACAACAAGGCTTGATTAAAAACTGTTTATATCCTTATAAAACAATTTTTAAAGCTAACCCAATCGGAAAAAAATGGGGAAAGAGTGGGACATTCCATGAGAAAAAAATGGTTAATTAATAGGAAGTTTCAGAGAATGTCACCAATTTTCCGGACTCCACACAATGCCCCCTTTTATGTCATATATTTCCCCCCTTTTTGTCGCATAATTTCTCCCCGATTAGCCTGGTCCCCCCCCCTATTCGCTTTGCTTCAACCAATTAACAACCGTCTTTCTGATGGAGTTAACCTTCAGACAGCTGCTTTCTAATTGTGGCGCATATTCTCGTAAACAGAAACGTGGTTGCTGATAAAAAACAGGCGATCATCATTAAAATAAATATTCGTAATGGAAAAAAAAATATATTTCAGTTGTTTATTAGGGAAAGGAAAAAATTTGACAACAACTATGCAAATTAATTATTTAAGATAATGAACATTTAGAATTAAAAATAATATACACAAGTGGAATAAATGTCTTTTAACATGAAGTGTGAATTCCGTATTACATCTGCCTGCCATCATCAAGTAGATCCATTGAAGTATCCTGAAAAGGAAGCAAATTATTAGTAAGCACGGCAGTAATCAACGGTCACACTCTTACTGAAGTGTAATATAATAATAAGGATATAATATATGGGGTATTTCAGCTGTAGAAAGTTACTTAATTATTGAGTAGAAATCAAATTACTTGTGGAGCTCCTGTGGAGCCAGTTACACAGGCTGTACAATTAGGCGTGTTTATCGTCGAATTCCGAACATCACCCTGCACAGTGGTTGAGTAAAGGAAAAACAAAATCTATTCATAGCGCTATTCAATCTCACCTTGTGGATACAGAACACAAGACTGATGTAACGAGGCGGCTTTCAAAGCTATTTACCGCATACCAACAAATCTCAACTTTGCCTTATGAGTTCGATTACTAAATATTGCTGAGATTGGCTTATGGGATCCACATTAAGAAGACTAATTTTTGCGTCCAAAAGAAGTTAGTTAAGACCTTGGCCATCTAGGTTTGAATGATCCTCAATTTTTGCGGAATTTTTTAGTTTAGTTGATATTCTTTATTATTATACAGATATGCAGTGGATGAATACAGAGTCCATTGGAAAAATTTGGTAGGATGTAATGATTAACCTTGAATACTTTTGTATTTCCGCTAAATGTTAACTACTAAATAAATGTGACAAAACCGAGCTTCGGATGGCTTTTGTCTGTGTTTTACCAAACCACGACAAGAAATATCCAGTGACGCGTTGGCTAGGCTGTTTAGTAGGACGCCCAACGTAACCATCTCTACAGCAGCAGTTGAACTGATAAATACGTGTAGATATGACAAAACTAGTGAGCTTATCCTTCTTCTGAGTCCTACTAGAAAATGAGGAAGGTGGGTTTACTGTGTAAACGTTCTTCAGATATGATAGAGAAGATTTTTTTTCAAAATCATCCACCTGAGCTACAAATCTTCTCTATCATATCTAAATCTTACGAGCGGGACACGCTTCTCTCTGTTCAAAAGTGGGAAGACTTCGCCAAAAGGCAAGGATCCACCAGAGAACAATTATTCTTTCTCCATGAGTGCCTTCGTCATCAAATCCTATCGACCAGTGTAAGACATAAACCACCAGTCAGCTGCCCAATGGGATGGAAATTGGCCGAACAATGTGGAAGACGAATGGTCAAGTTAATGATTACAGATGCACATTATCGGATCAACAAATATCAACAAATAATAGATGTCCAAAAAGCAAAACTAGAGAAAACCTTCAACCACGAACACCTGTCAATGCTGATCACCGCAATCACATTGTCAAGTAGAAAACACAGAGAACAAAGACGAAGAATTCTCAAAACCAAGCTAGCCAAGATAAGAAAACAACAACCACACAATACACCTATAGACTGAGTAGTCAACCTATCAAAACAACCACTATCAAAAATGGAACAACAACTACTACAAAAAGGATTAAACTACAACACCGGAGATGCTTCGAAAACTGATTTCTTCGCTGCACTTGAATCATTACTCAAATCATCAAACCTGAACGAGGAAACGCAAGAAGAAATACGCCAAACAGTTGTGCCAGTGGTCAAGCAGAAAAAACAACACACACAACTCAACTCTCAAGAACTAAAGGCCCTCAAAAAGCTGAAAAATAGGAAGAACATCGTTATTATACCAGCCGACAAGGGACGGAGAAGAATGCACCAAGAAAGCTGAAGAACTGCTCAAAGACGAGAATGTTTATCAAAAACGTTTTTCGTATATTACTGGTTAGTCTCTGGAGAAAAATCTCACTTGACAAGTCCTCATTAAATCGTAATTTAATAAATAACTGTTTACTCAATGTTGCTATCATCTCAGGTTTTCTGTCCAGTGTTTCCATATGTTTATTTATAAAACTACTCAGATGGTCCATCTCCATCAAGGAATCATGAATCTTTCTTGCTGTGTCCATAAGACACACACACACCTAATTAGAAAAAATGGTGCTTGAAAATGACACACATGGTACAATGCTACATAAAAATATGTGTAACAAAGCACCAGGCAATCAATATCTAGGATTTAGAACATGCCAGGAAAAAAAATTAACCTTCTGTGAATACTGCTCATTTAACGAAATAAAACTCTTTAAAAGTCTTATTATATCTGAGAAGAAAATCTTAGACATTAATTCTTTTTGAAACCAGGGTATACATTTTAATATTCACGTATCCAAATATTATTTTTGATGATTGATTTTGTGACTGTGAAGTGGCATTATTTTACGTTTACGTCGAATTGAAAAAAATTTGTTACGTTGACAGAATCTCTATCTTTTATGTGCGCATATGGTTTTATTTATAGCTACAAATATAATTGTCACAATATGACTAAACGTTTTTACAATATATGTCATGGTTTAATTTTAGAAATATATGATAAGTTATCGAATGAACTGAGCAAATAACGAAATATAATATCTTCTCTTAGCTGATTTGTAAACTGGCTATCTGGCACATATGTGGAACTGAGTTGCTATTACTATTATTATTCTCTTAGGTTCCAAATAGAACACACAGAGCTTCAATAGTACATCCTTATTTCACCCTGTTTCAAGTGATCCTCTTAGGCTGACCTCACCATTAAGCATATGACGTTGTCTCCTCCTCATAAAATCTCCTCTTTGTCATCCAATGACCGAACTTGTAATTTCCCTTATGGGTTCCACTCGAGCTATGGACTACCGCGCGTGATGCTACCTAGTGGTCTCCTCAGTATATGTCTAATCCATTTCCATTTTACTTCAGGATTTTTTAGGTGATAGTTTCTTGATTCGTGTTTTGCCAGATTTCATTGTTGTTTAACCGTTTCCAGTCATCTGATCTTGATTATGAAGCGGAGGTATTTGTTGCATCAGGCTGTCTGAAATGCTGTTGGTAACGCACGGAGTGTCTGAAATTATATATGTAATAGCTGATGCGACATGAGTGTGGTTAGTGCAGTAGATTCTTAGATTGATTTAGGAGATCAATAAAGGTTTGTTTGAGTAACTAGGATTGAATTATCTGACAGAGATTCGTTCTTCATTGTAAGTGTTGGTTTATGGGAACTGAAGTGATTTCAAGATAGGCTATGAAATGAAATCAGTGAGAGAACGATTGGGTACCAGGGGGAGAAAAGGAAAGCGCTGCTTTGCTCCCAAGTCTGAGTGGAGTCAACAGCACTTAGCATGCAAAACAAGATCCGGATTTGTAACTCCAATGTGAAGTCAGTGCTACTTGATATATGGATCAGAGACTTGCATTGCGCGTCATAAAGAGCACCTAAAACAAACTACAGACCTTCATCAACAGTTGTCTTCGCTCAATACTCAAGATCAGATGGCCGCCAGAAAAGATCAGCAATAGGGATCTCTGGGAGCGAAGCAACACAGCAGGAACCGATTGTGAAACAAATAGGCAGGAAGAAATGGAGATGGATTGGCTGGCCATACTCTGAGGAAACCATCAAGTGACATCACTAGACAAGCCATCGCTCGAGTGGAACCAGAAAGGGGAGCGGCGAGTAAGTCGTCAGAGTTAGGGTGACTCGGAGGAGGTGATGTGAAGAGGAGATGAAAGCATGTAGGCAGACGTGGAGCCAGGTGAAAACTTTAGCAGAGAACCAAAAGCAATGGAGACCCGTGGCTGAAGCCCTATGTTCCTCTAGGAATTAAAGGAGATAATAATATATAATAATGTGTCCATGATTCAACTGGTGATCGAATTCGTGACTTTTAGATTACGAGGCAGCTTGATGACATTTCAGCCACTGGGACAAAGTCCAGTGATGCAATGTACCTATTATTAATATATTATATCTGAGTGAGTATCTGGTAGACATTGATTTGTGGTTAACTCAGCAGATGAACTGATATACAACTGAAATCCAACATAGTCCACAAGTTCCACTTTTCATCATCAAGATATAATTATTCAGGCTATCTACATTCTATTTGTGAGTATTTTCTTATGTAATTTGAATATTTTAATTCATTGGAGATACCTAATAAAGACTGATTAGTGAACAAAGAATATTTTCCTAGGTAAATTCGTCATCAGGTTCTACAGCTTTATGGCTAGGGAACACCTACTAGTGTGGTTACATAAAGATATAGCTAAAACCATCAACAGTTCTGTTTTGGATTATCTCGTCCGAACAGGCTACAAAGCTTGTGTTAAAGAAACTTCTATCATCTGCTGGGTATCGAGTTAATTTCTAGAGGTCTCTAGATGCCACCTCAATGCGCTTAAATCAACTGGAGCTGTGTGTGCAAAAGAAACTTCTCCAGACATTATTGCTGCCCTGACCTGCTGTCGAATCTATAAATTCATAAATTCTGTGTTCCTTACCTTAATTTATCTGATATTCTGTTTATTGTTATATCAATGCACAATATCTCTCTCTCTTAGTGATGCTTCTGGAAGGCTGTCTATCGATACTATTGATTCATTGTGATTTAAAACAGCAATAACATTGTTAATAACAATGATTATTTAAAATTTTGCTTTGTCAGGATTAGATGTGTTTTTACACGAGTTTGACCACGGACTGATATTGGTTAGAGAGCCATTGAAAATCAGTCACAGGGAGTACTGGACAGCTGTTTCATCCTAGTTTTATGGGAATCATCGGCAGTACCAACCCACTAGGGTGGTCACGCTAAATCATGAATTGATCGAAGTTAGAATTCAGTAAGCTCCCAGTGGCAGAATGGTATACGAGCTTGACTTGTAATCAGAAGGCCCTGGGTTCGAACCCTGGCGGTGGGTGCGTACTGCTGATGATTCCTATAAAACTAGAATGAAACAGCTGTCCAGTGTTCCCTGTGGCTGGTTTTCAATGTTTCTGTAACTGATATCAATCCATGGTCAAACTCGTATAAATGATTATTTAATTATTATGGTCACATGAATCTAGACCGTGATGACGACTTTACCAAGAAGAATATTCTTTGTTCATTAACCAGTCTTTTAATTTGAATGTCTCCATAATTTATTCGGAACAAGGATAATTACAGAGAATAGCTGTTCTCATCGAATTTTTCTTCAGCTTCTATAATTTTAAATCCATTAGAATACAATTAACCAGAAAAGGTAAATTAACATTATACCAGAAAAGTGTATTATAATACAAGTACAAGATGAAGTTGTGACGAGTGCTACCAATAAGATTTATCAGTAATATATACAAAGAGACGTTCATCGGTATAAAAAAAACCAAATAGCAGGGAGATAGATTTGACGTCAGAGAAAGTAACTGATACAGTGTTGTAGAAATATATGGGAGGTGATTTGAAAAGAACACAAAGAAACACAATATGAAGGAAGGCCAGAAGTAGCAAAACACGGAAGACGATCTTTGCAAATGGTGTGTCGAAGATAAGGTGTATATAATTTCACTCCCTTACCGGGCCTTCGTCTTCTACCGTTTCAGAATGACACTTACATTAATTTTCCAATTTAAGCATCCACTTTAAAGCACATTACAAATTTTCACCTCATTTCGTACTAATCAGTTTTGTTTTGCCTATTTTGTTTGCCAGCAATATGTCGATGGTAAGTTTTAATATATGTGTAAAACTTGGGCACTTTGGTAGTAAGTAATTCCATATCAGTTTGTTTATTAGATGTATCCCACAATGAAACAGTATTATTTACTGGATGACGTTCCGAGCAAAATTTATTGTTCATAATTATATCAATTGTAATCACATGACTTTGAAACTTGATTTTTACAGTTTTCTTTGTCTTCTCCTATCTGTCGTAGGGGTAGTAGAATTTTCTATATATTTGGATGGACAGGTGTTGAATCATTCCAGCTACATGTATTTGCAGTTGATTCGATAAACAAAGCTTCTGTTATCAATCTCTCCCTCCACCCTGTGACATTAGATTTTAAAACTGTCATCCTATTGTATGGTTGTGTGTAATTGTATGTAGTGAGTGGTATAGCTGAACTATTCTCTAGAGTTCCTATCTTATTTGGGTCAACCAATCTAGATTTTGCTAAGTTTTTATGTTCAGCTACTCTGACTGCCCATGTTCTACTAGTTTGACCTATGTATATGACCTGACAATCATCGCAGGCAGGGTATTCGATAGACTGAACTGTTTTGTTTTAAAGGCACCACAGGATTGATGCTTTAACCGACAAAGCTTGTTTCTAATTAAGTTTGTGGGTTTGAATGCCAGCCACTTTTATTCCTGCCTTGTTAAGTATTCTGCGTAAGGTTTCCGAGGTTCCTTCCTTGTATGGAATTACTACTGATGATTTAGATTCCTTATTGTTGGTGTTGCCTTGCGCATATTTGACATGTATGTCGACATTAATATTATTATTATCACCATTATTATTAATATCATTATCATTATTATTATCACTATCACTACTAACATTATTTATTTTATTTCTACATTTCCCCACATATTTCCTGACTAATTTAACTGGATAATTATCAAGTTTCAAGGCTTCTTTTATGTGCATCACTTCCTGTCTTAGATTTTCTTTGGTACTGCTTAGTTTTTGTGCTCTGTCATTTAAACGTTTCACCAATCCTACTTTTACTGACATAGGATGGGATGATCGGAAGTCCAAATATCTGTTTGAGTGTGTGTTTTCCCTGCAAATACTAGTGTTTAACTTCCCATCTTCTTTCCTTTTAACGCTGCAATCATCCAGTAAATAATACTGTTTCACTGTAGGATACATCTAATAAACACAATAATATGGTAAGTTTGACGAGAAATTTTGTTTAAAGTATAACGCATAAATTAAAAGTCAATCTGAACGAAGAATACTATTTTCAATAATTCCCCCTCTTAACGTTCTTACAATCATAAAATAGAACGCATTTGTTGTCGTTACAATAACGGCCAGTCAATTGGTGGATGGTGGCTAGCAGTGGAATCCAGGATGCGCATTTCGTCCTAATTGGGACTCGTCAGCTGGATGTACCTGCATTTCTCAGTGAGTGATGATGTTCCCACCGAGGCTCGAACCCAGTGCCCATAGTTTCAAACGCCAAAGCGTTATCCACTAGACCACTTGGGCCACGAGAGCCACCTCTTGTGCGACGGGTCATATTAATTATTGAATTGAATTTTTGATTTTCCCGTCGATTGATTGGACCGAAGTGTTCGGTCTCAGGTTGACATGTCGGCTTCTTGTGCAGATGCTTCGACGATGTCTGGGGATTTGATTTGTATACAATCGGTGGATGGTGGCTAGCAGTGGAATCCAGGATGCGCATTTCGTCCTAATTGGGACTCGTCAGCTGGATGTACCTGCATTTCTCAGTGAGTGATGATGTTCCCACCGAGGCTCGAACCCAGTGCCCATAGTTTCAAACGCCAAAGCGTTATCCACTAGACCACTTGGGCCACGACATTTAAACGTTTCACCAATCCTACGTTTACTGACATAAAATGGGATGATCGGAAGTCCAAATATCTGTTTGAGTGTGTGTTTTCCCTGCAAATACTAGTGTTTAACTTCCCATCTTCTTTCCTTTTAACGCTACAATCATCCAATAAATAATACTGTTTCACTGTAGGATGCATCTCTAACTGATGTTAGCTCATGATTAAATCCTCCATGCACATCTAATAAACACAATAATATGGTAAGTTTGACGAGAAATTTTGTTTAAAGTATAACGCATAAATTAAAAGTCAATCTGAACGAAGAATACTATTTTCAATAATTCCCCCTCTTAACGTTCTTACAATCATAAAATAGAACGCATTTGTTGTCGTTACAATAACGGCCAGTCAGTTATGCGGTGGATACATTTTTTACGTAGAATAACAGATTAATTATAGGGTGTGACAAAATAAATAGTCGTATTTGTGTGACAAACGTGCCAGGCTGAAATCGATTACAAAATATTGTAAAACGGGAGACAATGGTGGTGATTAATCGTCATAATAGATTTATAGAGTGTGGGGTAGGAAAATTGACAAGATAGATCAAGGTTTTAAAAGGTGTCAGGTGAGTGGAGTGGCTAGTACAAAGTGGCCTGTGTTAAATAGGAGATAGTAAGACTGCAATGAGAGGTTCATAATGAAACAGGTGGAGGCATATATTGAGAAAAGAGATGGTATCACTAATAATAATTTCGGATAGTATGAATAAAAATTCGATAATATTCAGGGAAGGTTTGCATGAAGAGCATAAATTATGACGAATAATAATAACTGTAATAATAATATTCGTTATAATAAGGAGAGGAAAAAAACCAAGAGAGTTAAGGGGAAGGAGCACTCTTGGTGAGAAGAATAATCATCAATCTTAGTTTGGCGACGGTAGGAACAGCATCTGGACGTGTTTTTTTTGGATACAAAGTTCCTGTTTAGTCGATCTTATTGCAACAGCTCCAGCTATGTGCAGGAGACGCAAGCAAACTGTACGTGATAACGACTTCAAAATTCGGTATATAACCCTGAAAGCCGTGTCTACATCGATGCGATGTCCAGTATCAACCAAATGTGACAGGACCGAGCCTTTTATGCACTTAATTCTCCTCCCCCCCTGCTGAACCAAGCTGGTAAATGTTCTCGAACCGTAGCCGAACCTGCCTAATCGTCCGCCCTATATAATTTGAACCATTATCTCTCATTTCACAATATTTTGTAATCAATTTTAGCCCAAAGCATGTTTGTCACGCAAATACGACTGTTTATTTTGTCACATCCCATAACTAATCTGTTATTCTGCTTTAAAACATGTATCCGCCGCATAGCTGGGCATTATTGTAATGACAAAAAATGCATTATATTTTATAATTGTAAGAACATGAAGACGGGGGAAATTATTGAAAAGAATATTCTTCGATCAGATTGACTTTTAGTTCAATGATATGGGAATATTTCACACTGTTAAATCTTATAACACATAGCTTTCTGATGACATGATCAACTTTTCTAATTATCCGTCTGATTTTTCAGTTTGTAGTGGGTGTACTGCAGTTGTGCTTTCCTTGAAACTGATTCTACATTTTGAAACGGTGGTGAATTATGTCAATGTAATAATTGATCGACTGTGTATATTTGTTGGGCCTTATTCCTCTGAAGTAAGTTAAGCATCTGTGATTAAAGGTTTTAAACGTGAATATTTAAAAATACCAGTTGTATGTATGTATGTATGTGATCTGAGTTTTAGATTGTATTCCAGGCTTTAGTTTATTGAACTGAGTTGGTGAGCCTCTATTGGTATATGGGATTTATGTGTGAACTCACCAGCATCATGTTGAGGGACACTATCAGTATAAATTTAATAATTCAACTGTTGGTTTGTAGGGATTTGATTGGTTACAGGATATCATCATGAGCCGACATTGGTTAGAGAACCATTAGAAAACCTGCTGGGAGTACTGGAGAGTTGTTTCGTCAGCTTAGTTTGGGACTCTTCAGCAGCACGCACCCACCACAGGGGTTCGAATCCAGGACTTTCTGGTTACAAGGCAAGCTAGCTCGTAGACCATTGAGCCACTGTAACCAGATCCAATGGCCAGTCCATGAATTCTAACTTCTGTCAATTCGCGACACATACTCGCCGAAGACATTGGCTAGTCTTCGCGCTATGTCGTGAATTGACAGAAGTTAGAATTCATGGACTGGCCATTGGATCTGGTTACAGTGGCTCAATGGTCTACGAGCTAGCTTGCCTTGTAACCAGAAGGTCCTGGGTTCGAACCCCTGTGGTGAGTGCGTGCTGCTGAAGAGTCCCAAACTAGGCTGACGAAACAACTCTCCAGTACTCCCAGCAGGTTTTCTAATGGTTCTCTAACCAATGTCAGCTCATGATGAAATCCTGTAATTAATAATTTAAGATTATCAAAACTCCCCATTTGAAGATTATTAGAGAAAAGTCCAGTAGTTTACCGAAGAGTCTCTTTTTGCCAAATTCATTTTCACAGCTGTTCAATTGCAAATATATATGTGGTTATTTTGTATGTGTGTGTGTGTGTACATTAAGTTTGTCAAACGAAAATAGAATTATAGATAATTAATCAGGTAAAACAAGAGTGTGAATAAGGCATTTAGAAGATAAATTTCGCAAAAATACAATTAGTAAGTTTTTGATGGAGTAACGTAATACTAAAAGCGTTCAGAAGAATTGGATGTTGACATAAGAGTGTAGTAACAAAAGTGATGAGCTGTCACAAACGATTGTTAAACAAGAGTTACGTAATAACATGGATGGTTTGAAGGAACTCTTGTATTCCTTTAAAACTATTATTTATTTCTGTATTTTATTTTGTTTCAATGCACACCCTGAGCACAACTCTTCCATCAAACTATGCATGTTATTACGTAACTCTCCTTTAACAGTCATTTGGGAAAACTCATCACTTTTGTTACTTCACTCTTATGTCAATATCCAATTCTTCTGAACGCTTTTTGTATTACGTAACTCCATCAAAAGCTTACTAATTGTATTTTGTTGGTTGGAGGATATCATTATTAGCTGATTTCGGTTAGAGAACCATTGAAAAACCTAGGAGCATTGGACAGCTAATTCATTTTAGTCAAGCCTGGTCTACTAAGTATTATTCTCTGGGAGAATGTTTTATTTTCTTAAGTTTCCTGCATTAGTAGGATGAAGAAACTAGTATCTACTGCCTTACAGGATTCTTGGACATGAATGAAATTGCTTTCCAGAAGGAAGTATAATAACAACAAGTAAAAGCCGGAGATTATTAGTAATTGATCCTCAGTAAGTAACACGAAAATACATTGATTGGAACTGCTGGATTGAATTAGGTGTTAGGGGGTGGGTGACATCTGCATCGGTTAGCACCCGTAGACTAGTTAGTTAATTTCATAAAGTCCTACAGGGGTTTTTAAGTATCACCAACTGCTGTATGGAATGGTACCACTTTACAACCGTTTGTTTTATCAGGGTTTCAAGCAATATACTATAGTAACAAATTCTGGATACTTTGATTGAACGGTAATGAGTAGTAACTAGTATCATGCATCTAGTTAACTGTTTGGTGCAGACTGAATTCTATCAATCATATTTGCAATGTGGCCACTATACTAGTTAGCTTGACATCATCATGCAGTCTAAAATTGTTGTTAATATCAGTCTGCACCAAACAAAGGACAAATAGCTTGATACTAATTGCTTCTTAGTGTTCAATCAATGTATCCATCACAGTCTTAGGGGATGCCAACTGCGAGTCCTAATAACTCAGTGGAAGAGTCTCTGACTGTAGTACTGGGTAACGAGGGTTTGAATCTGAAAGGTGACATGAGTCACATCAAAGACGCCGACTGGTGAGTTTCGACAAGTACGAAACCTAGGTCGAAGGCATCATGCCGATTACCTTCAAACATCTCCTAATAAAAGGTTCTGTATTTAATTCAATTTTAGATTTTCCTGTCGATTGATTGGACTGAAGTGCTCGGTCTCAGGTTGACATGTCGTCTTTTTGTGCAATGCTTCATCGATGTCTGGACATGTAATTAGAAGCTAATGGAATCCAGGATAACGCACATTTCGTCTTATTTTGGACTCGTCATCATCTGGACATACATGCATTCCGCAGTGAGTGATAATGTTCCCAACGAGTCTCGAACCCAGTGCGAATAGTATCAAAAGACATCGTTGAAGCATCTGCACAAGAAGCCGCCATGTCAACCTGAAAATGAGCAATTCAGACCAATTAATCGACGGGAAAATTTGAAATTCAGTTAAATAATTAATATGACCCATTGCACAAGAGGTGTAGCTCGTCGCCCAGATGGTCTAGTGGATAACGCTTTGGTATTTAAAACTATGGGTGCTAATCGGTTCGAGCGTTGGTGGGAACACCATCACTCACTGTGGAATGCGACAACATCCAGCTGATGACGAGTTCCGAATAGGATGAAATGCACATCCTGGATTCCACTGCTAGTCACCATTCACCAGTTAACTTCGAACAAGTTCTGCATATCCGTCCCCAGGAAAGCATTTATTGACAAAAAAGACTTCTTCTCCTTCTTCTAACTGCTCAGTACTGAAAACACTTTAAATACAATAGGAGTTCACGTTCTATTCATAGAGCGTCCTACTCCAAAAGCATAATTACATTTCCATTCCTTTCTAGCTTTCTTAACCAATCTCGAATGAAACATCAAATTTATTTAGAGATATCCCTTTTCCCTAGCAGGAATTACTGTCTCTTGTCATGGTTGAAGACTAAACCCATTTAATACTATCTACGGTCTGAACTGTTCTACTAGAACAATCCAACTTATCTTAATCTCGATGTCACAACTTTCAGTGTACACAATTCGAAGGGTGAATTCATCACCATACAGTTTCTTTTGCAAAACCAACATTCATTAGATCGCAGTATTTAGTGGTTTGTTTGAATAATAATAATAATCGGATAGTTTCAGCTGGTTTGGCTGTTTGAGCTGATCCAAACCAGGTAGGCTAATAAAGTCAGTCGCAAATCAGGGAAACGAGCATCCGGTGTTTAAATCACATCGAGCCATACTACTCATATCAATTATTCAGTACTATATAGTACTATGATCTCATTCTAAGCTAATCATATTTGAGATCAAAAGTATAAAATAATGAATTCTAAAGCGATCTATTTTTGCCTATAAAATGAATCTTACAACAGTTGATTCACTTATAACAATAAGGTATATTGCGTACCATGTTTATTTAAAGGAAAATCGACCAATAAATGTATTTGTACATATTCTTGTGTCATTTTAACTAATAAGCTGAAGTTACTATCACACTTGGATGATCAAATTAATTCTAGAGTAACTATATTATTTCGAGAAAGGAGAAAAGTGTGCTGATCAAACTGCAGCTCTACGCATCGTCATTAAACAAAGCATAGAATGATAGTCAACTTCATCGACTTCGAAAAGGCTGAGAAATAATTTGGAAACAAATCCAACACTACGGCGTACCTCAAGTCCTTACCATCTTCGCTCAATAGCTGGCTATTTGATAATGTCAAGCGTCGGATGATCCACAATGGAAAACTCAGCAAGGTGTAGGACAAGCTAGGTGTCTATTATCACAGATGATATTCCTAATTCTGGTGGACTGGATCACGTGTCAGACTGTGGAGAGTGAGCATGTGGAGTGGAATATGGTGGACCACAGATAAGAAGACTGTAGAAGATCTGGATTTCACAGATGATACACCTATAATGTCACACAAACTCGAACACTTACAGGCAAGCAAAAAGCCACAAACTGGCAGAAGAGGCTGGCAGGTAGTGAAGACAGGACTTCAGGTGAACATTGAGAAGACGGAGGTGATGGAGATAATCACCACCAAGAGCAACAGCAACAACAACAACCAGCATCGATCAGTGTCAACGGGAAAGATTTGGGATAGGAAGGATGGTTTCAACCACAGGTGGATATCATGGATAAAGATGTCATAAACCAGTCAGTCAGAATCATACGACACGATTTCATCAACCTGAAACCAGTTTTGGAAATCTTCTGCAATCACTTAGCCAGCATTAAACAACAAGATTCGGATTTTCAACACAAATGTGGAGTCGGTCGGTCAATTCTTGTATACGGACCAGAAGCTTACACTGAGTGTCATGAAAAGAATTTCCAACAAGTTACAGTCTTTATCAACGGGTGACCACTTCGCTGACTGGCTCCACACTGAAGATCGAATGGCAGGCCAGAAAGAATCAGTTAAAAGAAATTGTGGGAACAAAGCAGCAAGCAAGAGCCGATCGTTGAACAAATATGTTGGAGAAAATTGAGATGGATCGGGTATACGCCACTGAGGAGGTCGTCGAATGACATCGTGGCCAATGCAGGCCATTGCTTCAGTGGAATCCCAATAGGTCGTTCTAGTATGACATAGAGGAGATTTTTTGGTAAGGAGGAGATGACAGAATATGTGCAGTCGTGGACCCAGCCAGCTGAAGAGGATAGCGGAAAATAGAAGAAAGTGGAGATGTGTTGCTGAAGCCGTATGTCCCACTCGGAACTCAAGGGAATAATAATAATATTGTGAAATGCTACATAATGGTATCTATCCATGCGAGCAAACATGTACTTTTTATATTTTTTCATTGGTCTTTACAATTACACATAATAAAATAGCAGTCATAGACATTTGAAAAGCAACACGGGTCAATAGAAACAAATGAAATCAAGTAGGATGTAAGTAGGATAACCAAAATAAAATGTGAAATTACGATTAAGACATGCAAGTGTTGTACAGCATGATACCGATAATGTATAGTTAGCAGTACAAAAGAAAATAAGATAAAAACAGTCTTGGGACTCTTCAGCAGTACGCACTGACCACAAAGGGTTCGAACCCAGGACCTTCCGGTTACAAGGCGAGCTCGTGGACCATTGAGTCACTGAGGCACGATCCAATGGTCCTTGAATTCTAACTTCTACCAATTCACGACATAGTGTGACCATTTCGCAATGTCTTCTTCAATGAGTTACTGTCTCACTTTCAACCTGCTGTACCCTACTGGTCACGGCTTTCCACTAGAACCCCAGGTTAACTGCCTGAATAAGGCCAGTCACTAGTGAACAGCCGTGACCAGTAGGGTACATCAGGTTGAAGAAAGGACTAGACACGTCATACTAGTTCCTAGTGTCCAATTAAATCTTCAGAATATGTATTTTTTTAAGTTCGAACTGAGGTGTAACTTAGAAATCATCCAAGCAACAGTGGCGTATTCAGCTGACACAGTGAAAGCATGGAATGACTTCTTGGATAACTCACATTGCTAGTGATCAAATGCTTCTGTAATACTTAAAGTTATATCTATATGAGTGAAACTGTGATAAACCACCGTGCAAACCTTGAACATATATCAAGCAGAAAACGTATAAGATAACGTAAATCAACCTTCGAAACTCCCTCATTCAGACCACAGAATGTAGTTTTAACCCGAAACCCCAGTTTTTTCCTCCTACATGGCTAAAACGATAAATGTCTCAACACTTAAAACACAAAATAATTGAGCAAAGAATATTCTTTTCGATAATTTCTTCTTCTGACTCTACAATTACATATATATATATATATATATATATATATATATATATACAGAATATTCTAGATTAGCAGTCAATAACAATATTAATGTTATCTTAAATAATATCGATTTGTAAAGTAAGATCAGTGAAATTACAGTTCATTAAAGATACCTAGATAATAATAATAATAATAAAGATATAGCAGCAAATAGAATATCAACTAAAATTAGGAAAATTCCACAAAATTCATGATCATTCAAATCCAGATGGCCAGTGGGGTGAGGATAATGAAGTAACTTCTTTTAGATGAACAAGTTAGGCTTGTTAATGCGGATCTCAACAGCCAGCCTCAGCAATATTTAATGGTCAAACTCTTAAGGCAAAATTGAGATTCGTTGGTATACGGTAAATGACCCTGAAAGCCTGGTCATTGTCACTCTTGTGTTCTGTCGCATCCACAAGATAAGATATAATAGCACTACGAATAGATTTTGTCTGTCCTTTGCTTAACCATTATGCAGGGTGGTGTTTGGAAATTCGACGAGAAAGATGCCTAGTTGTACGGCCTATGCAACTAACTGGCTCCACAGGAGCAGTTGATCTTCCTTTACAAATCGATATTATTAAAAAAATACTAATATTGTTATTGTTATTGACTACTAATCTAGAATATTCTATGTATATAAACATATATATATACTTGTAGAGCCAGAAGAGGAAATTATTGAAAAGGATATTCTTTGGTGGCTCAATTATTTTGTGTTTTATAGATGTTTGAATGAATATTTTCGCTACATTAAAAACTGATTGAAGTTATTATTTTAATCATTTTTAAAACGAGATACAGCATTTCCTTTTTAAAATCACATTAAATTATTTTAATTTTCAGTGTACATTTGTTGCTCAAAACTTTGCTAGTAAGTTGATAGATTTGCTTGAAAATGCGACAGTTCCTCGAATTTGTCAGGTAAGCAAACATTTTGTACTTCGACATGACTTTATGTTCATTTATTTATATAAAGTATACCAGATACTTACTTGCGCCATAGCAATCCCAGACCAACGTGCAAGGACCGTGACAGATGCAGTAGTTGGACACATCATTGCAGACCACGGCGTACCAAAGACAATACTGACAGACCAAGGTCCCTGTTTCGAAAGTGAAGAATTTACTTCCCGTTTGCAACAGCTGGGCATCGAGAGGATCAGAACGATCCCATATCATCCACAAACGAATGGCCTAACGGAGAGAAACAACCGTACACTGAAGGAGTGGCTGGCCTCGAAGGGCGGTAACTGGGAAACGGAGCTTCCACTGATCTTACTAACACATCGTGCTACCACTCAGGAAACAATGAAGAAGTCACCCTTTCAACTGATTTATGGTAGAAAACCACGATTACTGATACACAACGAGACCTGGCCCCTTCACCAAAAGTGGAGTACGACAAAATTAAAAGCAGAGCGAAAACAGGCAGTCAAGAATGTGATGCAGAAGCAGCGGAGTGATGTCGCGAAGTCTCAGCTGAAAGGAAAGACTCAGTGCATTATCTTTGCTGTCGGGAACCAAGTGAAGTGTAGAGACAGAAAATATACAATTGGATACGGGCCAGGTTAGCGGAAACTCCTTCCAAAGTGGGAAGGACCATATACAATCACAAAACGACGGGGCCAAGTATATACCATCCGAAGAGGTGACAAACAGAAACGAGTTAACGCCAGTCAGCTCCAACGATGGGTACAGTGGGACAAGCCGGTCAGTAACAACCCTCAACTAGAGGATGTATCCCCCAGAAGGTCGGAACGCCTGCGCGCGAAGCTATTTCACGGGGGGACGAGTGTGGTGAGAGCAGGCTAGCCTAAACTGGTAGACAGCATTTTACGTCAATGGGTATGTCGCAAATATTGGTCGTGAGAAAATATGAACAAGACTGATTCAACAACCAATCACAGCAGACTTGGCGTAGACAGATACAGTTAATATATAGATGACAAGAAACAGTCACAAAGAGATGCAAGGTCAACTTTCTGTAAAAAACAGCCAATCGGAAGTCTGTGTTTGTCTGCTTGAATAAGCTATAATTATGTACATGAAATATGTATAAATACGTGTTGATTTCCTTAATGAAGGATCTGTTGCCTGGCCCTTGTCTATTGTCGTTACATACCTACATAAATAATCTATAGCTTTCTTCTATGACCTGACTCCGATTAGGGATCGATGGCAGTTAGAGTCCTACTGAAAACCAAGTTCTCCAACTGATATAAATCTGTAATCAAACTGCTTGAAACTAACTCTTGAAAATTAATCTGATGCTGACTATTGACTGCCTACAGGATGAAGTTTTTTTGATTATTATCAGTTAAAAGTTTGAGCATTGTGGATTAGATGAAATAAAGTATAATTATATTTCCATAGTCTACACATAATGATAAGTTTTGATATTGGTAATACTTCGTGCAAAATTACTGCCCGTGTTCACACCACTGTTGGGATTGTTTTATTCACACATTTATGATTTGTACTCATATATATATATATATATATATATATATATATATATATATATATATATATATATATATAGTTCATTTTGTTTTGCTCATTCATGTTTTTTTGTATTCAGAATTATATTCCAAGTTGCTGATAATTGTACTGAGTCACCCTTGTTACATGTATCCGGTGTGACTTCAGTGAATATCGATTCTGTTATAAGTCTCTCTTTCCATTTATTAATGTTAGATTTTAGAATACACACATTATTCTAATCGATATTTTGGTTTTTGTCCCATGTATGTGCGGCTATCGATGAATTTTTTTCAAGATTCTTATAAGCTTGTGTTCCTGTTGGTTGACCTTTGGTTGGGCGTTTATGTTCATTCACTCTTATTTTGAGTGATCTGACCATTTGCCCCACATATTTAGTCGGACAGTAAGCACAAGATATTTCATATGCGTCGGTAGCACAGTGGTTAGGATGCTCGCCGACCATACACATGGTCCGAGGTTCGAACCCCTGCCGACGCACACCTGATATCTATGGTCGGCCTGGAAAATTTGGACTACCGATATCCATGCTGAAAATTCCATACTTGTACCAAAAATACAGTGTGGAAGCAAGCTGTAATCAAAAATAAGATAAAAATAAAATATAAATCAAATTGTTTTTATTCATCATATTTGTGTGATATTTCAGTTGATTTATTTTATTTTTGATAAGATTCGTCGGTTTAAACGTTGTGCGAATGCCTATATTTTTGAGGTTTTTTTGAAAAAAAAAATCGCGCGCTTTTCGACTACTACGCTACATTTTGCTCATTAATAAAAACTCTTATTTCTGTAAAATTTTATGCCAAGAGTTTGCGGAAACTATCACAATTATTAACCTTTCGAACACTGAATCCAAAAAATACAATCTTATTGACAGATAATACACATAACTAACTGTTTGGATTTGTGGAATTTTTAAACATAAACACATCTATAATTGTATATATTGTTGGATTTATATGTTCAAGTTGCTCCAAGTCAGTGAGTTTATGGTTAAGATATCATTTTAGTTAACTGTACTGAACTATATTGCATGTTGTCTTATTGTATAGTTGTCGTCGCTTTTTGCCCTTTTTTCTGTGAACTGTTTCCTTTGTTGATGTTGTTCTCATTGTTTGTCCGTTATTTTCTGATTTTGAGGGGAGCAACCCAAAAAGTTGCTTCTCTCTAAACTTTTACTTAATGTAATCATTCTTTTCTCAGGCGTGAGGCTAGCAACCCCACCCTGTAAACAAAATTGCTACAGAACTTCAGCAGAATGAACCTCTTGCACCAAAAGAAAAAGTCTGTGTAGGAACATGGAACGTCCGAACTATGTACGAGACTGGAAAGCTGCCCAGATCGCCAACGAGATGAAAAGATACGGAATACAAGTGCTGGGAATATGTGAGAGCAGATGGAATGGGAGTGGACTCACCAAATTGTCAACAGGTGAGTCAGTGATCTACTCCGGTCACCCAGAAGATAACCACACGCACACCGAGGGCGTGGCTATCATGATGTCACCAACGGCAACGAAAGCCCTGATACAATGGGAGGCGATTTCGTCCAGGATAATGACCGCCAGGTTCAACTCCAAAGGAAGGAAAGTGTCAATCATACAATGTTATGCACCCACAAACAACGCAGACCTCGAGAAGAAAGAAGAATTCTACAGGCAACTACAGGCAACAATGGACAATACTCCAGCTGGCGACATGAAAATACTAATGGGAGACATGAACGCCAAACTGGGACCAGACAATTCGGGAAGGGAACTCATCATGGGTAGAGAAGCTCTAGGAGAAATGAATGAAAACGGAGAACTCTTCGCCGACTTCTGCGCCTTCAACGAACTGGTGATTGGTGGCAGTGTATACAAGCACAAAGATATCCACAAGGCTACATGGGTGTCACCAGACGGGCAAACCAAAAACCAAATCGACTTCATCTCAATCTCAAGGAAGTGGAGGCGCAGCCTACTGGACACAAAAGCAAGAAGAGGAGCAGACGTTGGCTCAGACCACTATCTCGTACAAGGGACAATCCAAATCAAATTAAAAGCTTTCAGGGAATCAGGAGCTGCAGATAGACCACAAGCCAAGTTCAACACTCAAAAGCTGAAGGACCAGGCTACAAAGGACATCTTCATTGCAAGCATAAAGGACAAAGCCGAGACACAAATCAACACCAGCGAAAGGTCGGCGTTGAAAAGCACTGGAACAACTTGAAAACGGTGTGGAGCCAAACCTGCATAGAAATTCTAGGCAGAAAAAAGAGACAGGACAAACAGTGGCTCACTACGGACACTTGGAAACTAATAGAAGAGAGAAGGACAGTGAAGCAAAAGATTATCCAGTGCATGACGAGCAACAAAAACAGGAGCTGAATGCAAGCTACAATACACTGAACAAAAGAGTGAAGAAAGTGCCAGGGAAGACAAAAGAAAATATTATGAAACCATGGCAAACGAAGCAGAACAAGCTGCAGGCAAAGGAGACCTCGCCACACTCTACCAAACAACTAGGAACCTTTCGGGCAAACGTTCGACACAGATTAAGCCAATAAAGGACGACAATGGAAAGTCAATCACCAAAGAGGTGGAACAGAGAAAGCACTGGGTTGAACACTTCAAAAGACTTCTAAATCGTCCGCCACCTACAACACGTCCAGCAATACCAACAACGGAAGCAGAACTACCAGTGAACACTGACCCCCCGACGAAATCAGAAGTCCTGAATGCAATCAAGATGCTTAAAGCTGGGAAAACACCGGGACCAGATGGAATCCCAGCAGAGGCTTTGAAAATAGACCCAGAGACAACAGCGGACTTGATGACACCACTACTGGAGAAGGTGTGGAAAGAGGGCAAAGTACCCGAGGATTGGAAGAACAGTTACTTATTCAAACTTCCAAAGAAAGGAGACTTAAGTCAATGTAAAAACTGGCGTGGAATTATGCTTCTGTCCATTCCAAGCAAGATACTAAGTCGCATCATCCTGGAGAGAATCAAACAAGCCCTAGATGAAAAACTTCGTCCGGAACAGGCTGGATTCAGGAGAAACAAATCATGTATTGATCAAATCGCCACTCTACGGATCATCATTGAACAAAGCTTGGAATGGCAGTCACCTCTCTATCTCAACTTCATCGACTTTGAAAAGGCCTTCGACAGCGTCGATCGAGAGGTCATTTGGAAACTACTTCGCTACTACGGGGTCCCATCGACAATTATACACCTCATCCAACAGTTATACGACAATGCTGCATGCCAAGTAATCCACAACGGGAAACTTACGGAAGCCTTCGAAGTGAGGACGGGAGTGAGGCAAGGCTGTCTACTATCACCAATGATCTTCCTGATTGCAATTGATTGGATAATGCGACAGACAACGGCAACCAACGAGGGAACAGGCATAAAATGGACTGACACAAAAGACTTGGAGGATCTGGATTTCGCCGATGATATATGTCTGATTTCCCATAAACTGGAAGATATGCAAGTGAAAAGTAACAAGTTGGCAGAAGAAGCATCAAAGATAGGACTTCACGTGAACATAGATAAAACAGAGATGATGAAGATTCCTAGCCAACATCAACAGCAACAACAACAACAACAGACAACAATAAGCATAAATGGGAAGAACCTGAAAGAAACAACCTCCTTCACCTACCTGGGAAGCATCGTCTCAACTACAGGCGGAACTGACGAGGACATCAAAGCCAGAATCGGAAAAGCAAGACAAGCTTTCATTACTCTCAAATCTGTGTGGAGGTCAACAGCAATCAGCATCAAAAATAAGATCCGGATTTTCAACTCCAATGTGAAGTCAGTGCTACTATACGGATCAGAGACTTGGCGAGTCATAAAGAGCATCTCAAACAAACTTCAAACCTTCATTAACAACTGTCTCCGCTCAATACTCAAGATCAGATGGCCAGAAAAGATCAGCAACAGGGATCTCTGGGAGCGAACCAATCAGGAACCGATTGTGAAACAAATAGGCAGAAAGAAATGGAGATGGATTGGCCATACGCTGAGGAAACCATCAAGTGACATCACTAGACAAGCCCTCGAGTGGAACCCGAAAGGGAGGCGGCGAGTTGGTCGTCCAAGGGTGACTTGGAGGAGGTCATGCGAGGAGGAGATGAAAGCATGTGGACAGACCTGGAGCAGGGTGAAAAAGTTGTCAGAAAACCGAAGTCAATGGAGGTGCGCAGCTGAAGCCCTATGTTCCTCTAGGAACTAAAGGATACAATAATAATTATGATGTACTATTTTTATATGGTATTGTGACTGTTTTTTTGCATTCTTCCATCTTGTCATTCTCCAGTTTCACCCTCTTTTTTCTGTTTTTAATATTATCTTTTATAATTTCTTTTGGTTAGCTGTTTTCGAGTAGCATTTTGAATAGGACGTTTATTTCTTTACGCTGGTCCTCTGGTGTTGTTGTTAGTCTGCGTATTCTATCTGCAAGACCTTGTATTAATCCTCGTTTTACCGTAAGTGAATGAGCTGAGTGATACTCAAGGAATCTTCCAGAGTGTGCGGTTTTTCTATGTAGCGTCGTTTTTATGCTACCATCTTTTATTCTTTGTATTTTGCAGTCTAACATAGGCAGTTCCCTATTTCCATAGTGAATTTTATTGAGTCGACATGGCTGTTTATGCGTGAGAAGAGTTTCTCAATATCGTTTTTTTTTCACCATTACTAGTGTGTCGTCTACATATCTCCGCTAACATTTTAATGATGACCTGAATAGTTTAAGGGCATTCTCTTCCCAATAATCCATGAATATGTCCGCTATTATTGGTGAGATAGGCGATCCCATAGCTACTCCTTCATTTTGTTGGTATATTTTCCCTTCGAATGTGAAATATGTTGTTGTCAGACAGAATTCCACCCCTTTCATTATCTCTTCTACGGATAACTGTGTTCTGTCTTTTAGGCCATTATCTTCTTTTCGTTTCTCTTTCAGTGCACCAATGGCCATTTGAAAGGGTATTTACGTATACAGAATGTTTAAATCAAAGCTGACTAGTATTTCCTCTTCCTCTATTTTATTGGTTTTTAGTCGTCTCAGTAATTCAAATGAATCGACTATTCTAGAGCTTTTGAGTTGTCCGTTGGCGGTCTTAGTATTGTCAACACATGAGTACAAATCATAAATGTGTGAACAAAACAATCCCAACAGTGTTGTGAACAGGAGCAGTAATTTTGCTCGAAATATTACCAATAACAAAACTTATCATTGTGTGTAAACTACTGAAATATAATTGGAGTTTCTTGGAGTTCTAGTAAGAATTCATGACCAGTGCCGTCCATCGGATCAGGCATGAGGACAAATATTCACTAATGACATTGACGGGTGGTCACGTTATAATCATCAATTGGCAGCAGCTAGAATTCATGGACCACTGAGTCAGGTGCTAATGTCTGGATGGTGACTTGGAGGTCCTGGGTTCGAACCCCAGTGTGTGTGCGTGCTCCCAAAAATTCCAAACTATGTGGTAACAACTGTCCAGTACTCCAGTGCTGGTTTTCAATGGTTCTTCAACCGATGTTAGCCTGTGGTCAAACTTGAAATAAATCAAATCCCTGAAAAATAACTCTTGACCATTTTTTGTGAAGTGAATCTATATTAAGCGCATGGCGTGTTTGTTTGTTGATAAAAGGTGAAAAGGATGTTGAAAACTGAAATCTGAGTCTTGAAATTCCTTCTGACTGACACCTAATAATATAAACTCGAATTAAAGTACATCGGATTTCTGTCTCACCTAGTTTAATGGTAAAACAGCTGGGTCATTATTCAACAAGCATTAAACAAGTAGGATGGCAAAATGTTTTTTCATATCATTAAGCATTTGGTCAGTACTGAAATACATTTGTGGACTTTCTACCTGTTTTTACGACTGGAAATATTATTTGAAGTAAAACAGAAGATTTATAGCTCAGGTGGATGATTTTGATTTAGTTGTGTTTTCTGTCTGAGCTGGTTGATTTAATTGCGAAGCTTTCGTTAACCCCCTTTTTAGACAGCATCTTCAGAGCACGCTTTATAATAAAAAGGTGTGAGATAGCTACAGCTTACCAAGACGACCAAAGAACAAAACCTGAGTTTGATGATATTAGATAGTTGGAGCAAATCGACAGGAAACCCAGTCTCAGACCTAGGTAGGTTTCGTGCTAGTTGTCACTCACAAGTCAGCAAGACGTACTGACACCTTGTAGGAACTCATGTCCCTTCTGCGATTCAAACCCGCGTCACCACGTGAATACTGCAGTCAGAGACTTCACCACTGAGGTATCCGGGCTCACGATTTACCTTCTGTAGGACTGCAGTGGGTACTTTGACTGGACACTAGTAACTAGTGTAATGTACACCGTGATGGCGAGCTTCGCAGAATGGTGGCCACATCGCAAACCTGTCTGACAACTGCACGTCTCCACTCGTTTCTGTCTTCTGCTGTGATTTTCAACTGCATCCATGTTAGTCCATACTGTCTCAACTCCTCTTCACACTATCTCCTCCATGTAACCTGTGGACGTTCCACTCGTCGCTTCCCTTTCGGGGTCCACTAGAGGGCCTGACGCGCGATGTCACCCAGCGCACAAGAATACTGCGAAAACAATATGTTACTTAAGTTCTTCTGACAACTGCCTAATTGTAACATGCATTTCTTGATCTTTTGGTATCTTGTGAAAATGTGGTTTATGATAAATGGAATTCTGTCTTCATCAGCCAGGCGCATATATATTTTACAGTCGTCCCTATCATTAAGATCAAATTTTCGAGATTTTGGCTTGAATGTATTTGATCTGTTTTGTTGGAAGTAATTTCAGCACGTTGTACTGCACCACATAAATGATTGGAAAGTAGTTTCGGAGTTTATTCCTTCTGTTAAGATCTCATGTTAGGAAAACAAGTGTTTTTATACCACCTCTCCAGTTATCTTTTTGCATAAATCCTTTGCGGCTAATTAAAATATTAAGCATATAAGTTATATGTTATCGAACGAATGGAGGTAGTACTACACTGTCCAGTACTCCCAGGTTTTCCCATGGTTCTCTAATCAATGCCACCTAATGATGAAATCTTGTAACCAATCAATCAAATCTCTACAAACCAATATCTGAATATCAATGAGATGCTCACTAGCGACTGGCCCTGTTCAGGTAGGCAGTTACCTGGGTTCTAGTAGGAAGTCGTGACCATTAGGGTGTAGCAGGTCGAGCGCGAGGATAAATACTCCCTGAAGACATTGGCTAGCGGTCGCGCTATGTTGTAAATCGACAGAAGTTAGAATTCATAGATTTGCCATTTGTTCGGGTCCCAGTGGCTTAATGGTCTACGTGCTCGCCTTGTAGTCAGAAGGTGCTGGATTCTCACCTCTTGTGGTGAATGCGTACTGCTAAAGAGTTCCAAACTAGGACCAGCAGATTTTCCATTGGTTCTCTGAATGATGTTAGCTAATGATGAAATCCTGTAACTAATCAGTCAAATCCCTACAAATCAGTACTTGAATTATTTCATTTTATCCCACGTTTCACGATTTATGAACTGTTGCCTATCGCAGTTTCTTTTGCATTTCCGCTTTTTATGAGCTTGTTACCCAAATTAGCATTTATCCTACCTTTTGATCGCAAAACATTTTACACTTTATACTATTTTCTTTCTCCAGATGACATAGCTTTTACAGAGTTCTTTTTTCGAATTCTTCTTTTACAGAAATGGAGAATGTGTCAATGAAAGAAAACGAATGGGAATACAATTGTGTTCATAATGTTTTAAACTGAAAATTAAAGAAATTAAAAATATTTGTTGAATATTTTACGGATTCTCTGGATATAATTTCTTCTAAAGATTAATTTATTTTTAGGAGTAGTTAGAAAATCATAAAATAGGGTTGTTTTATGCCGATTTTGTGTGTGTGTGTGTGTGTAAGTGTACGCGCTTCAGTGCAACTGATAAATACTTCTGTTGAACCCCATTAAGTAGCAGAGCTTTTAGTCATGAGGGAAAATAACTGGTTATTGTTGTTTCACAGACATTGTAGTTAAAGTGGCCCCTTGTGGACACCAACAGGATTTTATTATTTAGACTGTAGCTACCAAAACTGACTCTTTGTAGTCCGAATACAGGGAACTGGTCTTTGAATTCTACTGTATGGCTGTCCGATTCTTCCTTTGGAGATGCATAGTCACAACAACAACAAAAATAAAATCAAAATCTCAAAATTGCCTCAAAAGTGCCGTTAGGGTGATTGTACAGTCCAGTTAGTTTTCTAAGTAAAAAAAGAGTACCGTAGAACAAAATTAGTTAACCGAAATTCAGCTGTAAGAAGTACCTATAATCAAGTGGAATATTCCCAACAAGGTGGACCAAAGTCTCTATCCAAAAGAATCATACACCACTGCTTCCTTCGGACAGTCCTGAGTCAGAGTGACCTTCATTTACTTAAACAAAGTCAAGTCGTAAAACAACCACGAAGAGAAGCATTATTTATTTTATTTATCTATTTAAACGTAGGAAAAACTTGGTACAATATGGCACACAGAAGATGCGCCACGCAATAATAATAAAACAACATAGATTAGAAGTAAAAATATAGGTGGAGAAGAAATAAGGAACTTCATCTGGAAGGAAAACAGTCATACTTAACAAGTCCAAACAGTATTCGAGCTATCTCTCGGACTCCAACCAGGGACTCGTGACGCACCAACCGATGCTAACCTGGCACAAATATCCTTCATCCCACGACGCCACGTCATGAGCAGACCATCTAGCCACCTTTTCCATCTCGTCTCAGGGCTAGCAAACACAGACCTGTACGGAACCCTCTGAGATGACATTCGCAACACATGTCCAAGCCACCGAAGCCGGTGTTTTCAGATGACGACACTCAATGAATAATGATCTCCACTATGTTCAAACACACGCCGCCGAGACTCCGAATTACTCTCGCGATGATGCCATGGAGCGCAAGAAATCCTGTGGAGACAGCGATGATCGGACACGCAGAGTCGCACATCGTCAGCTCGGAGAAGCAAATTTTCACAGGCGTAGAGCAAGACAGTCCGCACCGAAGCATTGTACACCCGACCTTTGACAGCCAGGCTAACCTCGCGACGGCGCCAGAGGTGGCTCAAGTTGATGTATGCCACTCTAGCCTTCATGATACGGTTGAAAATCTCATCCGTCACCCCTCCGCCAGCACTCACACAACTACCTAGATACACAAACTTATCGACAACTTCAAGCTGTCCACCTGGAGGAGTGAGTGCAGGTAAAGGCTCCTGACAATCTTGTAACAGTACTTCGCACTTAGACGGTGCAAAGTACATAGAATCAGAGATTAGACAGAGACGGAGACAAATAGTGAGGATCGAATCAACATGCGGTATGCAGATGTCAGGGCAAATGTCAGTCTAGCAAGAAAACAGATAGTAATTACAAGTTAGTCGAAACGTCCAAACAAGTATAAATATTGTGGTTAGATAATCCAGGGGGGATTTTTCAAGCAATCTTTCCATTCAAACAACCACCGAAATCCCTCTGTAGATTTTAAGACACCTTCTGATGCATTCTGTCATCGTTGTATCTTTTACTTCTGGGGTCGAGTACTTAAAACAGCGTGTCTGCATAACTCCATCTTAACCTATCGTCCGTATCTCTTCACGTGCTTCAAGAAGCCAAAACCTTCGTATATCCCTTTTTATAACACATTCTTTCATACGCTCTGTCACTGTTCTCATTAGAACGTTCTTATACTTGCCACACTTTTAATCTATTCCAACTGGCCACACACCTCGTGTTGTTAATTCGTTGGATACCGAAGTATGTCCTCACACCCGACCCGCTGCACCCTACTGGTCACGGCTTCCCACTGGAACCCAGGTAACAACCTACCTGAACTACCTAGCAACACTTGAATACCAATGAGATGCTCACTGGCGACTGGCCCTTTTCAGGTAGGTAGTTACCTGGATTCCAGTGGGATGTCGTGACCAGTAGCATGCAGCGGGTCGGGTGTGAGGACAAATACTCGCCGAAGACATTGGCTAGCGGTCGCGCTATGTCATGAATTGGCAGAAGTTAGAATTCAAGGACCATTGGATCGGGCCCAAGTGGCTTAATGGTCTACGAGCTAGATCACCTTGTGATCGGAAGGTCCCGGGTTCGAATGATGGCGGTGGGTGCGTACAGCTGAAGAGTCTCAAACTAGGACGAAACAGATGTTCAGTACTCCCAGATGGTTTTCGAATGGTTTTCTAGCCAATGTCAGCTCATGATGAAATCCTGAAACCAATCAAATCCCTACAAACCGACACTTGTGTAATATGTCGCGTTTGGCTGCCTCTGTTTCTTCCAATGTTAAAGAAATAATGTTCAAGAGCTTATCTTGGCTCTCGGTATGCAAAGTGATGATACAGACAAATAGGCTACTGATTTCACCAAAATCATCTAATTCGAGTAGTAACGGAATAGTGTATTGAAGGTTCTATCCGTGGTACTCATACTAACTCGTACGGATTCCTTAAGCTCAATATTTCATTATATAATTATAAAGTTTGATGAGCATTTACCGGAAATACGTATTTGCCTGCTTTAACTGTGTTCTCTGTATTTATAATAATGAAAATGTTAAAATTATAAAGATAAAAAGTTCAGGGAAAAGATTCTTTTCTGCAGCGAATTCATTCACTCAGCTGTACAACCACTGTTATATACAATTAGTGTGTGTGTACACATTTGCAGAAGATGGCATACTAAGAAGAATTGTGTACAGGAAACCTACAACAGCAGGCCAGTGCACTCATTTTTTGAGTTTTGTACCTTTGAAATATAAACACAACCTGGTAAAGTGTCTGATTCATAGAGCTAGGTTAATCCGTTCAGACAACTGCCTCAATGAGGAGTTTAAGATTATTAGAGAATTACTTAGAAAAAATGGTTATCCGGATAAGTTCATTGAGAAAAATATGGGTTCAGCACCAAGGAGAGTCTGTATGGCAACAGTTCTGAAAAAACCACTATTCATAAAACTGCAGTTCCTCGGTGACAGCATCAGCGAAAGAATAACACAGCGCCTGAAGAATGCAGTTAAAAGAGTTTATTATGCAGCAGAGGTACTCTGTCTTTTCACAACCACCCCTGTTCTACGTTCGAGAAATTAGGATAAACTATCTAAATTCGCCTCCTCAATGTGCTTATTTTAAGATGTACAATCAATGTTCATTTCTTATTCAATAAGGAATATTACAGACAAACTGAGGGCGTAGCTGTGTGTTTCCCATCAGGTCCAATCCTAGCTGATTTTTTCCTCGCTAAGCTAGAGAATGAACCAATGAAAGGAGTAATTAATAACTTGGATTTCTACTGTCGATATATGGATGATACATTCCTGGTCATGAAAAACAAGAATGATGCAATGAACATCCTTGACAAGTAACAAAGTCATACAACTCGGAATTACACCTAAGGTAGAAGGACGGGGTTGAGAATTTTCTTCTGCATACATACATCAGGGTTTTCTATCCGGATTACTAAGGCATCGGCAATGCAAAGTATACGAAAGCTCACCGTTTTTGGGAGGCTCTTTTTGGGTTTGAAGATGACTTTGAATAAATTCTCTTTACATTTCGAGTGACTAATGTTGCATATATGTCCACTTATAGCACTCCTTATTGATCCCTTGCTATCTTCTCCACCCTCTCCTTCTACCTCAGGCATAATTTCAACTTCTACTGTTTGGTTAATAAAGTTTTTTTTTTGAATTTTTGTATGACCTTCTAGTGACATCTTCCTCTTAATCAACTCTTTATTTACTCTTTCTACCTATTACGCAATTTATTTTTTCGACACGTGTCTCCATTAACATCTTATTTCATATTACGCAACCCTTGTCAACACTTGCCAGTCTTTCTTCCTCCCCCCGTAGTTACAATTTGATTATTCATCATATTTTTGAAACATTTTGATGACATAAACACTAACCCTAACTAACTTTTATTCAAGTATTGGTTTTCAGGGATTTGGTTGATTGGTTACAGGATTGCATTATGAGCTGATATTGGTTAGAGTATCATTGGGAAACCATCTGGGAGTACTGGACAGCTGTTTCGTCCTAGTTTGGGACTCTTCATCCGTACGCACCTAACGTGATTCGAACCCAGGACCTTCTGGTCATAAGGCGAGCTAGCTCGTATACCATTAAGCCACTGGGACCCAATCCGATGGCCACGCCCCTAATTCCAACTTCTGCCAATTCATGATGTAGCGCAACCACCAGTCGATGTCTTCGGCGAGTATTTGTCCTCATACCCTACCTACTGCACCCTATTGGTGACGACTTCCCATTGACTATCCAAATGTGTACACACACACACAAAATAATTATGTGTAACTTCGATGAATGAACTCGCGAAAAGGAATCTCTTTGCTGAACGTTTTTGTTTTTATATTCATGTCTGGATGGCTATTTTCCGTGAATAATAAAATTGCTGAATACCTATGAATATCCCGAAGTGCTTAAAGCACTCAATGAATTTTGAAGTTTATTTATCAAATAATAGCGGTCGCGATATGTCGTGAATTGGCAGAAGTTAGAATTCAAGGACCATTGGATCGGGCCCCAGTGGCTTAATGGTATACGAGCTCGCCTTGTAGCAGAAAGGTCCTGGGTTTGAATCACGGTGGGTGCGTACTGCTGAAGAGTCTCAAACTAGAACGAAACAGATGTTCAGTACTCCCAGATGGTTTTCGAATGGTTCTCTAGCCAATGTCAGCTCATGATGAAATCCTGAAATATTTAGAACCCTTTACATTTCAGCTTAGATGAATTTCAAAGTGAAGATTCACTTGGGAAATCTTGAAAACAATGAAACTCTCTCAGAAGCATGCATATTCCAGTCTATATTTCTTTTTGCATGGATTTCTAAAGACAGATGCGGAATAAAATTAAAAAAATTCCGCACAGTAAAGATATTATTAAGAGGGTGCGCAGTTCGAACCCAGTAGCTCATGTTTTTCACGCCCGTTTCAGTCACTCACGCTAAGAAATCTCTTTCCACTTTACTCTAAGACAAGTCGAGACAATTGGAGTTATTTAGACAAAGATTTTGATGAAGGCGGAATTTGGGCTACGGATGTCACATGCTGAAAATTCCACACCCGTACCAATAAATACAGTGTGGAATCAACCTGTTAATCAAAAATAAATAAAAATGATCATTGGGGATTAATCACTGTTGTCGACACGATGACATGGAAGTTCCACGAGAAATATATTAGAGAATAAAACTCAATTTTTATTTAACATTAGTAATATTATTTATCTGAATCAAATAATAATTAACATTACAAAAAGTAAAGATTAACGTAAAGCAGAAGATATTTAAGGTAATTCTTTGTGTTCACTGTAGCGTACTTATTTGAAATCTAAAATGGGGAAGTAAAATGAATTATTGAAACAAAACATTACAAAAAGTTAGTTAGTATACAGTGTGTTAAAATGTATCCTGAAGCATACGTTCGCCCTGAACATTTAAATGAAGAGACTGAATTGCGCTGAAAATACCCGCTTATAACAACACAGTTTCCTATGTTAATTGGTTGCCTTAAGCTATTTAAACAATAGTTAAGCGATTTGATGAATGGTGACTGTCAGTGTAATTCAGAATGCGTATTTCTTCCTGTTTGGGAGTCGTCATCTGGGTCTAACTGCATTCTCCACTGAGTGATGGTCAGATTGAGACTCGAACCCAGTAGTGTCCATCGTTTCAAACATCAAAGCGTAGATGAGGCCTAAATAGGACGAAATGAGAATCCTGGATCCCACTGCTTGTCACCATTCACTAAATTACTTCACTGTTAATCACCAGGTATAGTCAAATCTTCTGTAGTGGGATCCAATATGTCAACTGAGGCCGAACATTTCAGTCCAATCAATCACGAACGAGAAAATCAAAGTTGGACAAAAATTAAACTATCTGAAACAAAACCACAGTGACCTTGAACAACCAATCAGGACTCAGATGCAAAAAGGTTGCATAATCGTTGAAAAATACACTAAAAATATTGCTAACATGATTTACACTACAGAGAAATCGTACCTTGCGCAATATACCCATTCATCCAGGTGACTGTATGTCCTTTCTTCTGATCCTAATTTTAACCCTAATCATAACCTTAACCTCGGACCCTGAAGTTATAACCCTACCTAACAGTATAGGTTTGCAGAAAAAGTGCCTAGTGCATTAGTTGAATACTGTATCTATCCTTTCCAAGTGAAAAAAGGCAGGCGTGGTTTGATTTGGAATAACATTTCATAGCACTGCCTATGTTGGATTGGTCCTTGAAGATCAACTTTTGAGAGACTTTGACTTTAGCTATGATACTTCAACCTCGCCACCCAGGTCACGCTTCAGGTCCTTTGCTGACTGCATTCTGTCGGTGGCACGGTTGAGTGATGCAGGTTCAAATCTCTGAAAGGACATCGAAATCCTTCAATGGTTTCAGTTATGCCTTGATGACAAGTGACAGGACAGACGGAACCTAGGTGGAGGGCACTCTGCCGACGGCATCTAGTCACCTAGTACCAATTACGAAAGATATATTATGAAGTCGGTCAAACAGTAGTCTATTTTTTTATTAGAAAAACTTTCACCCATTTTTTTTTGAGGAACAGGAGTTCGATCCTCATGGTTAAGCTATTCAGATATATCTGGATAACGGTGTCATGCATAATTCTGTTTGCCTGAATAATGAACCTGTCGCTGCACACTCTGGATACTTTGGTGAGAAATCATTAAGAGAGTAATTAGATGAACATCTTTGGCAATAATCCAAAAGAGGAATTTCACGACCCTTTCAAGAAGTTTATTGGAAATATCATTTAGCAATAATACTAGAGTCTCTGAGGACTACAGAACAGTGAGAACTCGCCCCACCTTCTCTCTAGATGGCTTGGCAATGTAAATTCAAACTACAGTACAATATTTAGCTAGATCGCTCTCGTTTTAAAAGTTTCCCATTGGATGTCTAAACCTGATGAAGATGCTTCTTACATTATAAAACTTTTATAATTTCTTTGGCGATTATGAAATGAATCTAATAAATTTTCGGCACGCACGGTGATTACTGGTTTGAAAAGAAGGAAATAATTACAGACTCATCAACATTTAAATAATTTACTTATGTCAACTTACTTAGTGAAAAACGTTCATTAAAGTAGTCGCATACTTTTCAAATGTTTTGAAGCACTAAAACACATTTTGAAAAAGAAAACAGATTTCGACTAAAATGAGCTCGAAATGAAGTTTATGTGTCGGTGGTTTAGTGGCAGAATCCCTGCCAACCGCGTACCTACTCTGGATTCTAATCTTAGCCTATGCATTCTCAAATGTTACTTATCCGATGGTAAGCGCTGTAGTGAGCGAGCGCTAGGCATGAGGCTAACACCTTTGCACTCCGTTAGAATGACACCATTGCTATAAAAACGTCGGAGCTCAGGCTTGAAACCTTCTGTTCTACTTGGAATGCAAGGGGAATGAGAAAAACTGGAGTTTCACTTTTAATTCCAAATCACCAAATAATATCTAGCTGGTAATTAGCATTTGCATATTTTTGGTTGAATCGTTAACTCGAAGTTACTTCTTTTTGAATGAGGCTAACAGGCGAAGTCAGAATACGCGTTTTATTCTATTTCAGATTCTCCGACCAGTATACGGAAATAAGTTTGATCAATTTTTGCAGAGAAATCAACAGAAAATCACGTAAATTAATAAACAGTTTCAAATTATACTCGCTGCACAACAGGTGGGTCACGTAACCCTTTAGCTCAGTTACTGATGAAGCGATTGGTACTGGTCTTCAGTCTGTCTGGGAACTTCACACCTCATAGGGGAGCAGGTTCATCCAACTGACGAGTTCCAAACACGAGGAAAGGTGCGTCCAAGATTCTTCTGCTACCTACCATCAAACAAATAACTCTAAGTTATTTAGTAGTGAAGCGTCAGTTCAAGTAGTCCACAAAACAGGTACACGGTAAGTGGATTCAGTCAGATATTATCAAAGGAAAATGAAGAATGTGAATCAGTAATCGAGGCGTTAACCGTTTATTGAAAGACTGGATTCAGTTTTGAGTCAACATTTTAGTGGATTCCTGAGCTAGCCTACTTGACTTCATACTTTTCAGTTAGTTGGTGAGGAGAATTTTCGTGATATCACTGCAGACGCATGTAGTAGAATCGTATAATTCAAGCTAGGAAGTCGCTTGAATACACTGGTGTAATTATGGACAATAATAAATAGTGCTCTTAAAGTCATCCAGTTATTAATACTGTATACTACGGTGTGCTATATTAAATATGCTCATCTGATGTGGAATCAAAGTGTAACGGTCGATTGATATCAAACTAGGACAAAAAGGCTGTCCAGTAATCCCTGGACTTCAGAGGTTTTCTAACTGATAACAATCCGTGATTAGACTGAACAAAAATCCCTGAAAACTAACTCTTGGTAGATAATCTGGCTATAGGAGTTCTGGTAAGAAGTCGCGACAACTGGTATCCATTAGGTCGAACGTGAGATTGAATACTCGCCGATGACGCTGGTTGGTGGTCACAGTAAAATCACCAATTGGGGGAAGTTGGGATTCATGTGTCCCTGGTAGCTGAATGGTTTGCGAACTCGCCTTGTAACCAGAAGGTGCTGTGCTCAAATCCTGGTGGGTGTGTAGTGATGGAGAGTTCAAAATTGGGGAGAAACAGCAGTCCATTAATTCTTGATTTTTAGTGGTTCCCTAACTGAGATCATTCAGTGATCAGAACTGATATCTTTTGAATTATTTGGTGGCACTAAATTCCTTTAAGTGAAACTGAAATGAGATTTGGTTCGTTATGATTTGATGGACAGGTAGGAGTGATACATATACTGTTTTCTACACTCAGTGAATAAGAGATAATTCTGTTATTTATAGTGTACTTATTTTTGATTACTGTTTGTGAATTTGTGAAGGTAAATTATCTTGAAAATAAGTCCATTTCTGATAAGAATTAGCTTGAATTGTGTTGAGCACCGGAGTAATTTTAATAAATGTGCTTAAAATATTTCCTTAATGAGTTATTTGCATTATTAACTAAGTAAATGGAGACTGAGTCAAGCTAGCCCTATTCAGTGGGCGCCTTATCAAAAATAAGGAGAACTTGACTAGTTAATAATGGCCTACTGCGTGACTAAATTTTAAACAAAATTTGAAAAATGTCTCAGTAGAAGCAGGTATTGTTCTTTAGAAGTTTCACTGTAATTTTCTGCCTAGAGAATATGTCTGTCTGATGATGGACTCTAGAATGACAATTAAATGAACCAGTTCAGAGAACGGAACAACATCTAACTCCATTATGGATAAGATTTTATTTTGATAAATCACACAGTGTTGTACAGTTATACTAACTGATGACGTTTCGAGCACAAAATATTGCTCATAAACATATCAAGTAACTCACACAACTTTTTTCTTTCATTTATATACATGTGTGGAATGGATTAGATATTGGATCAAAAATCAATGTCATCCAATATCTAGTCCATTCAACATTTTTATATATAAATGAAGGAAAAAAGTTGTATGAGTTACTTGATATGATTATGAGCAATATTTTGTGCTCGAAACGTCATCAGTTAGTATAACTGTACAACACTGTGTGATTTATCAAAATAAAATCTTATCCATAATGAAGTTATGCTCTACCACAGTGCCCAAGTTTTATACTTATAGGAACAACATCTAATCTACAGATCTCTCCCATGACAGGGAGATTGTGTCTTGTGAGGGAGTTATAAAGAAATGAGGAGAATGGTTCGAAGAAATGACCGATTTGTGATTGAAAAGTTTGATGATAAATTAGTATTAGATAATATCGTTGCCTTTATAGTATCATTTTGTAGGGATTTAGCTGCTTTCGAATTTGGTCATGGAATGATATCAGTTAGAGAACCATTGAAATCCAGGTGAAGCCGACCGCTCTCGATGTCTCACTAAAATTCCAAATACTCTCCGATGATACTGCCTGGTGCTAAAAATAGTGAAGTGACAGAAGTGTGAATTTATGAGCCTTCGGAGTCTGTCTTAGCGGATGAATGGTCATTGAGCTTTCCTCTTAACCTGAAGACCATGGGTTCGATCCTGTGCGGTGTCATGGATACGCATCGTTGAAGTATTCCAAACTGTGATGAAAAAGCTTTCCAGTCAGCGCCTTCTGGTTTTCAATGGCTCTCCAACTGATATCGATCCGTTACAACACTTGAATATCATAAACTACTAGATAACATGCTTGTGATTTACGTACTTGCATTACATACGTGCGAAAAGTTTACGAAGAAAAGTGTACACTTACTTGTTTATCAGAAGAGCAAATTTCTTCGATTGTCTCTTGAATGTAATCTTGTGTAAATGTGAATTTCAAGTGTTCTTTGAGTGTATTGAATATCTGCAACATGGCACTGTCAACTGCGAAAAGAAGTGACACAAAGTTATGTCCGGTATAAAATACAATCGGTAATGCGTTCATTTACAGTCAGAATTTAACTAAATTAACTTGTTTGTACCAATAAGTACTTCATTAGAAGTTGAATGATGCATACAAAAGTCTATCTTAAATTGAAAACATTGAATATAGTGAATGGAAAGCGCCAGTTTCAATTTGTCTTAGCTACGTGACTGTAGAATTCACTAAAGTGGTAAATAAGTAGAAAAATTCAAAGGATGATCAACGACTGACTGCTGAGAGTGGCACGGCGATATAGAGTACAAGGTTTAATGAACTTGAAGATCCTCGCGTTCCCCATCATTCAGGGTTTATAAGGTTGTCTATATTGTGTGTGTCACTGCGTTAGATAGCCTGTTTAATGTCTCTTTTCAGGATATTTAGTAATCAGAATATTTATTTTTCCGAAAATTAATTAATTTCCAGATTAGAATTTTCGTCAGGGGATCATGTTCATGATATGTTCATTGTTATAACTAATGTGACTTCCTAGATATCTATGAAAAACAGTCTTACTGTAATTTAAAATGAAGCGCTACAGTGATTGTCTTTCTTCGTAAAGCTATGCAACATTGTTTGATTGAGGTAAGTAACTGCATACTGTCCTTGTCAGCCAGTAGTGCTTGATAACCAGATTGATGTGACGTAAACATTGGACGGCAGGTGTCACGAGCCGTGTACTAGATTTGACTCAGCTCAAAGATCCGTATCAGTTGAAACCTCCCAATTATTACTCAGGTAGATAATGGTAGGTGATTTTTAAATTATTACATAACCCACTTCCTGTCACCGAATGAATGAATGCCTATATTTTGATAAGAATCGCAGGTTTCTCGCCCTGTGTTATCATCCAGTCACATATGTGACGCATGAATTAACACTCTACTTAGTCATCAATTGAGAAGTTAATTGATGGATGGTGACTAGCAGTGGAATCCAGACTGCACGTTTCCTCCTATTTGGGACACTTCAGATGAATGTGCCTGCATTCCGCAGTGATTGATGAGTCCCAGCAGTAACATCATCATTCACTGTGGAATGCAGGAGCATCCAGCTGATGACGAAGTGTGCATCCTGGATTCCACTGCTAGTCACCATCCTCTAATTAACTTCACTTTACATGCCCAGACATCGTCGAAGTAACTGCACAAGGAGCCAACATGTCAATCTGAGACCGAGCACTTCGGTCCAATCAATCGACGGGAAAATGTAAAATAATCAGTAATCTGTTTAAACTACATAGAACTGTGAAATATTAATATTGAACAAGTGGTCAATCTATTTAACTTCATTTGTCAAACTGTCTTCATTCAACCACTCCAATGGATATTGAAAAACTAACCAGCAATAAGTGAATATTGATCCTCGTTTGAAAATATTCACAGTCTTGTTTTAACTCACAAAACAGTTACATGACACATTTGAATAAAATAACTTACAAGATGAATCATCTTCATTCATCGTTTCATATTGTTGAGTAAGACATACTCCGATGTACTGTAGGCAAAAGTAAGCAAATGATCATAATAAAATATGGTTTTAAGTTGGTAGGATGAATTCTGCAGGATACCTTGGTTGGACCTAGATTTCATGCTTGTTAATCTTCATCAGTCAGCAAAGAGCATCTACAATCTCGAAGGAACTCATTTACACTCTGATGTTTCAACCCATGTTGTAGTATGTTATACTGATAAGATTTATCAGTAGTATATAAAGAAACGTTAATCGGAATAAAAATTATCAAATAACAGGGAGATGGTTATGATGTCAGACAAAGCAAATGATACAGCGTTGCGAAGATACATGGGAGATGATGTGAAAGAAACACAATGAAACACAATATGAGGAAAGGTAAGAAGTGGTACGACACAGAAGATCTGTTCAAGTGGTGATTCGAAGACAAGGAATACACAATTTCATTACATAGAAATACCAGATAGCACATAAGCCTGCCTTTACCCAGTCTTCGTTTTCTACCGTTACAATGTCACTTAGTGCTGCAGTAAGAAAAGTTATCACTGAGCTGATTGCCCCCAACCATCTAATAACAAGAATTCAAAGTGCACCATGTTGATGACTAATTGTTTGCCAATATTAAGTACTTTATAGATAGATATGTAGTTTACTTGAGGAAATAATTTTTTTAAAAGGTGTGATGTTCTCAATTTGAATAATTTATCAGTTCCTGTAGGCACTGACTTAATCCCTTGATCCACATCAAAAAGCTTTTCCTTCGACTTATCCGTCTCTGTACTCCTGATTATATTGAAAGAGTCTTAAACTTCAGCGAAGAAGTCAAAATCAGCAGTACTTTAGATTATGAGTGTTAATAGCAAATTTCTTCTTTTTACCTGACAATATTTTTATGGCTAATGTGCGTATGCTACTGACAAGATTTACAAGTAGTATATAGTGGTTGTAGATATAAATATGTCTATCATCTACAAGAATATCTCGTAAAAGAGAAATGGATTTAATGGCGAAGAGAAGAAATGAATGTTTGTGAAACAACATGGAAAGCATGAAAGGAAGACAAAGGAACACAATACGGAAGACAACATTTTTACACTATCGAAGATATGAGAGTATTGTGATTCTAATATACCTTGGATTTATTTCGCTTATATCTGTACACCGAATTGCCAGATACTCATGTTTTCAGTAAGTTTTTGTAGGGATTTGTGGGTTGAAACACCTGTTCGATACTCCCTGGTTTCCAATGTTTCTCTGAATCATAAGTGTCCGTTGTTAAACCTGAAGTGCTCTTGTGTTTTGCCGCTACAGGTGTACATCTGTAGCTGAGTACTAGCCATGCTCCACCTCATGGTACAAAAGTCTTTGGCTCGATACATAACAGGGCTGTGAATGTGCACGTTTGAGCAGTCCCAAACTAGTACTAAATAGTCATCCATCATATCTAGTTTTCAATGACTTCCTAACTGATGTTGGGATTTCAATATCATTCACTACTCTAGGGTAGTTCCCTTTCAAGTATAGACTAAGTGTGAACTGCTAACCACGAGATTTTCAAGCGCAGAAACAATAGAACAAGGAGTAATTATAAGTAAAGGGTAGAACGAAATTTCAAATAAACTTTTAGTCCATAAAAATTATTTCAGGTCTCAGTCGTAATTGCCCTTGGGATTTCTTATCAATTTTCGTGGCCTGTTCAAAACTTGGGTTACCAAACACCTCCTTCTTTATATTTCATATAATTTCTGTTATATACTTTGTTTTAATCTATGAAAATATGACTGACCTCTTATGGTGTTTTCTACTCTCGTGAGTATTTAAAATATCAACTTTGAGCAATTTTTATGCTGTTAACCGTCTAAAAATGTCATTGTTAATGATCATAGTAAGATTAAAGTGGACAGTTTGAATTCCAGCCTACAAAATACCAGTTAAGAGTCCAAATCGTACTGCGTTTATAAGCTATACATATTTGCCAAACTGATTGTCTAACTTGAAGATCCTGAGTTTAATCAGACACAAGGTGATGAAAACACTTGAATACTATCGGATTAATGGAAGGATGAAAACAGTCTCCAGTACTAGTCAGTTTCCAGTAAACCTCTGGCTCGCATCAATGACCCGAAAGAATTTTAATTTGCTAAGAACTGAGATTTTTTATTACGCAAGTGAATATTTAGAAGCAAAATGGCATTATCTGGTTTAGAACTGAGTTTGAACTATACTAAATAGAATTACTATGAGGTTATTCTATAAAACAGTGTTCAAGAATTTATCTTTCAAACAGGTGAATATTCTGCTAGTAACTGCAATGTCCAGCAGAGCACAATTGAAGATTTTCTCCAAATTTATAAACAGCTTTTGAGCACCTTTTTGATAATATGCAGACGATAACTAGACAGTATTTTAGCAACCCATTTCGAAGCTATTTTTATATTAAAATAAAATGTATAATGCCAACGGCTAATCATCAAACTAGTAATTCAATTTAGACATGTGAAACATCAACAATGTTAGAAAAGACAAGGCAATCTATGCAAAAAACTTACTCTGCATGGCTCATAAACACTCATATTCACAGCGAAATCATGCAGTTTCTCTTGGAATGGACCATTGAAGAAGGCTTTACACTGAATAGGCAAACAAATAAATAAACAAACAAGTATGCAGTTGATCAAATTATGATCTGAAAGTAAATCTTGGGTGATCTGCTCAAACCTGAAAACCTCTGTCATTATATTGCATATAATTTCTGTTGTTCAGTTTGTGTTTCAGTCGACGGAAATGTGACCCTTGATAGTATTATTTACTCTCGTGGGTATTTAAAAATGTTGACAACCTACCGGCTAGTCAGTTTCTATTATCCTGACTGGTAAGGTATGGAAGTACATGAGATGACTGTTCATGAGTTGTGTCTTTGAGTCTCAAAATGTACGCCTGAACTTTTTTTATTCGGCTTTCAACCAAATGTCATGCATTTCTTGAAGGTGACAAAGAAGAGATGTCACTCTGGATTGGTTCGTACTTCGTGTCAGACAGCATTGTGTGCCGCTAGATCTATTATTATTGATACGTTTATTAGTTCAGTATGTTTCTGTTGTACAACTCTGAATTCGTTATATATTCGGCGGAAGTGTTTGTTTTTACAGAAATCAATCAGCATTATTGGATAGCACGAGAAACAGAGGAAGAGGTTTCCTTTTCATTCCTGGTAAGCTTGTATGGTTCTTAAAAGATTAAATTGTTAGATTTTCCGAACAGGAGATAAAACTACCCCTTTTTTATAATATTTACAATCTTGTCCTCTAGAAATTTTTATGGTAAATTAATGTGTATTCATAAAATTTTATCACATAATAACTGATAAGCCAAGTGGAGATCTCCAATCAATAACAACGGAACAAATTTGAGTGATGTCAATACATACAATTACCTGGGGATCAGAGTTTCAATTACAGGTGGATGACAAAAGTGAGCATGCCAAAATCAGAATTGGAGGAACAGTACAGAACTTTATCACTCTGGAAAGCAGTTTGGAAATCAACTGCAGTCAACACAAAGAAACAGATTCAGATTTTGAACCCCAGTAGCCAGAAACTTGGCGCTGGCGTTACGAAAAGCAATTTAAACAAGCTACAAATTTGAGTCAACGGCTGCCCTAACTGGCACCATATTGAAAATCAAATGACTGTTCAGAAAAGATTAGCAACTAGGAACTCTGGGGGTTATCTAACCAGGAACCTTTCGGTCGACAAATATTATGAAGAAAATGGAGAGAAAAAAAGGAAGCTCGCTGAGGAGACTGTCGTGTTACACCGCTCAAAATGTGAGCCAAATAAGAGACGATGAGTTGGGCGTGAGTTTCTAGTGACCTGGAGGAGATAGATCATGTGAGGAGGAGATGGCAGCCTATGGGAAATAGTAGGGGCAGCTCTACACGATTGAGGATAACATAGTGGAATGGAGACGTTCTGTTAAAGTCCTATGTTCTACTTGAAACCCAAGGGAATAACAATAACAATGCAAATAAAGACACTATCGTCGGTGAGTTATTCATAAGGGAGACTTGGAGCATGAATGGGACAATAAGTAAATTTTGTCTGTTGTACATGTTTTAAAATCTCATCATGTCTCAGAATTTTCGTTTTTCATTACATAATAAGTATGTCTGAGTGAAACACACTCTATGGTCAAAGTTCAAGAAATTCTATATTAGATAAGTTCATTTTAAATATCACACAGCGATGTCGTACTGACAAACGGATGACATGGTTTTGAGCATAAATTGTTGCTCATAATCATATTAATTTAGTCACACAGTTTCTAAATTTGTCTTACGTATATTTTTTCTCGCATTCTGTTTATCCGAATTCCCTTTGTTGTTTGTTGTCACTTTCCGGTATAGACGTTGGTTCATTCCGACTGAGCATGTGTGGTGTTGAATTCATAAATAAAGATTCTGTGCTTAACCTCTTTGTCTTTCCACCCTGTCTCTGACCCTCTAGATCTAGCTAAATTTTTATGATCCCGATCTACTAGTTTGGCCTATGTAATTGATCTCACTGTCATTACATGGTGCTTGGTAAATTATATTATTTTTCCTAATTGGATCTATTAGGTCCTTTCGCCAACAACGTTTGTGTCTGAGAGAGTTGGTTTAAATGCCATCTCGAAACCTTGTCATCCAGTTGTTAATACTGCTTCATCACTGTGTGATATTGAAAACAAACTCATCCAATATCGAATTACATTCTACACCATAGTGCCCAAGTTCTACACTTACTTGAAATAAAGTACAAAAGACACAGATTTTCTGATGACTGCCGCTGGCGCGTTTTGTCTGAAGATTAGTGTGAATCATACTGTATTACCTGCCTATCTCATATGAAAGGTGGGTATTCTAACACACTGTACTCAGGATCAATGTTTACTCATTACCTAAAGCCGAATAAAGACTATATTTGTTACTTCGAAAAATGGGCGAGGATGTATTATTTTCTGTCGGAAATCATGATTTTCATGTGCTATAATTATATGTTCCTCGAATTCCACATACTTCACACAGAGGAAAGACTTGTTAGGGGAATAATTTACTTCAGAGAGCCTATTCTTCTTTATGTAAAGTATGGTATTGTACATCTACAGGATCTGGTAATTCTAATCAGTTGTAACATCCTGTTTTTATTTGTCATTTGAAATATAAATAATTTTACAGGATTTCATCATGAGCTGACATTGGTTAGAGAACCGTTCGAAAACCTAGGAGAACTGGACAGCTGTTCCGTCAGCCTAGTTTGGGACTCTTCAGCAGTACGCATCCACCGGGATTAGAACCCGGACCTTCCGATCACAAGGTGAGCTACCTTGTAGACCAATAAGCCGCTGGAACCTGATCCATGACCAGTGACCATTAGGGTGCAGCGGTCGGGTGTGAGGACAAATACTCACCGAAGACATTGGCTAGCGGCCACGCTATGTAGTGAATTGGCAGAAGTTAGAATTCATGGGCCAGCCATTGGATCAGGTCCCAGTGGCCTAATGGTCTACGAGCTAGATCACCTTGTGATCGGAAGGTCCTGGGTTCGAACCTCTTGTGGTGAGTGCGTAGCGCTGAAGAGTCCCAAACTAAGACGAAACAGCTGTCCAACACTGCAAGGTTTTCCAATGGTTCTCTAACCAATGTCAGCTCATGATGAAATCCTGTAACCAATCAACCAAATCCCTACAAACCAACACTTGAATATAAATAATTTTTTTTGTACAAATAACAAGGGTAACAAATTCAAATGAATAAAGCCTACCTTTGCACGTGGTTTATGATAAGGTATGAAACTGCATGTGAAACTCAACAGTTTGGCCATTACTCCTCGTGCATAGTCGTGTAATAGAGCCCATCGAACACTGCGTACATTTGTGACACATACTTGACAAACTAAAATGTTAAAAACACAAACACACGTGACAGTTCAGTTTCGACTGCAAAGTCTATGATATAAAACCTGTGTAAGTGTATTTTAATGTAGTACACGCCAACCATGGACATGGCCGAAGTACTACACCTGCCTAAAGCATCCCTAAATAGTATCAAGGCAATAGTAAGCTCTGTAAAGAGGGAAGGTTGGCTGTGAGGTTAGCAATCCCCCCCCGTATGAACAATAACACCAATACTGGGACTTTAAAGCTGAAGTTTTAAGCCTTATGTTATGTTCAGAAGTGAATGGAATGAAAGATCATTTTATTTACGACAAAAAATTTGTCATGGTTTTACAAAAACTCAGATAAATATTTTTCGATTGCAACAAATACGATGAAAATAACCAGTCAACGACGGCAGCAACAACAGGTATCAGTCCCTATCAACGGAGGAAATCTGGAAGAAGTCACCATCTTCCTTTATCTAAGTAGCATCCTTTCAACTATAGGCAAACAGATCGGTTGAGGATGACAAAACCGGAATCGGAAAGGCAAGACAGGCCTTTGTCATTCTGAAATCAGTTTGGAAATAGGCTACACTTAGCATAGAGAAAAGAATTAAGGTGTTAAGGCAGTGACTTGTTGTTCTATATCAGCGAGAAGTTTGGCGCATGCCTAACCAAAAGCATTTTTAATAGACTTTAGACCTTTATCAACAGCCGAATTCGCTGGCTTTATAGATGGCTGGCTGGCTGGGATGAATTAGCAGCATAGGACTCTGAGGACGAACCAGTCGAAAACCTACCGTGCAAAATATATTCCGAAGAAAATGGAGTTGGATAAAGTATAAAATAAGGAGACCGTTGAGTAATGTCGCGCACCAGGCCAGGCCTTAAGTAGGAGCAGAACAGGAAATGACAAGTTAGGCGTGGTCCACGAATGAGATCGTAAAATTCGTTTGGGAAAGAGATGAGACCTGATATTGAGTCATTGGGCCAGCTAAAGGGAAACGCGGATGACAGGGTGGAGTGAAAACGTTCCGTTGAAGCCCTATGTTCCACTCGGAACCCAGGGGAATAATAAAAAAAACAATAATAATAATAATAATGTAGCAATTAAAGGTGATTAGGCCAGAAAGCCTTACTGCCTGATAAATTACCAGAATTATGATCTGAACTACGTTTTATTCTACACTGCTCCTTTTAGTATTCAGAGGTTAAGAAATGAATGAAAATTTAGAATTTATTCATCACTGTTATAGGAAAAGTAAATATATTGAATCTTACAGACGTTACATCCAACTTTGTTTACTTCATTTTCGTATTCCTGAAAAATAAATGGACACAATATCATCAGTTAATACTATCTTGTTATCTAGCCTGTATGTAGGTTTAACTGAAAAGAGACTAGAAGATATCGGAATTATACTGATATTTAAACGGTCTACCAAAAGTCCACAAACCGGGTCTTCCTCTTCGACCTGTTTTAGATATGTATAACTCTCCATTTCACGGAACAGTGAAGTGGTTAGTTAAGATCCTGGGTCCTTTGCACAGAGAAATCGTGCAACATCGAATTAGTGATTTCTTCGAATTTATTTCTAAAATATACGAAACTAATGTGAGGTATAAACGCATGTTATCCATGGATGTATCATCACTATTCACTAACGTACCGCTTTTGGAAACAGTGGATTATATTTGTCAAGAAATCATTGATAGGCAATTAGACTTAGGAATCCCCTTGTGTAGCCTCAAAGAATTACTTCTTAAATGCACAATGAATATTCACTTCGTCTTCAATAATTCATACTATCAACAAGTAGATGGAATAGCTATGGGTTCACCATTAGGCTCAATATTAACTGACTTTTTTCTCGCAAAACTTGAAAACGGGAAATTGAAGGATACCATCAAGGAGTTGGATATGTGTTACCGATATGTCGATGATACATTTATCTTAGCTGATGAGGAGGTTAACATAGACGAATTGTTACTTAAATTCAACAACATCCACCCTTCGCTTACCTTTACTTGTGAAGAGGAGCAGGAGAATAAACTACATTTCCTGGATGTCTTGCTAAGTAGGAGAGAATATGGGTCACTTGGGAGAAGTGTGTACAGAAAAAGCACATTCACAGGGCAATACACACACTTCCTTAGTTACGTGCCCATTAAATATAAAAGGAATCTTGTAAAATGTCTCGCGAGCAGAGCAAGGAAGATATGTACGGAGGACCTCTTACAAAGGGAATTTGAATATATTCTCGATTCCTTGACGGAGATGGGTTATCCGAGTAGTTTCATAAAGAAACATATGAAACCATCAGAGAAAAAACCTGTGACTCTGACTGCACATAAGAAACCTCTCTTTATTAAGTTACAATTTAATGGTGACTTATCTAGTGAGATTCTATTCCAAAGACTTTCAAGGAGTATACGTAGAACATTTTACGCAGCACACCTATGTTTGTCATTCTCTAGCCGACGAATGATTGGGACGCAAACGAAGGATAAGCTTGATAGTTTTGCCACATCTATGTGTGTTTATCAATTCAACTGCACCTGCGGTGACAGTTATATTGGGCGTACTACTAGACAGCTTAGCCAACGTGTTAGTGAGCATCTCCCATCGTGGTTTGGCAAAGGAGGGACAAAAACAATCCGTAGCTCAATTCTGTCACATCTAATTGATAGTGGTCATGTAGTCGATAAAACGAAAGCCTTCAAAGTAATTCATCGTATCCCACCGAATCTTTCTAATAGACTTCGTATTGGTCTACTGAACACACACAGCTGAGACAGGCGATAGGCATTCGAACTATTAAACCTAAACTATGCATTCAAAAGAAGTTCGTGCAGTCATTATCCCTCCCGTGGCCTAATAAGACATAACCAACTAAAGACTTCTACACCACCCCTTATTTATATTTCCAACCCCTTTCTTATCATCCCTTAATCTTATCTTCATTATAAACGTGTTTCATTTCCTTCCCTTACAATCTAAATTTACGTAATCGGTTCATTTGATATTTAATCCACAAAAAATGCAGTTTAATGCTCACTGTTGACTGGCTACAGAATAAATGTGCCTGGAGTTGTTGTGAGTAGTCGAAACTACTGGGGGTTACCAACTCAGGTAAGAGATCAGTTACTCTCCACGCGACACTGGATGGCGGTGTCGCTATATATCTCTGATTGGCGGAAGTTGGAATTGATGGATAATCACACTTCATCTCGGTAGCTGAATGACCGGTTGGATCACTTAGTGAAACAAGAAATCTGAGTTTGATTTCCTGTGGGGTCAAAAGTTTGTTCGTATTGTTGAAGAAGTGTTCCAGGATAGAGAAAAACAGCTGTACACTTATCTCTAGTTTTCATTGGTTATTTAAAGGATCCAAAAGAGAAGTTATCTAACCTTTTTGTCAAATATTAATGAGTGCAAAGTGTTGGCTTGACATGTCTCTGCTATGACACTATCAGGTAATGTTTGTAATTTCATGTTATATATTCGTCCCTACCAATTTTCACTCTTAACTGTGAAACCAACATTTATGTTCTATAGTCTACTAAAGGCTAGACCATAGCATCTGCTCGTATAGGATAGTTGCTAGGTTTGATAATGGCTTTCGCATCACTTTTGTTTGCAGTACGTGAGAAAAGTGTTAATCAGTCATGGAAGTAGAAGAAAACTCTTGGAAATCAATCTGAATCACGCTAGTGACTGGCTACAAGATGAACAAGGTGACTGAAGCTCTAGTGAGAAGCCTTGACCAGATGGGTCCATTATATCGGGAGTGGCAATAAGTGCCAGATAATATCATTGACTGGTTATCACGAATTGGTAGAAGTTGGAATTCATGAGCTTTTGGTTCAGATGCCAATGGCTGGATGATCTAAGAAGTCTACTTGTAACCAGAAGGTACTGGGTTCGAGTCCTGCTGGGTAGGTAGTGGTGATGGGCTCAAAACAAGGAGAAAATAGTTTAATTTCATTGGTTCTCTAAAATATCAGCTCATGATGACACTTGAAATAGATCCAGTTTCTACAAACTAACTAACTACAATAAAGCTATGAGAAAGCAAATTTAAATGTTACTGACAAAAGGTCCAGTCTTCGGGAAAAGCCTATAGAACGACACTACTTAATGTTGATAGGAAATATTGCAACAAACAATTAGGATATTTAAGTGTTGGTTTATAGGGATTTGATTGATTGGTTACAGGATTTCATCATGAGCTGACATTAGTTAGAGAACCATTGGAAAACCTTGCAGTGTTGGACAGATGTTTCGTCTTAGTTTGGGACTCTTCAGCGCTACGCACTCACCACAAGGGGTTCGAACCCAGGACCTACCGATCACAGGGTGATCTAGCTCGGAGACCATTAAGCCACTGGGACCCGATCCAATGGCTGGCCCATGAATTCTAACTTCTGCCAATTCACTACATAGCGTGGCCGCTAGCCAATGTCATTGGCGAGTATTTGTCCTCAGAAACTCACAGTCTGTGATTAAGGCCCTCTTTAGTCCTCATAATAACAACATCTAATTTCTAATGTGAGAGATGAACACTGCTCTCCTGAATACAAATGAGTATTTCTTGTACTGGCAGTCTCTGAGATTTCATTCTGGGTGCAGGTTTTTAAAACGTATTACGAAAAGAAGTCGAACGATGAGGGTAATCATAGTTACACTGTGAGGGGACAACCTCTTGCAAGAATTCGCCAACGGACTGGCTTTACAGTATTAATGTTATTTTATTCCGAGTGGAATTAGCAAACGTCTTCGTTAATTAATGTGAAACATAGTTCAATTTTTAGAGATTGTGCATTAGAAAATTTGTATTCAAAAGTACTTCATGTGTTCGCATCAGGAAAGATCATTCATCTGCAGATGACCTGAAGATCACCTGAAGAAGTATACAAGTGCCGAACTAAGACATTCACTAGTTCTCCTCAGTAAGGATACATGCATAATATCTGGGACATTCTGATAGGCTTCTTGTCATTAATGATATCAGTATAAAACGTGGGGACTGTGGTCGAGTATTACTGAATTATGGATAAGATTTTATTTTGATAAATCACACAGTGTTGTACACTACTATTAACTGATGACCACGTTTCGAGCACGAATAATTGCTGCTCATAATCATATAAAGTCACTAATCACACAACTTTTTAACAAACCGAGCAGTAGCACTAAGTAGTACAAAAAAGATCTAAATGATGAAATGAAACAGATAGAACAGGAAGCATTGGCGTAAAATAAGTAACCATCCTACAAAATTCATCAGGAATATCAGAAGAGGTCAAAAGCAAAATAAAAATAATGGTGAAGCCCAGTAATGAAAACATAAGTAGGAGAGAATGTAAGGCGTCCACGGTTATAACATATAAGGAGGGGACGTCTAAAACCCTCCCTAGGTAGGATTATCAATAAAGCAGGAATCCGGGTGGCATTCAAACCTGCAAACTCACTCAGGCAAGGATGAGCTCTGCAGAATAAAAGACTCGGTGGACCCAATTAGGCAAAATACCTTGCAATGACTGTGAGTTAAGTCAACTACATAGGTCAAACTAGTACATCAAGAGTAGTGAGATTATCAGAATGACTGATCCCACAAAGATAAGTAATTTAGAAAACGATTCAGCAATTGCACTGTATATATTGACACACAACCACATAACCGGGTGAGAGAGGGTTGAAATTCTAAGAAGTAATCTATGTAGGTGAAGAGAGAGAGACTGATTACTAAATTCTGGTTCATCAGTTTACACCCAACACAACACATGCAACAGAAATGACTCAACGAAATACCAGAGATATGGAGGATATTATTACCACCAGTCAGTCAAATCACAGAAGGAAAATAAATAATCTCAAGATTCGATTTCAATTCACATGCATTATAAGATATTAACAAGCTGCTTATTTTTACTATAAAACCACTCGTCCTATTTCCCATCTGACTGTATTTGATCAATAACACTCATATTATTATTATTTCTGAATGTACATTAACCTATGTTGACTTTTATTCAAATGTCTAATCATCAATTTCACTCGTGTATATAAATGAAGTAAGAAGTTGTGTCAGTGACTTGATATGATTATGAGTGGCAATAGTTCGTGCTCGAAAGGCGGTCGCATCAGTTAATATTACTGTGTAACACTGTGTGATTTATCAAAATAAAATCTTATCCATAATGAAGTTTCTTCTTAAAAGTTATATAGCAAGGAGAAGAAGTTGTTTTAACGTGATTGAAATCAAGAGAAAAAGCTGCTATTAGCATTTTGTAGTCATAAATGTCCAAACTAAGTTGATATTCAATAGTTTGGAAAAATTTGGGCATTGGGTATGCGATGCTCATTACTATAAAAGTTTAGCCTGGTGCCCAATGCACGAAAAATAAAACGATATTGTTGTTTTTACTGACATTTTGCTGTATAGTGTCGCCAATAGAAGTAATATCAAACCAGAATTTGCAATGTCTCAGTTTAAATGCACACTAAAAGGCAAGTGTTTTCATGTGAAAGAACAAACTCCTAAGGATTCACAGTCTAACAATTTGTCTATAAAATAAGATTCTTATAATGTGATGTGATATTCATAGGATAAACCTCCTGAGAAATCAAGATTGGAAGTAAATGGACGTTCTAGAGCATCTGCTGGACAACCGAGAAATCCAGTGGAAGAAGAAAAGCCTGAAAAGTCATCGCTCATAGTCCTACACGCTCTAGGATCAGGCAACAAAACTGATTTGGACAGTATTTTAATCATCCAAAAACAATTTGGAGATCACAAAGGATGTCTCATGTCAGATCCACCTCATTTTAAATGGAATTCAAACTCTTTGAATAGAAATGATGGATGAAATTGAAGTCTAACCTGGTTTATTAACACTTTGATAAAGCTATCAGCACCACTAAACAGCGAAACGTCAGTAAAAACGATATCGTTTTATTTTGGATTCTTATGAAAATACGAAAACGTCTGTCATAATGTATTCTCTTCTTACTGGTATCAATGATTAGTATTTCTTGTGGTGACAGTATTGCTTTAGAAGACATTTTGCTCTAGAAGAGAACATAAAACATGGATTTCCTGCGTCAATTCTCATAAATCTGTTGAGATAGTATGGGGATCCCGTGAATGCCTGAAGTGATGGGCATACACGAATTACTGATTTGAATTTCACTGAGATTTTACAAATAGAACCTTTACAAATGTTAGTATAAACAGTGTTCATATCAAAGCTATTATCATCTATTCCACTATGGGTAAATTTTTGTTTTGATAAAGTCTCACAGCGTTATACAGTAATGTTTACTGATGACGTTTCGGGCACAGTTTATTGCTCATAATCATATCAAGGTGCGTCGGTGGCACAGTGGTTAGGACTCTCGCCGACCATGCACATGGTCCGGGGTTCGAGCCCACGTCGGCGCACACCTGATATCTATGGTCGGCCTGCAAAATTTGGGCTACCGATATCCATGCTGAAAATTCCATACTTGTACCAAAAATACAGTGTGGAATCAAGCTGTAAATCAAAAATCAAAAATCAAAAAAAAATATGATTAAACATTACTGTATAACACTTTGAGACTTTATCAAAACAAAAATTTACCCATAATGGAATTACACTCTACCACAGTGCACAAGTTTTATTCTTATATTATCATCTATATTTCTATCATTTATAGTCGAGATTATGGGACCATTTAACGATATCATTATTTCTGTCGCAGCCTTCTTTATAAGAGTTTGAATATAAAACAGGCTGGTACATCAGCTGATTTTTATTAGTGATTATGAAATTAATTTGTTTAGAGAAACTACTAATCTTACATTTGAACAGCTGACATTTTTTGCCTTGATTTGCCGCCAAACACTTCGGGGCTACTATAACACAATTTTGTATCAGAGTATTTTTTATACGTCAACATATTTCTGATACACTCAGTCGAAATGATCGTGAACCACGTATAAGCACTTTCAATACTTTAGACATCAGATGACATAGGACAAATCTAATGAAGAGGTAACAAAAGCATTCGTTTTAGGCTGTCGGCGAGCCCCTCTTAAGACTGATAAGACAGAACCACTTGGAACGTAAGAAATGTATGCGAACAATAATATTTTCATGATAGAATGAGAAAACTAATTAATTTCACAAGAGCCTTCTGAATTTCATAACGTGACTGAAAGTTGCACAAAAGAGACTTGTATATTCTAGGTTCGATCATGAGTTGATATCACTTGGAGAACTTTGAGAAAATCAGAGGGTACTAGACAGCTATTTCTTCCTAGTGTGGGATTCATTGGCAGCGAGCAACAACCAGGGTTTTAACCAGGAACTCTCCGGTTAGAAGGCGAGCTAATAAACCATTTAGCCAGTGGGACGCAATCCAGTGGCCCATCAATCCAAACTTCTACCATTCCACTCGGGACCAAAGCTATCACCCCTCAGATCCTTACAAACAACCACTTTATAATTAAGTATTTTCACCTTAAATATAGTAGCCTTGGAAAGCCATGATATAACTTCACAAATATTCAAAATCAACAATATAACTGATTCACCTGGATTTTATCCTAAACACCATTGAAGCATTTAAAACATGACTGGCGCCCAGATTAAAATAGATAAGGGAACAAAAGAAAACACGGGATATAGTTTAGTCTTACCAGAGAATCCTCACTGGACACTGTATTCAATAAGCCTAAATATATATAGTTTTATAATTCAAAATCACAATATGCATTCATAGTGCTTACCTGTCAAAAATAAGAGAATGAAAATTCTAGCCAACATCGTTTTCTACTCAATTTCTCTTTATTGCCAACTGCTAATTGCCACTAATCAACAGAAGGATCTGCTGTTTTTATATTTGAGTTTTAAGCAAAAAAGATTAAAATACTTCTAGTGCAAAGAAAATATTTCTAGAATGAAATTGTGTTCTTTGATCAAGTACTTCAAAAATAAATAATAATTACTTTGTATATTTAAAAGGAGATAATACTTTAGTACAAAATATTTTATTTTTTAAGTTTCATACATTGAACTATGAATCATGAGATATGTACATTGTTTTTCATGATCACTACTAGTGATAAGTTCAATGTCCATTGGTATTTATTTTTGATTTCGCGCGGAATTTGTTTGAATGTTTAAGGGAGAATAACGACGGAGTGTGTGAATAAGGTGTTTATTTCAACATTGTGATTAAAAAATAGATACCAAACTTCAAATAATTGACGTAAATAAAACTTGTTTTTAATACGAATAAAGTAGATATGGTTTGTATTTTTAAAAAATCGCGTTGTATTATACATTAGTCATTAATTCTTATCATTCCGAGCTTGATAGTCGATATATGCCTACTTGGATATAGATTAACAGTCAAAGATTCCATTCTGGTTAGTGTCATGTGTTTGTCTAACCACACCGTTTCTCGTTTTCCAGTTAACCAACCATTTCGGCAACACACATCTTCAATATCCTAAGTTATATTAGACCTGATTTACAGAGCAAAATATAAATAAGTTGCGAAATAATCGGGTTTATAAATTAAAGTATTGCCTTTATAAGAGTAATGGTTCTAGAATGAAACCGTTTTTAGTTTCCTTTAGGGCTTTTCTTAGTGCATGTCTTCATGATGAGTTTAAAGAGTCGATACATTGAAAGAAACTATCTCGAGTCTGCATTTGTATAACTTATATATGCACGACACTTTTGTTATTTGTGACGGAGACATTTCAACTGTTGAAGCCCTCAAAAGAATCAATGATTGTTACCCATTTGTGCTTTCAGCCATTGAGGAATACCGCATTTCACTTCTTTGAGGTTATGCCAGATAGAAAAAAAGATGGCACATTGAAAAGGAAGAACTACCGAAAGCCGAGCTTTACAGGACAGTACACTAACTTCATCATCTGGTTACCTCTAGGTAGGAAGAGAAATCTTTTCCATTTTCTATGCTCCGGAATTCGGAAAATCTGCACGCTAAGGACAATACACAATACAGAAGTGGAAAACCTTCGCACACCACTCTTAGGTAATCGATATCATGGAAGGTTTATTGAAAAAGAACTTGAATATGCAAGCCTCACTTAGCCAAATCATAGTGTCAAAGAAGACACGGTTGATGATTGACAGTGTTCCTAAGATAATCAGAAGTCTGCTATCTACGTGGACTGAACACTCGTTTTATGCCACTGACTTACAGTTTGTATTCTTCAGCCAAAATATGATTCGACAATACATCAGCGATAAACTACCGCTTATGTCCTCATGTGGAGCTGATTGGATTGGCCATTGTAAGTTTGTTCTCCAAGAACATGTAGATGGACACGACGCGGCTTGGCTGATGAAAGGCGAGTATGAGATGAGGAAGCCTCCCATTTGTGAACACTTTCAACAATCAGGTTATTCAGCTCTATACTATTTAACCTTGAAAATTATCTACATGGCGAAATTCATTCACTCCGACTTAAACTGTGTATTCGAAAACGTTTTGTTAAACACATTTCTTTATATTCGGTCATAGTAATATTAATAATAATTTGCTTTATTCCAGGAAAAGTACTAGTGGTAGAGTGTGGAATTTACAGCACTTATCTACAATAATGCATCTAATTTTATCAAACATTTAAAAGGAGTATTTCAAAAAATAAATATAAAAGACAATAACAACAAAAACAAAAAATAGCAACAAAAATGCCGAAAAATACCTAGAAGTTGAAAGGAAAATAAACATAGTATCTCAGTATTGGGTAGTCGAAGCTATGATATGTTTATGCGTGGTTAACAGTAAAACTATATCATACAAGAAGTTGTGAAATGATATTAAGAATGTTTATCGCCAAGATGATTTGATTGAACAACACTAAACAATCATAAAATAAACATTTCAGGTTTTTTTATTGTCAGCTTTAATGCGGTGTTTGTAGTGGTAGTGTGAGTAATCCTGCATAATACAAAACTTTTAAGATGGCGTTCAGAACCAAGATTGTCAGTTAATATTGCCGAACACAAAAAAAAACAATCACAAAACTAATATTACATGAAGGTTTATGACAGGAAAATTTTGTAATACTCATAGTGCTAATATAATCGGAACCAGTAGATACACAAAAAAGGGAATAGAGTAAAGTACAAAAAAAGTAAGCCAATGTTAATAATTTAGGTAGCTAAGTGTGTTAAAAATGTGTTCACTATAGAATACAAGTAAGAGAGAAATAAAAGAGCCTAAAATTATGTTATTAACAACAAAGCAAGTCATAGGTTTCGCGCTAAACATTGTCTCTGTCACCTAAAACATGGACCAAATATGGTATCGTTGAGTTCCTATACTTGGTTATACGAGCATATATTATTTTATATTGATTTCAGGTTCTACCTGATGAGATACAAGCAGAGAGGTGTTTTAATTTACCAACTGAGTTCATTTCAATTCACTCTGCCTTCTTTATTTTTAGCATTATCGTACTCTTAATTTTATAGACAAAACTTGACCTACTATTTTAAAATCTTGACACTAATTCACTTATTTAATAACCTTGAAAGATTTTGTAATTCATCCACTTCAACGCTACCCTGTTAAACATTATGTCAACTGTCTTTATTCTTATCATGTGTGTGTATTAACCAAGCAATTTAAAGCGCCACTTAATGCCTCTTCTGTAATATAAATACTATTGTGCAGCTTGAAAATGATGTCTTTGAAAGGAAATATTTCTTCTCTGAACAAAATCTGTGGTTTTCCTCAAGAGTTAGTGGGTATATTTCGCAAAATTTTATATTCTGAATGAAAATTCATTATTTAAAAGGCAACCAATTTGCCGGAGAACCTGATGGTTGATGTGATACTGTTTTAAAATGGTTGATTATTACGCGGCTGTATGAAAACAGATGTCCCACTATTCATCATTTACCGTAATTCACGATCGAATGTTCGTTGAAAATAAAGCTAACCTGGAAACAAAACCTGTTCACGCAAACAACTATTAATAATAATTATTATCAGTTATTCTTACATTTATTTATTTCGGATTAAATGAATGTGATTCCATAGCAGCAAAAGTATCTGAATTGTGAATTCTTAGTAATAATCACATCCACTTTTTTGCACAAAACCGTATACTACTGATTGAAGGAGAAAAGTAGTTTACTGTTTTATGCAAGTATGCGAGCCTCCTTAGTCACCATTTGTATTATCAAGTAGATCGCATGTTGCGACGTTAATAACTTTGGTTTCCAAAGGAAACTGGTGAAAACTTCACCCCTAAAATTAGGTACATTTGAAGATTGCTAACTAACCTAAATATTGTGGAATTGAATTATGGAATCATTAGGTCGACCAAGTGGCTCGCTATAAATCAGATGGTTCTTATCATCATGTGTATATTAACTGAACAATTTTTAGTGACACGTAAAGCCTTTTTCCGTATCATAGATACGACTGTACAGTTTGAAATTTGGGTCGTTGTAAAGAAATATCTCTACCCTGAACAAACAATGTGCCTATCCTCATGAAAACTTGAATTCACTAACGACAATCTGAAGACTGAATTCAGCACGACAGACGTTACTTCAAAGCATAGTTTTGTAGAACACCAATTCAGTAACATTAAATATGTGACACTTTAGTTGTCCTGCTTCGTTACGGTCGTCATACATGTGGATTAATGTTGTTAGCCTCTTCGAAGGGAGACATCCTAAAACTTCAATCATGTGTATGCATGCATGTGCGTTGGTGGCACAACGGTGCATTGTTTGCCAGCCATGAAGGGGTTTGATCTCCGCCTCGCCAACGAACTCCTCCTTTACTTCGTTATGCTAGAAATATCACGGTCAAAGAGGGAAGGTTGAGCATGAGGCTAGCAATCCCATCCCATAAAATGGACACCACTGCTACGGAAACTTCAAGCCTGTAGCTTGAAGCCATATGTTCCACTGGGAACGTAAAGGAAAAAAAGAAAATATGTCTGAATATGAAAAACACAAACCGGAGGCTTTTATTGATTCTGTGGTCAGCAGGTAGTATTGACAAATTTACCTAGAATTGTGTGTCAACTACATATTCGTGTTTTTTTCTTCGCATTACAATATAAAACCTGATTATAGAAGGTTGAAGATGTTTACTTACAAAAATAACAGACTTCATCGGAACTGTTAGAAGTACTTTTCCGTGGTAGAGAAGAAATAATAGAAGATAACTGTGGCTCAGTAAGCTATGCTCTTATTGTTGTAACGATAATCACTCGTCATTAGTCTACTTGTGATGCATGTTGAAGTATCACCAGATGGACACACTAAAAATCAGGTAAACCAGGTCGTCTCAATCTCAAGAAAGTGGTGACCTGTTAAGCGGTCTTAGAAAGAAAGAAGAGACAAGACAAGGAATGACTCTCTACGAACAGTTGCAAGTCGATGGAGGAGAGGAGGATGGTGAAACAGAAGATGAACCAATGCAGAGGCGGACAGTGGAAGTAGAAGCTGAGTCTGGTCTAATACTCACGGAATAAAGAAGTGAAGAAGGGTTCTAGGAAAGACAAAAGACAATTCAACTGCACACAAGCTATTAAAGCTTAACGGGCTGTAGGTAAGATGGACCTTAGATCACAATGCCACAATCTCCTGATCGCTATATGGGATGAAGCCTTCAGAAATGGTCAAGGGTGCCTAATTATCAAAGAGGTGGGCCAAAGGAAATGTTGGGGTGACCACTATAAAGGACTCTTGAACTGATCAATACCTGAAACTCGTTCAGAAATAATACCAACATCCATAGAACTGTCAGTAAAAATACA